AAGGGACGTAAGCTACTGCCCCCAAGAGCAATTAAAAACAATATTTCAGTATTACCACTTTTTTAAATACATATATTAGTAGTGATTCCCACATAATTAAAGGCAAATTATTATAAAAACTTCTATATCTACTTCCGTCTAATTCATCATGCATTACAAAGCATTATTGCAAATTGTAGCTGCATTATTATTATCAAATTAATACAGCAGGTGACAGGTTTGCAGTACATAATGTGTGTATTGGCTTGTTTTGCCTTTGTTAAAGGGCCAAGATGATATCTACCTTTTGCATTAGTACCTACTCAGCCCACATGGTTCGGCCTGGAATGGGTCAACACGGCGTAGGTGGTTTTCCATTACAAATGAGAGCCAACCAGACAGAAAGGCTGACCGGCACATGATGTCATTTATAGGCGATACAAGCACCCTCTAAAGCACGGGGTTGGTTTGTATATGAGGCATTTGCAACGTTTATGAACAGACTACATGCCAAAGTTGTAACTCCAGACAGAGCTGGGCCAGCCCCTAAAGGCACTAGTGGAAAAGCGCCATTAGTCCCAAGGCCAGACTTGGAAGAGTTTGTGCTTATCTGTGTGGGTCTTCAGACAAAATCTGTCATCTGCATTCATGATCTAACCACAACAAGAAGAGCATTGCAGGAATATTCCCAGTGACAGAATGACAATATTCCCAGTGACCTCATTGAAGCTTGGTCTGTCTGAAAGGTCTTCAAATTAATTAGCAATTAGCAATTTCATTAAAAAGAATATTAATTCAACATAAAGTAGGATTTTCTTATACTTGTTTTAATGTCCATTCTGTAAGCTTGATAACAAACATTACATTCAGATCTTGGAAATTAAACATATGTTGTCAAATCCATAATGACAAAACTCAAATTAGAGAATTACTTTTCTTTTTTTTCTTTCTTTTTTTTTTCTTTCCTTTTTTTGTTTTTCCTAAAAAGGGAAAAAAAGAGAATTACTTTTCTAGGAATTATTTGAAAAAAGCAAAGTGTCATCTCGAAGCAAAACTTTCGCAGAAGTTGCTGAAGTCTGAGATAGCCATCCTCTAAATATAACACAAAGAACGGTTATCATTTGCAAAAATATATTTTGAGGAACTATATCTACATCTATACATGTGCTGCTATCCAGTAGTGAAAGTGTGGGGGGAAATGCTGGTTGATAGCAGTACAGGATGAGAGCATGTGTCCAGGCTTCTTGTTGTGATTCTCTCCAGTGTTCCTTTAATCTCCTCGACAAAGCCTATTGCAGGAAGCTATGCCAGATATGTCCGGCCCGTCACGGCTTTTCCAGCACAGCCAGTACGGGAAGAATAACACAGTTTCACCGAACAATCCCCAATTGCCGCAAACAAGGGCAAACCAAACAACAGGGGATTTAACCAAGACCACGGATGTGCCGACTCCAGGGAATTCTTTCCATATTTTGCTTCTGGTGAGTCATTCAATGCCTGAGTGAATTTGGGCAAAACAAGGACTGCAGAGCAGAGATCTGATTCCCGCATCTCTTCAAAAACAGTCCACTTGGGCTGAATCGCTGACAGCCATTTATTAAAGGAAACGTACATTACAGTGAGAGAGAATGAATAAAGTTTCTTGAGGACCAAGTGAAACACAAGTCTTTCTTTTTAATTTCCCCACCATTCTCAAATAGCAACTCATCACAGCAAAAGTAGACGGTATAACGTCACATTTCGGGGAGTTAATCTCTTCAAATGATACTCAAATCATAGCTTTGGTTCTCAATAATTACACACTATAATAAATCACATTTTATAAATATAGACTTCAGGGTGTGAACTTGCAGTGAATAATACTTAATGATAGTAGAAACTAAATAGTCGTGTGAATAAGACAGAAAATGCCCTTTCATTTCTACAATTTCATATGTTAAGATGCTAAAACGTCTTGTGATCCATGTCAGGTCTTGGACTTGTAAATATAACTTCAAGTTAACAACTAGAAAAACCCCAAAAGCTACATCTCAGACTCTTCGGGCCTCATTTAGCATTTATTTGAAGTTCATGAAAGTACAGTTAGTAAATGACTGAACAATAATGGTTTGTATGGAAGGGTTGAAGGAAAAACAAACAACCCATTCTGCACAAACGCTTAAAAAAACTGTCTAGTATGGTGGTGATGATAAATCTGGCTTGTTTTACTGGTTGAGCCAGCTATGAAATGTTTACCGAGGTGTTGTTGGGTCAAATATAAGCCAGCTGTCTGACTGTTAGAGCTTAGCTGGAATTGTGTCAACCATTAGTTGACAATAAACTCAAACAAACACAGCAGCTAATCTAACCCACAATGGATAAATGGTCCATTCAAATCTCAGACTTAAACTATATTAGATTACTGTCGTGGGACCTAAAGAGAGCTGTGCTTAAACAAATACCAAACATTAATGAACTGAAACTGTAAAGAATAATGTACCAAAATTCTTCCACAGTGATAAAATGAAGTTTCAGGCCCTGAGGGTGGAGAGTGTCTGCACTTTACTAAAAAAAAGGTGTGTGTGTGAGCGTAGTAAACTTCCTTTTCCTGGTTAAATAAAGGAAGTTTACTAAAGAAATAGACACACCAAATCACATTTGGTGATATTATTGTTATTCTATGTGAGACCTGCCCCATTTTGGAGGCAGAATTAAATAGATGGCTATAACTACCAGTCTGAGATAAAAAATGTTGGCACTTTTTATGGATTATGGGCGACTCCGCTGTTGTTCCATGGCTGAAACAACAACAACCACACAAGCTGCACACATTGTACAGCCGGGCCCGAGCCGCTCTGAAGTGTTTATCTTACTGCGCTTGAAGCTGCATCAGGAAAACTCAGACAATCACAGGAAGGAGCATCTAATGTCCACTTTCTTTTTTGCGGTGGGACTTTTAGCCCGTGAGCAGAACTGTGACGTTAAAAGAAATCATTCCTTCTAATCTTTCAACAGGAAAGCCAGAGGAGCCATTTTACTTCCTGGATAAAAAAAAAACAGAGAATCACACCTGTTCTTTAGGTTACTGCACCAAAATCGTTTAGATCCTAAAATATGAAAGGTCTCTGAAGTGGCGTGGAGCTGACATATCTGGAGTGAGGGAGCCCTCTGCAGATAAGAGAATGTACTATCCATAATTCAATTAAATTCTATTTGAATTTATTCATATAGCACATTAAAACAGGCCTGGCTGACAAAAGTGCTTCACAATAAACTTAAGCTATATGGTCCGTTTATCACTGTGCCAGATATTACAATAGTCCTTAAACAAGTATTTTGCTTTTTCTATAAATATGCAAAACCCATAAATAAAACTCATCATCCTTAATGAGGTGCTGAAAAGTCCCCCCCCATGATCTCACAGATGGCATTCAAAATAAAATGTCCCTCTTATTTTTTTTATTTGTTAGGTTTGCTTGTTAGAATTACCTGTAGAAATTACAAGAAGTCCTTGATTTATCACCAAATAATGGATTCTAATTTTAACGTTCATCCCAAGATTGATCCAATGAATTTGAAGGATCTGCTGATGTTGCACAAAATTTTGAAGACGATGATTACGTAATAATTATAGTAATAATTTGATATTTGAGTGGCGCATCCCTTCCCATTTAAAAAAAACTAACATTTTATGTATCACTTTTCCTTTTGTAAAATTATGTTTCCACTTACAGATGTGTAAATAGGTATTTTTTTGTTCTTTGAATAAAGGGAAATTAATATTCTTAGAGAAATTAAAGGACAGTAACTCAAAAGAAGACGTGTCAGACAAGAGTTTAGCAGGTTTTATGTGTTTTTCTGCAATAAAGAACTCAAATAGCAAAGCAAAGGAGTCCCATCACAGCATCGACATTATGTATGGAGCAAAGCTCCCACAGATATTAGTACACATATGGTCTGTAGTCTGATTGTTCTCTTGGTGGAGTACCTGTAGAAGACCACCAGCGGCCTCTGTTGGAGGTTTGTTATTTCTGAGGACTGACAGGAAATAAGAGACTCTGCCGTGACTTCTACACTGTTGGTGCTCCAGGTCAGTTCGTTTTTCAGACGCCGGCCCAAGAACCTGAAGTCAGAGATGCTCTCCACGTAACCCATGGCTGAACGGCCATGTTCTTCAGCTTGTTTAAGTGGATACCCAGCAAAAATCTCAAGAGTTTATCGCAATAAAAATGGCAGCATTTCAAAAAGACTCTGACCAGTTATATCAGAGTGGCAGAATCTCTTCTTTAGAGTCAAAAGGTACTCAGCTGTGAGATAAGCAGTAAAGAAACTAAAGGTTTCATTATATTTTACAAAAAGTCCATGAAATACTCCAAACTAAAATATCAACCGCTGTTAAGTTTATGGTTCTGAAGTGCAGCGAGATGAGCCGGATCAACCAACCCCAACAAAATAAAGAAATATAAATCAAAAAGACCAAATATTTTAAGCTTAAGGGCTGGTATAAGCTATAGCTATGTCACTGAAAGCTGTAAAGCACATATTTTTTATCTAAAGGGAACAGAATTTGTGAAGGGAAAAAAAACAGGTGGCTACATGTTTTTTGTCCCATTTTCCCTCCTGCTTATAGTAGGAATTTGTGCAAAAATAAGCTTCATTTCCATAAGCGCCATCTGACCCCAGTATACTTGGTTAGTAATGCTGGAGGAGTTAGCATTAATTGGACTAATAATTTTTTCGATATCATGTACAGCCAACCAAAAAATATTAGTTTTACAGTGCATAAAATATGTTTCGAATCTAAAGAAAATACCCATTAATCTTTGAAAAACAAAAAATAAATCACATTTACACAGAGTTAACAAAAACTTGAAACCTTTATTTCAGGTAGTTTTTTTTTGTTCCGTTTTTGTTTTTTACAAAATACTCCAACAATGAACAGTTAAGTGCACCTTGGAATGCTTTTAGGGAAATGGACCCAGAGTGATGTCATGATTGCGTCAAAGATTGTATGATGAATTAAAATGACAGCCAATGATGTAAAGGAAAAAAAAAAAAAAAAAAACAACAACTGGCCAACAGCAGCCCCTTCCCCTGGACTGCATGGCTATGCAGAGATATAACAAGGTTGGCAGAGCAATTCCGTCAACAACCCAACCCCAAGTCCAATTCTTCTTAATTTCTTATCCCCCACCATTCCTCTTTACAGCAGTGATTTACTCCTTAGCGACAGCAAAGGGCTTCTCCACCTCAATTTTGCCACAATCGTGGATGACGACATCTTTAAGAGGTTTGTCACGGCCGTCCGTCTTTGTGTTCTCGATCTTCGTCACGACATCCTGGAATACGAAAATAGAGAAGGTGTGGACAGGTAAGTGAAAAATGTTTATTGTGGACAACTAAAAGCAACATCACACGCTGAAAAGCTGGTCTGTCCAGCACAAAGTCACTAATCACTAAAAAGGCAACTTCATATGAAATTACATGGATCCGAAATACCGACTCTCTCCATCTTCTCAAAATAACTCAAAACCCACCCGTTTAAAACTTCTTACCCACCTTACAACCCCCAACTCTAAAATCCCCCTCATTCTGCAGTTTTATTCATCCCATTTTTATTTAATTCATTTATGAAGTTTTTATTTATGACTTTGTATGTTTTATTATGTTTCAATGTTGTTTTAATGATGATCATCTTTGTAAAGTGTCTTTGAGTGGCATGAAAGGCGCCATTTAAAAATAAAATGTATTTTATTTCAATCTCATCTACACAACTTTGCTTGTAATAATTACATAAGCATGTAATAAAGCTAGATTGTCATTAAAAATAAGATGCAAAGGGACAAATAGACATCATTGAGACATACAAGGTAATAATGGAGTTATATAACCAACAGTTTTAACAACTAGACCTGCCCTGATGAGTTTACATGTTACTTTTGGCCTGCATTTTGGCAGTCCATTCCACAGCCATGTGGAATGATCGGGAAAGTGGACGTGCCTTGTTATCGGTCCTTTAGTTTTGCTTTGTTGTCGCAAATGGCCAACAGTGGACGGGGTTTTACATAATGGAGACAGCGCACTGTAGCGGCTGACTCTGTCTCTGTTCAGACGCTTTCTGTCTGCACGCCTTCTTACTCCCCAGTTCTTTGGAACGTTGCCCTCTCATGCCAGAGCAAACTTAATACCCAGAGATGGTCGACGAATGCATAGCATCATTTCTAAGGGGCACAAAGTTTGAAGTTTCTGGAGGGCTGCACACAAGCAATACTACAAGTGAAAGATGTGTCGCAAATGATTCACTCCACGAGAAATGAGAGAAACACAGGCAGGATAAACCAACAAGCTAAACTCACCTGAACTCTGAGGTCCTTGTTTCAAGAAGGGAACTTAAATCTGCTGCATACTTACCCGCTTTAAGTTATAACCTACATACTACAGGTCATTTGATGAAAATTACGTCTCATGTCATACTTTTGAAATTTTGGTGATTAAATTAAATGTTTAAAAATAATTGTAATTTTAAAAAAAAAGCTACTAAAAACATGTTTTCCTTCTTCAATTACAAACGCAATACCCACCATGCCCTCTAGGATTTTTCCAAAGACCACATGCTTGCCGTCCAGCCATGGAGTCTGAACGGTGGTGATGAAGAACTGGGAGCCGTTGGTGTCCTTGCCGGCGTTGGCCATGCTGAGCCAGCCGGGGCCGTAGTGCTTCAGCTTGAAATTCTCATCTGGGAAACGGTCTCCGTAGATGCTTTTGCCTACGGGTGTGAAAAAAAAAAAAAAACAAAGCGAAGAGATTTTCTACAGTGAAAATGTACAAATTACCAGGTATTTTAGGTATCCATTATCTGCCCGTTGTGGTTTTTGTGCCTTACTGGTGCGACCCAAAAACTGTCAAAGGTTCAACCCCATTTTAAATCCAGCCATGTACAAACCAATTAATAAGAGGCTGACAATCCCATTATGGAGATACGTCCAATATTTGGACGTTCAGAGTAATGATGTAGACAACTGTGTGTCCATTGGTAGGCATTTTACCTCCAGTGCCGTCTCCTCTGGTGAAGTCGCCGCCCTGGATCATGAACTGTTTGATGACTCTGTGGAATTTGCTGCCTTTGTATCCAAATCCTTTCTGTTTTAGTTAGAGCAAACAAAAAAGGGACCGTAAACAAACGGGGTGTCTGAAATCATAATGGTCGGTTTCATCCAAGATATGAAAACAAACTTTTTTTTTTTTTTTTTTTTTTTTTACAAGACTTTCCGCTGTTGTTGAGATCAGGAAAAAAACAAAACAAAAAAACTTATTTCTTACCTCTCCTGTTGCCAGAGAGACAAAGTTGTCAACAGTTTTGGGGACAGTTTTCCCAAACACCCCAATGACAACCCGTCCAACTTCTTCATCCCCAATTTTGATGTCAAAGAAGACCTTTAGAAGGAAAAATAAATTTTCTGAACCTTTTAAGTTTGTAAAAGGTCGGCAAACTTGTACAAAAAACAGGACTAGGGTATCTAGCTGTAGTCGTATCATTCACAGTCATTCTTGGAGCAGTTTGCCTGCAGGTGTATAGTCATGCAGAGTCATAAATCACCATTTGGAGACAATGGCTCTGAGCTAATCGGATCTGTAAACGTGGACAGACCTGCAGCAGCCAGCCACTACGCCTGCTGCCCCTGAGCTGCAGCCTGCAGACTCAAAAATCTTGAAAAATGGGACTCGAGCAGAAGCCAATAGTCGAGACGATAAGAGGAGTTTATGAATCACTGCATGCACAAACACTTCAGGTTATACACTGAAATCAGAGTGGGACAGCTACATCCACGAACGTGATCTAAAGAGGAAATAACCCCCACCCCATCTCTTTTATTTAATCATTTAATGGCGTATACATCACAAATGCAAACTCAACCCGTTTATTTGATCGCACCGAGAATGATAGCTACGGTATCGAACATTAGCCGCTTGCTAGCTAACGCTAGCTTTGCTCTCAGTAAAGGCTGAAGGCCAGCCAGTGTGTGACGTGGCTTTATCCGCTGCAGCTACCGGTTAGCATCAACGTTCAGCAATAAGGAAGAGCTCAGATTGTTACACCTCCGATAACGCACTCTAGCGACGAGCTAGCTCAGGAACCCCAGCATACCTTCGCCGTTACTTTCGGGCCTTTCTTCTTCTCGTCAGCGGATGAGCCATTCGGGAAAGCGAGAAAAATCAGGGATCCAACAATGACCGTAACAGCAACAAGGAACTTCATCCTTCTCTCACAGAGTCTAACCATCAACAAGGGGGAAAATGTTAAGCCCGGAGACAGCCTGGTAGGTGCGCTGGCTTTATATGGGCCGGAGGGGGAAGGAGCGTGCGGTGTCCGGGGTGGGGACTGAAAACTTCCAGGATTCAGGCAGCTGCCTGAACACCACAGAGGCGGGACTTCCGGGTGGAGAAAAGGGGGAAAAGAAGAACAAGAAAATCCGCACCGGGTTATAATTGGATCACGTAGGTTGCCTTCCAGCCAATCAGAGCCAGACGCGTACAATGAGCTGTGTCATGTCATTCCTCCATCATTCGAAGGTGAATATGAATAAAAACCAAGGAATTATCGTGGAAACATTCCTGTATATATTATAAATTTATAAAAGAGCATTACCTCCATTTAGAGCGGTTTACTCTAAATACCATTTATTAAAGAGAGTCTAAGAGTTAATTGAAATTATTTTGAATCAAATTAAGTTTTCTTAAAAAAGGAACACAAGTTACTGTAAAAAAAAGTCTGTAAATAACATTCTACTGACAATTACTCTTCAACACAACCAAAATAGAAATATCAGTCACATCGCAATAAAGTCAAGATTACCCTTCAATGCACGATTTAATTCCAAATGAAAGAAACACGTATTAAAAACAAGACACACAGACTATTGAATGAGCACAGTTTGACAGATTGTACCTGTGAAAAACAAAGAATGTGGTTGGTTCAGGGCTAAGGTTACATTCACTTATACAGGCACATCTGACAGTTCTACTAGTGCAAAGAATCCATTTTGCTGAACCCAAACGCAGCGTGCATTTTCCGATGTGTATTTGCATTAAGACTCCATGATTATTGCATGCCCTTCGAGGCTATCTGAGGTATACATAAACATAGTTCAGTAAGTTTTGATGCTGTCCCTCTAATATGATGCAGGAATGCATAAACCGCCCATAATGGCGTATGATGCATTACAAACCACATTACACACCTTAAATTGCAATCTACCTCTAACTTTCTAGTTGTAATAGAGCCTTTATGGTAATCAGCTGTCATCTTACATATTTCTAGTTACTTAATATACAAGACTAATTTATTCATAGATTTATATTTATCACTTATAAGTGTAAGGATTTGATCACATATCTAAAAATGTAATTAAGCAGCTATGGAGTCTCTACACAAAGAATCCTTATAATGGGAGTGTTTTGGTCATATAGTGAGAAGACTCCCAAAACTTGTAGGATCTTCCCTGTCTCACAACAAAATTCAAGTTAATCTAAAGCTGTAAATAATAATCATCACGTGAGTCAAACCCAGAGAAGTTTGACATCTGGTGTCGGAGGAGCTTTCAAGTGTCCTAAAAGTTGGAGTGAGTGCAGCAAAAATGAAAAAAAAAAAAAAACGAAAAAGAAAATCAACAATTAAATCCAGTCTAACGCACAGTTTCCAGTTTGTAACTGTAACTTGTCGAATGGTGGCTGATGCCTTTGTTTGGCTCCGAAATATGGCTAAAAGAATTCATATTTCTTATTCGTTTTAAAAGGCACAGCATACTAAAGAAATGCAGATAATAAAAAAAAAAAACTAAATAAAAAACTCCTTGGAGTTTGTGTAGATGGCTTTGAGCTGAGACCGGTGCATAGATTCAGCTCTCCTCTCAGCTCTGAGATCCAGTTCTGCCAGCTTTCCTGTCCTCTGGGTGGTTTTAGGGTGAGACAGCAGTGGAGGCATCAGGTAGGATCTCGACCCATCTCCCTTGATCGCTGGTAATAAGCAACCTGAATCACAGGGTCTAAATAGGTTCAGTAACCAGGTCGTCAGCGGGTGAGTTTGCTGGTTGCTTTCTTCGACATTTTCCAGACAAATGGAGAGTGAGACTGAACGATTGCCTCAGAATGGCTGCTGGGTGTTTAACTCTGTGTAAACCAGCCCCTCTGCAGAGATGGCGTCCCCGAGCCCCACTGTCCGGAGAGGCCGTTTGCAGACCAGCACTGGGGTGAAGTGGAAGGTGATGTTTCCACGGTGCCACACGGTCACAGGCTCCTGTGGGTTCAGAAACAGCTGCTCTCGCGGCTCACCGTGAGAGCTGTAGAACTCCAGCGGGGCCTTGAGCTCCACTTTGCCGACATCCACGGCCTGGAGGCCGCAGGCCTGGCTGCTCGCCACCCGCGCTCCCGCCATGACGGCCGCCGCCTGATTCCCCCAGTAGCCGTCCACCGTGGCCAGGATGTGGTAGGCCAGCGTGTGGAAATGGATGCGGGTGAGATCAGCCTCGGACGACGGGTCGCTGCGGCCGTGATTCTCCAGGATCCAGAGGAGGATGTCGCTGACTCGGCCCACGTCTGGGATGCCCTTCCAGGCGGCCAGGGCCGAGTGAGGACCCCCTCCAGCCTGAGAGAGGAAGAGCAGCTCCTGTTCGTTCAGCCCGACGGAGCTGACGATGGGCATGACCTGCTAACAGGAAGCAGTAGGAGAAAAAAAAAAAAAAAGAAACTTTAATTAAATATACGGAACTCTTTGGGGATCTCTTGAATTTGAGCACATTCGTCTGTTCGCTGTGAAGGACCTCTACAACACTCCTGTTTTCCATATGTACCTCCTGCATGATGCTGTTCATGAAGTCTTTGTCAGTCATGCTGGCCAGCTCCAGGTGGATGGGTATGTCTTTTGGAATATCAGCTATGGCTGCCACAGCCTGGAAACAGAGTTAAAGACCATCAAATTAAACAAAAAATACAGGAAAGGCATGCTTTGTGAGGAATGCCTCAGAATTACTGCAGTGTCAATCTGTACAACGCCTCCCTCTGAGAGTCAAACTTATCATTGACATTATCACCACCACTTTTTTTTACTTATATATATACATATAGTTTTTTATGCATATATCTAGCTATATTATATGAGGAATTTTGTATATATATATATGTATATATGTACAGACATGTATATATGTATATGCCATTGTTTTTACTTATGGAGCCTGTAACAAAAATAATTTCCCTCTGGGATTATTAAAGTATTTCTGATTTCTGTTTCCCATCAGTTGTCAGTTTTAGACTGGCAATCTGCACCCTAACAACCTTCTCACGTTGATACATGACATGTCTTTCTCTTTTGATGAGCGGATCTCATGTGGTGAGGAGAGCTGCTGGTTTTCTAACCACGACCCTCGGCCTTACGGCCAGCAACGCTTTTCTGTTTTACAAAACTAGCAAAGAGGATGGCTCAACCGACTCCTAAACCGGACAACATTTGTTAGATCTCCAGCGGTATGGTGGCCGGCAGCCCCTGACCTCATTCAGCCGCTCCTCCCACAGCTCTCTGCCCTGGCCGTCCATCATGTGGAGCCCTGACAAGACGACCAACTCGGGCTGGAACTCTTCCAGGCTGGCGACAAAGGTTTCCAGCGAGCTCATCTCCCCGTTGGATACGTCGTGAGAGAAGATGAAGCGGTTAGCCTGAGGTGCCTGCGTTGAACCCCAGCGTTCGCCTGCGAATAGAGAAGAGGAGCTCACCCGCTGTGACTCGAGTTCAACAGATTCCCGCGGGAGCTGTGGCGTCCTGCCCTTCGTACCTGCTTTATACTCCAGAATGAGGTGAAACTCATCCGTCTCCTGCAGAGACTCCGCTGGGACAACTATCTGCTCATCCAGCATCTCGTGGAGTTTGGGACCGACTGGCCCGCAGAGCAAAACCTGCGATGCAAAAAAAAGAAACCAAAAACAAAATGTTTTCACAGTCTAAAACAGATATTTTTTTATGTTTTCATGAGAGAAATATAAAGATGCTGGCATACCATCAGATCAGGATAGGTGGCGAGCTTCTGACCAATGAGGGCTGCGTTTCCACCCACATACAGCTAGAAAGAGGTAGGAAAAAAATTAATAAGGAAGGACATGATGAGGAAATGGATGAACTGCAAATAAGAGCCTTTCCTCTCGATACACCCGAGGGCGGAGGGGGACCTTGCCTTAGCGCCGGGGTACTCTGCCGCTGCACGGGCGATTCTCTGGAAGGTTTCTTCGTCGCTGAAGAAGCGCTCAGCAGCTGCTCCACGCTCCATGTAATGGATGAAGGCTTCCTTCAAGTCCTCTTTGGAGTGCAGCACCTCATGATCCCGACCGGCTCCTGGATCCACGGCCAAAGCCTGAAGCAGCCCCACTCCGGACACGACCACATCCACGCAGGCGTTCACCCTTTTTGGGGAAGAATTACAAAGCTGCATATCACTGTGAACGCGTTCATCATCATAAACATGTTACGGCTTTTGAAATGAATCTGAGTTAACATCAAAGCAAGTCCCACAAGAAGGGCTTCCATGAGACAGAGGCATATATTTCCACACACATTTTGTTATCTTTCACAAAATCCACCAAAGTCCACCCCTGGTGTAGGTGGTCCTTTGAGATAGGCCAGTGATAATCAGCCACTCGAAGCCTGGGCTCAGTTTGCTGGCCAAAAGTAGACCAAAGCTGTAAACTTGGTATTGACTGTAAAGCTATATAAATTACTAGGGCACCACCTTCTTAGACCGAGCCAGCTCAGTTGACTCATGTCAACACATTCCCTCTCACCTTAGCAGCCAAGCAGCAGGAGAACTAACACAGCAATTAATAACTCAAATAAAGAAAAGTTTCCGCAATTCTGCAGGAATTGAGAACTACGCGACTCCGTTACTTACCCCACAGCTACTTTACTCCACTGCCGGGTCGGTAGGGTTATCAAAGCCTCCCAGGCTGCGGAGACCGCCTGTTCCAGACTGTTGGGGCTCTGGGATGACGTCTGGAAGCTGGGCAGGCCGATGTACTGCAGGACCTGCTCGGAAAGGTCTGGTCTGCTGCTGTAGAAGTAGCTAACGGCCAACGCCAGCAGGACGGCCACTGAAGCCTTCCTCCACATGATGCTCCGTCACACTCCTGCAAACAAAGGAGTCAGTCTTCTGTTCGCGTCAGCGTTTACAACCAGAACCGATTGATTGATGTAGCTTCGGTCACCTAAAGAACTAAATATGGGCAACTTCAAGCTGTGTACATATGTAGAAATATGTAATCTAAATGTGGTAAAATGTCAGTTCAGCACTGATTGATTGATGTAGCTACTGTCACCTAAAGAACTAAATATGGCCAACTTCAAGCTGTGTACATATGTATAAATATGTCATCTAAATGTGTGAAAATGTCAGTTCAGCTGCATATAAACTGGAAGGTGTTGGTGACTTTTGAAGTAATCATTCTTTAGGTTTGAGTTGTAAACTGCCACTGATTAATGATCAGTTAAGTACTGAGAAGTCTGGACTGATAGTGACAGTGGCAGGTTGGCACAGCAGTCCAGAGTCAATTTACTAAAAGAGGAAGAGAGGACATGAATAAGATAGATAAATTACATGGACAAAAGTTAGGATGAAAGTCTATTCTGAAGCAGGTCTGGGGTATTTACAAGAGTAACTGATAATCTCCCTTCAGTTGCTGATTCAGATTACATTTAACTCTAATGATAAACTCGACACTTGAAAGGCAGAGCAGGTGTGCGCTCCCTTACACTCCCAAAAAGAATTATGACATCCATAAGGCAAGCACTGAGTCTTTTGCCCTTTAAGCTGAGCCCATGTCCCGAACATTATGTGATAGTATACACGGCTTAAATTACTGCTAACGCGTCCACATTGAATTAGTTAGCTAACACGTTAGCAACAGAACGGTGAGTGCATCTTTGACTAGAGTTTAGAAAACGGATTGTGACAGCGGCGAGAAGCTTTAGCCATCCTGGCTTAGCAAGGGATCCAATTTGGAGAGGAATCTGGGTGCCAAACACTTGCCCCGCAGTCGCCTCATATGCCTGAAAACATATTTTGATACGGGGGGGACAAGTTGGTAGTTAGCGGCACGTACCGGTAAAATGCAGGGTTTCGGGTTTGTTAGCCGAGATGATGAGGAGGAGTTTTTCTGTCAACCAGAGAGAGTGCGTTCACTCGGTCGAATGCAGGCGACCAGAGACACCTTGGAGGAGAGGTGTGAGTCGGCACAAGTCACAGAAGGCGAATTGGGTTGGGAAAGACGGCAGCAGTTTCAAGACCGCCAGCGCTCATCCGCGGCTTCCGTCCATCACACGGCGCATGCGCAAATGCGTCAACGCTGTATTCTGTCTGAAATGTTAAGACTAAAATGTTGCACTACAAAAGTAGTCGACCTGCCCAACCCAGGAAAAACAAGATAAACTGGCGTGTCACATCACTCATATTAATTTCGTGAATGACGCCTATTTCCACTGAATTCCCTCATAAATCAGGCAACGAAAAAGTATAGTCAGTCATCAATTATTAGGGCACTGATGTCCCACCTTTTTCTTTTTACGTGACAAAATAATCATTCTACATATTTTTTATGTACTTTTTATCCTAGTAAAGATCCATGTTTGTCCGTGGTTATGCGATGGTTATTTCATTATTTGTTTGGATCTCCTCATTAATTAATTTATTTTTATTCAAAGAATCTTTAAATGACTTTAGAGGTTCTTGACCCTTGTGCTCTCGGGTCTCTTCCCTTCATTGTGTCATGTATTTTTTGTAAAATGACAGACTTTCCCAGCGAGCCATTCCAAACCCTTTCAAAAATGTTCACGCAATCTTAGTAAGACACTTTTGCATAATGCACACTGGCCCTGCCTGTTAAGGGTTAATGGGGTTATCCATAGTAGCTGCTTAACTTAAGCTTCCTTGTGAAATCTTTAAGCTGTTTGGCAGTCTTAGTGGTCAATTGAATAAATTACTACATCTGCAATTTGAGGCTGGTAGACTTAGACAACTCTGAGAGGAATAAGTCAAGTAAACTTTGTAAACTTTGTGATCCACCAAAGCCACAACAGATTAAAAAAGGCACTTATTAATTTTCAAAATCTCAAAACGCATGAAGAGAATAGGAAGCTAAATTGTCTGTATAAGCTTGGCTTGCTCAAAAGAGCCTATATTATTGTTATGGCATGTTGCATACCCAACTTAGCACTGCGGAAAACACATAGCCTGACTTTAACTGAGAAACAGGTTTCAGTTTAATTTAGGAATTTCCAAAGGCAAAAAAGAAAAATTCATGTTTTCTGAGATGCCAAATAATTTTTTCATGTTTATGAAATTAACTATATTTTCACCTGAAGCAAATCAAACGTACTTGATTAACTTTGTTATGCAGATTTCAGTGTGAACTGAATATTTTATTTATCACGAGTTCAATCTTTCGACAAAGTAAAACAGGTGTTTCTGTATTTTTGTAAATCACCAGATAAATATTTTAAGACTTATGGTAATACTGTGCTTCCTGACCATTTAAAGGAAAAAATTGGTGCTTGCTTTTGTGGTCAGTTATTCGTTTTTTTACTCCAACTCACTGCTACAATCACTATAGTTACTACTAGTGCAGCCCTCAGTTCTCAGAGCTCCAATTACTGTGAATAATACATGTTTTTAGGAAGAAAGGCAGCCTAAAATAACAGGATAAAACAGGTAACCCACACTGAACAACAACTTGAAAACCTATTATAGATTCATTAGGTATTCATAGTACTGTTTAAATCTTCGCTAATGCTATGGCCCCTTGATTATCGCTTGGATTAGGCCTCAGAACACTGGTGCCAACTCCCCAGTAAGAATATAGATTTTGACCGTCCTAAAAGTTGCTTGAAGTTGCACGTTGATATCATCACTTAATTCATATATTTGATCAAATAACAAAAATTGAGGAAAAAACACACCAAAAGCATTCAAAACTACTAAATGAACTTTACTAAATAATTTCAGAACCTTAATCCCTTGCCTTTAACCAACATAAAATGCATTTTTTTTTATTCAAATTCAGTGATGTGACAATGATGTGTTATGGTCAAGATGAATAAGTCTTAAAAAGGTATTTATTTTGGTTTGAAAGTGACGTTAAAAATAGATTTCCATCCTGTTTTGTAATCCAGGGCGAGATCAATGGGAGCTTTGGGTGTGCATGATTTCTTTGCAATGTGGAGTGGGGACTCTGCTCTCTGCTTTTAAAGCAGCTGGGGTTTGCAGCATGAGGCTCCTGTGAGAACGACTGTCTATCAGTGCTTTAGAAGTGGGACGTACTCACAGCGGCGCTTTGACGTGTACTTGCCAAAGTCTCCAATTTTGCAGAAGAAAAAAAACCCTCCAGATTTGTTACACAGGGCTTCTTTGAAAAAAAGTTGCTAAAAGGGGCAAGGTAGTGACCTTCCATTTATTTAATTATCCATCTGAGGGTGTTTTCAGTATACTGTAAATCAGTTCAAATCTTTTTTTTATACGGCTTATTTCCAGATAGGCAAGAGGCGGCGTACATGCTGGACAGGTTGCCAGACAGAGACAAACATCCAAACATGCTCATATTAATTCCTAGTGGCAATTTGGAGAGTCCAGTTAACCCAACATGCACCAGGTAATTGTATTTAATACAATAAAATAAAGTTGGTCAGTTGGTTAAGAAAACAAAAACAATTACAAATGTAGAATTTTCTATTAATTATAGAAAGATTTGAATATACAAAATTCATTAAAAGGGACAAAAAAGTGTTTTAAAGCCTTCTACTTTGATGTCAAATCACTTTATTTAAACTAATTTAGACAATAACCCCATAAATGCACACAAGTTCCCAAAAAAACAGAAGGCATTGGTTATTTATATTGTTCCTTTGAGCTATTTGGAAACTACAGATTCAGTCAGGTCATAAAATGAACCCCATGGCAGACTTAATGTCCAAATGGAGGACAACTCTTTCTACGTGTTTAAGCAAGCAAGCAATGCCTGTTTCAGTTTGGCCTACTTGCCGCTACTTGCCAGCTATTTTGCCCCAGGCTGAGGTGTGGCTACCCAAAAGTTAAAAGGAAAATAAAAAAGCAAAAAAAAGGAGACTCCCTTGTCACCACTTTACCTGAACAAAGTGCCGTTAATTACCAAAGAAATAAGGATAAAGATAAGATAAGCTTTTTCTAAATATGATTTTTTAAAGACATTACGTGGTTTCAAGGCCTGTCAGTAATTTTCCCCTCAACTTTTGGGGTTCTTTTGGGTGTGATTGTGTCTACATAGACTTGTAAGTAGTTAGAGCACCATTCCAAAGAATGGCTCCTCTTCCCTAAAGGGCTCTCTTTTTACCATAAGCAAACAAAGCAAAAACTCAGCATGAACCCTGAGTCAATTTTTGGAGAGTTTATTAAAGTTTACACACCAAAAAACATTCACAATATGAATTTTGTTCATTTGCATGAATTATAGCAGGGATTTAAGGTCATATGTTACATGGACAAATGAAAAAAAGTAAAAAAGTTGTTTTAAAAAAAAGGAATGTTCATGGCTTTTCATTCACATCTTCAGGCCTCTGCAGAAGGAGTGGGGTCGCACTCGGGTAGGGTGGAGGCAGCAAAACTGACCTGGACATCCTGAGAGTAAAAACCCTGAACGACCCCATCCACAACAATATCCGGGAGGTCTAAAAGACAGATCAGTGTGTGAAAAATGCTTCGTAGTGCATTAGAGTAAGTGTCAAGTGTAAGCAGGGTGCTCTTTCCTACCTGAAACGCGGTCGAAGATATGAGGGTCCTGAAAGAATCCCACCACTCGCTGATAAGGTAACTGTGTACTGAGGAAACAAAGCATAACTGGTAACCAAACGTGTATCTGCTCTTAACTGTACTTACTGTAGAACATTAAAAGAACATTAAAACTAAAACTAAGACAGACTCATTAAGCATTCATGTACGAATGGCATTACATACTAAGGGTGACCCCACAGTACAAACACGGACAAAGAAAATAGCACTCCAAAGCTTACTTGTATTCCTGACTGTCCAATTCTTCAAATGATCTGAAATTATGAACACACAAATATTAGATAATTAAAGGAGACCGTCCTCATAAAAGGGTTAATAAATAGCTTTAACCTTCAACCCTCCCCTCTGGCAGAAGGTTGAGAACCATTAGGACCAAAACCTCACGCCATAAAGAAAGTTTTTATCCAGCAGCAACTATTATTTATTATTATTATTTATTTTATTTTATTCAATATTTTTGTATTTTTATTTCTACATTGTATGTTGTTTCTTGTTTCTCATAAAAGTGTTGTGCACCTAACACCAAATCAAATTCCTTGTAGGTGAAAAACCTACTTGGCAATAAACCTAATTCTGATTCTGATTCTGATTATGACCACTAAGACTAAGAATCCCAAACGATAATTGTACGTCACACCAAGTGTGAATAAGCTGCAGTATGATGTGTGTGACATCCAGAGCTGCTGCTCCACATCAGTGATGTTTTCTGGTGTTGCTGCATTGCCCCCAATCCAAAAAATAGAGGACCCAAATATAGCAACACAAGCAGCATCTCTGGGTGCAGTCAGCCGACAACAGAGGGCTGCTCTTACTCAACACTGCTGATCTTGTTGCCTGTGTGGAAGTGTTTCAAATGGAGGAAGTCCAGAAGAACTTGTGGTATATCTTCATTTTGATAGATGATGCTCTGACAGAGAAAAGGGTGTGTTTAGTATACTGTAAATCATTTAAAACCCAGTTACATTGCACTCTTTTGTTTGGATGTTATACTGATGAAGTGGAAAATGGATACGTTCCAAAATACAGTAGAACCTCGACATACGAATTTACTTAGTTCCGGGACCTACTTTGTTAAAATATTTGTATGTTGGTTGAAATATTTCCATAAGAATACACTTTAATTCGTATAATTCGTTCCGCTGCCCAAAAACCTACAATACCTCCTTAATAAATACTGCAAATAATTAGACACAGCAATAAAACAAATGCATTATATAAGAGAGATGTGAAAATAAATAAATAATTTTAAAAAAACAATAAAAAAGGGCTTTCTACGGGCAGTTATTGGTGAACGGAGGCGTCGGCTCAGGGAGATGGAGGAGAGATACAGTACACACCGTAACTTACTCTAACTTCACTACGTGAACTCTAAACTAACTTAGCTTATCTATTTTTATTTTTTATATATAATATATATATATATATATGTATTTTTTTCCAATGACTTCGGCGTCATGTTGGAAATTTACTTCGGGTATTGAGTCAAATATTTGATCAAATTTCCCTTCGGATGTTGGAAAATTCGTATGTTTAGGCAATCGTAAGTAGAGGTTCTACTGTAATGGAGACATCTGCTTTCTTTTGTCAGACGGCTAAACAAGTGGGAAATTGTGCCCATTTAAATGGGAATGTATATCGAGATTATACTCAAAACTTGAATATATAACAACTAAGTAACAAGTAGTTGTTACATAGTAACAACTGTTCAAGTTTTTAGATCTTTGAATTCCCTATAGATGTAGGATGTAACCTATTTGTGGCAAAATCAAAGCCAACTTGTAGAGCTAAACACAAATTTTTTTTCTCTGAGACAAAAAGGCCCCTCCATAAGACATTAAATGTGCAAAAGGAACAAGATGGGTCACTTAATGTCTGGAGAATGTATAACTGTTTAGTGTATATCTGTTACAGGTATCAACTTCCACTGATAAACAGCCGACAAAGAGCAGAGTATCCTATAAACAACAGAATAATCTGACCACTGCCTGTGTGACCTTACCTGGATGTAATCCTCCAGCTCCTGTCTTCTCTGCTCCAGGGGTTTGGTCCTGAGATTGTTGTTCCTTTTACTGGGAAAATCTGGAGTTTGAAGGATCTTCCTGAGCTGCAAATACCACAAGAGAAACAGACCTTTAAATGTTTGGTTAATTTCTCATCAAAAGTATGCACGAATTAAATAACTTTTAACCACTTTCAGTCAGTTCTTTATAGAAACATGATCCAAAAGGCAGTGTATATTTGATATACATACTTTTCTGTGGAGAGTCTGGAATTCACTGTTTCTTCTGAGCACATAATGTTTCCTCTCATTAAACAAGACTTCAACCCTGAAAAGCTTTCGAAAAAGATGCAAAGAAACACACAGAGGATTCATTCATAGTCATTCCTGAGGATCTAACCCAGTTCAGAGTCAAGTGATGACAGATAAAGAGCAGAAATGTGTTATTGTGAGAGCCTTGTCCAAGTCATTTGTGACACAATAACTCTCCAGCAGGGGGAGGTACAGAGCTGAGTATTTTGCCAAGATATTAGAAATTGGATGATTAAATGTGTCTCATGACATATGAAAACTGCATTTAAAGCAAGCATGTGTGCTCATTTCAGGTAGCTATGTGATCCTCTCTATTTTGGGTAATTAATACTTGTGTCTTACAATCTATCCATTCAGAAATGTTTTGACACTTCTTTACAATGAGGCGTTCATTGTAGACTTTAGAGGTAAAATGTCAAATCAAGACGACGAGGCACATTTTTAGGAGAAAGAAAAAAAACTCTCCTCTGGGTTTTTAAGTGCCAAGTGGAGCACATTCTTCATACCAAGGCGTCGTTGGTTTTCAACTTAGAAAAAGGAAAAAGAAAAACAGGTCTGAGTGGAGTGTGACTCGCTACTGTAAGCCTCAGGAGTTACAAGACATCTTTTGTTCCTTTTATATACATCAATTAAGTGCCATTAGATATCTAATGTGTGTGTTATTGCTTTACATGGTTGCTTTAAAGCTCTGATATAAAAGACTCACTTAAAACAGCTGTACGAGCTGGTTTACAGTTAGGCTATTTCTCATTATACCTGGACATAGATGAAAACATTGGATGATGAGTATTGTAATAAGAACAGCTGCATTACATTATCATGTCCATGGTAGTTAAAATGAACTTCTACCCACAAAAAACATGCAATTTGTCTGCATGAAAACCATTTTTACTTAATTTTCAGTAGGATTGAAAAAAAAAACCCATACATTCGAAAAACATGCAACGTATAAAATTAACCAAATGAGGATAGAACTGAGATAATAGAATAAATATGAGTGTAAAAGATTAATAAAATCGCTCTGAGGCAGTGACGTGTTAAATTGATTCCCTAAACGCATCATAGCCTCTTCGCACCTTTACAGTTTACGATGTATTCCAGTTTGAATGTAGGTCAAATTTCTTTTGTGAGTCGGTGTTGGTGCTTTTGGTTTGCTAATCTCTTTTTTGTCTTTATAACTGAAGTCCCCCGAATACTACCTAACCCCCTTCCGGACTACTTTATTCTGCTTATGAAACCCTAATTTTCCAAAACTTCAAATTCAGCTGTTTGAGCCACTTCGTTCAGGAAGTGAAAGCCCGGGCACAACTCTCCCTCATCCCGCAGGTAGAAAAAAAAAAACACTCACCTGGCGACGCCTACGTTAGCGCGCACAGTAACAACAAAGTTTGGAGCAAAGAAACCAGCGAACACACCCGCAGAGCTTCAAAACAGCACAGAAAAAAGAAAAAAAAAAGCCTAACCCGTGAGAATAAACAGCGGAGCGCTCACCTTTTTGGGCTTGCCAGACTCGTCCACTTCCCTCTCCAGCGATGGTATCGACACTTCAATCATGGAGAAGCCCGCCTTTAGCACCACCGGACTCCACAGGCAGTTTGAAAGCGACTTTTTACAGTTGATGTGAAACTGCTGGGAAGGTTCGTGAGATTTTCCACAAACGTCCGGCAACTTTGGGGGAGTGCGCGCGTGTGAATGCGTGTTCGCGCGTGCGCACGTGTTGTCCTTCCAGGGCGGTTTTTCTCGCGCCCCACCTACACACTAATTGGACAAACCGCAACTGCGCGCGCTGGCTGCAACCTTAAAGGTGCAGTCTGACGTCACAGAACAAGGCCGCCGCCTGTTGCCACTCGGAGGGTAAAGAAGCCGGGGCATGGGGCATTAGTAAACCTGTATTTAGTGATTAGGAATATGTTAATTTATGTTGCCTTTTGAAGTCAGAACAAACAGCTGAAAACTCTGTGGTAATATGTTTCCAGACTCTCTGTTTATTACAGAGCAGCTCTGTTTTTAGCTGATATCTATGCTTAGTTTATTGGTCCCAGCTCTGATTTAGTCGCTAAAAGTTATTCCCTTGAAAGGAATGGTCCATTTGCTCCAGCCTTAATTTATAATTTGAAAGCTTTTTGAACGATATGGCAGTAAAACTTGCAAAACAAAAAAAGCAACATCAGTGGATGAAATGGCAATTGTGTATTCAGGAAAAGCAAGTGGGATGACTGTCTGTATGGTGAATGTGACTGTTTTGTGAACCTATGAAAACATCCATCTTGTGAACCGTTTATTTCCTGATGGGGTCACCGGGGGACTGGAGCCTATCATAGTGGTCAAAGGGCTAGAGGCTGGACACTGGACGGTCCGCCAGTCCATCGCAGGGCCACACAGAGACACACAAGGATAAACAACAACACACACTCACATTCACTCTTAAGGGCAATTTGGAATGTCATATTAACCTAACGTGCAGGGTTTTGGACGGTGGGAGGAAGCCGGAGAACCCAGAGAGAACCCATGCAGACACGGGGAGAACATGCAAACTCCACAGAAAGGTCCTGGTTCCCCCGGGTACTGGAACCCAGAACCCTCTTGCCGTGAAGCGATGGTGCTAACCACCACACCACCATATGAAAACACTGTTTAACAAATAAATACACAGTTCCTAAGAAACTATGTCTCTGGTTTTAAAGGTAATAGTTATAAATAACTGACATTCTTAATTTGGGTAAACTGTATGCTTTAGTTGATAAGCTGTCAAAATATGTCCAGGCTTAAGAGTTGAAAATGACCTTTACAACATGCCACTTTCAAATCCAGATTCACTTCCTGGTGTCTGAAACACACAAAGAAACCAAAAACAAGTGGACATTAAAAAAGGGATGCAAACCCTGAGATGTAGCACTCAAATGTACTCACATCCTCTGAAACTCACTGCCCAACCAAGTCAACCAGACTTTGTTCGGCAAATGGAAAACCTTCATGTCTCAATGTGAAGTCCTTCATTTCCTCACCCCATTTTCCTCAACAATGTTTCTGACATGCTCTGAGTATCTTTCACGGTTTTATCTAATTAGAATCACATGCTTGGCCTGTGACTCGTCATCATGGGGTTTATATCTTCTCCCCCCATCCTGGTTGTTGCTCACTGTTTTCATTCAACCAAGCAGAAGAGCTGACTTAAGCAAAGCTGTGGGGAGGATATGTGACCTTAAAAAGTCAAAAATCACAGCACGGTGTAAATATAACAGCAGTTTGCCCCTCTGCCTGTTGTGTCATCACATTTTTTACAGCGGCTTGTGGATTTATCATTCATTGAGCCTGAAATAATCGTGTCAGCAGATTGAAAGCACAAACATGAATGAAAAAGAAGATGGTCCCTATTTAGTAGCATTAAAAAGGGATTAAATTGTCAACTTAAAATCATAGGTAATATTACTTTTGACATGAATGTTTTATAAATTACTGTGCCATGTAAAAGTAACCCCTTGGCATTGTTATTTGGTTATGTTTAGGGATTGAGCTACCACAAAATAGTCCAAATTGGTGAAATGAAAGCAAAAAAGATAGGGGATGCTAGGTAAGTAAGATAAAAATAGTTCTAAACATGTCTTGGTAATCTTTTAAAGTCACATTGAGCACTATTGAATCCAGTATTAGTAAATTACATAAATGTGGCACCACAAATAACCTGCAAAGTAAGGGCAGGCCAAGGAGAGCATTGTTCACGGAAGTAGCAAAGATAAGCCTAAAAGTGACCTTAAAGGATGGTCTTTCTGGAAAAGTGCTTATTTCTTCAAAAAGAAAACATAAAAGCCTGCCCATAAAAGCCTAGCCATTATCTGTCAATGGTCTTCTCTGTCCAGATCTAGTTTTTTCTGCTTTAACTTTCTGTCTTCCTGTTGTCTGTTTTTCCTGCCCCCATTCCACACCCCATTGTTTTTTTTTTCCTTTTGGAATTTGACCAGCTTTCCTGTTTTTAAATCAAATACCTATTTCTATAATTTGTTAGCACTGGTGTTTAAATTTAACATTTAACAAAGCTAAAGATTAAACCCTACAAGCATCGGACTACAATTTTGATGTTTTTAGTATTTTTCTTGTCAACTTTCAAGTCATATTTGATAGAAAACTAGAGCCATGGTTGAAAAAAAATACATCCGGTGAAACATTTTCATTCCTTCTGGTTGAACTCTTTGCAGTGGGCTGTGACAGTCCATCTCCACACCTTCACAAGCTGGACACAACATTTAGAGGCAAACCAGCCGGTCTGGGGAGTGTGATGCAATTTGTCTGGACCTCTGTGAGAGTGAAAGAAGGCACTGTTGTTCAGAATATCTGAGTGAGCTGACACATTCTTGAGTTCAGAACCAAAAGAACACTCATCCACACAAACAGCCCCTTTTAAAGACCCAACTGTAGCACCATAATACAAAATGAAATAAACATGCAGATAAGATCCAATTATACTAATTTTCCATAAATCATGACTTACTGTGTTCCAGAAGCCCCCATCTGTTTTGAAGAATATTTTCCATCACTACCAAATTTGATAATAAGGACACCTTACTGAACAGTGAATGAAACATTTATTTCACACTTTACACTACTTTCTTTAAAACATTAAAGGTAAAAAAAATGTAAACAGCCTTGACAACAAAAGAAACATTTTAATCAAGAACAGAGTAAACTTGTTTTAAAGGATATATAAAGGAGGTTTTCCAACCTTAAAGACACTTGGAAATAGACTGGAGGAGGTCCAAATGGTCGTCCTGAAAGAAAGAAAAGAATTTGTTCTTCTCAAATGAATAAAATCTAAAACCTAACCACTAGACAGCAAACATTTGAGATAAAAAAAACTCAATCTATAAGTAGTTTATTTATTTAAACATTAATTTTAGTAAGAGTAATAATTTTCAGCATAATCACATTCCTAATTAAAAAATGTTGTATGTAGAAATTAATAAAACAAAGATAAAAGTTGGCATGGAGCAGGTAACCATGACAGAATCACAGTCAGCAGATTAAAGGGTCTCAAGTGAGGGTGTCACAATTTAGTATAAAAGAGTATCAAATCCTCAGTCTTTTGAAGGGAGAATGTTTTTTTTGTGCTGAATGCTGTGTTGAAGGAGTATTTAGGGAAGGTCAGAGAATTTCAGAATATAAAAGCTAAGGATGGCTGATATGAGTGACCTAAATAACTAACTAAAACCTCATAAATAAACAAATTACATGCCAGGGCTTTTATTTATTGCTTTTTAGGGAATACATAAGAGTAAAGTAAACAGATGGTTATCAAACAGTAGTATGGACTCTCAAATTGTTCTGCAGTAGTTTTACCTGCATGTCTGCTTCAGAGTTGAGGTAATTTAGCCTGTAGACCGTTACTTGACCCTCACTGTCCCCCACCAAGACACAGTTGGATTCTGTGGCAAACAGCATGGAGGTCAGCTTCACGCCGGGTGCAGCCTGATGTACAATGGTTGGGTGCAGTCTGAAAAAAAAGAGGGCCTTATAACTGTCTGGTGTCAAATCAGACTGAGAAAAAGCTCCACACAGACGTGCCACATGGTGGCACTCACATGCTTGCACTCAGGTCCCAGATCTCCACTTGTTGTCTGTAAATGGCTGCAAACACTGTGGAGAAGTTTGGGGACCAATGGACAGAGTACACTTCACTCTTGATTGAAGAGAAGCTCAGCACGGGGGATAAGCTGTTCTGGTTCCACAGATGGATGGTGCAGTCTGAGGAGCAGCTCAGGAACATGTCGGGATAAAACTGCGACCACTCAATGTGATTCACCATGCCCTAAGAGAGATTGAGACATGGAAACATAGAAGAATAAATCATATGCTATGTTTAATGAGTGATTTAACTGTAAGTTAGAAATACTTTCGCTAAATGTATGACTGACAATCAAAGTCTCCCTTAAAATTAAAGCCAGTCATCGAAACTTTTACCCAAAACAACTTACAATGTGTTTTTTGTAAATGTCCAGAGATTGATCGCTGTTGGAAAAGGAGCACTTGTGGATGGGGCCATCCCAGGTACCAGCAAGATAGGTTCCAAAGTTCTGCAAGATAAGTGTGAGGAAAAATGGTAGAAGCTATTTTTTGTGCAATGTGGTAGCTCTGGGTAGTTTCTATCTTGCAGTAAATGTTCCTGGGAACTTTTTCTTAAATCCTACTGATGGGTTGGATGTTGCGCTCTTAGAAAGATTTCTATGGGTGCCGCTTAACTGTGACAACTGAAGTCATTTGTAAGTGGAGGCAGCTGAATTAGAGGAGCTTCTCAGATTTACAGAGATTAATTTTTAACATGTCAGATTTATAAGACTATTATAAATCCTGAAAATGATAAAACATACTTTAATTCTGTTACTTGAAAAAAGCTTGTGATTTGTGCTCAACTTACTTTTGGATGGAAGCTAATGCAAAGACCAGGAGTCCCTGCCGTCTGAACATTTTTTGACATCTTCTTGTCCCCTGCAACCTTCCTCTTATTATCTTGAATCTTCCTCAGCTTCATCAGGTCTTAAAAAAATAGATTAAAGAATAATTATTTCACATACTAAGAACTTTATTCCACAGTTATCTATTTGTTCCGTTCGTCCTGGTCCATGCCCTAAAAAGCCTGATTCTTTAAGCACAATTTGCAATTGAATTCTGTAAAATGATAAACAAGATTCAAACACAAACAGTAAAAGCATTTTCAAAATGTGATAACAGCCTATTCTGAGTTCTGTACCGACAGAGTCGAGGCGCCCACTGCAGAAGAGCCACTTGGTAATCCTGCCATCTGCTGACACAGAGACAAGAACTTCCTCCCTCTCCTCCCCTGATAGTTTCATCTCCTTTTTAGTCCAGGTGACCTGTCGCACTGGATGCAGGTGCTCCCTGTGACAGTCACTACGGAGAACAATTGATTTTCCTCAAAATGTGAAGCGACATCTTCATTTCCACCATCCAGCTGCACGCAAACACAGTGTGGATCTCACCTGCTGTTGGCGATGCACGCCCGGCTGCCTTCCATCTGAACGTTGTAGATCGCCACAGAGCCGTCGTACATCCCCACGGCCAGGCAGCAAGGGTTGTTGGTTGAGAAATCCAGGCTCATCACGCAGCTTTGACAGGAGAAGCAGCGCTCCGGCCACTGAAAGAGGTGATGCGGCTTACAAAGGGCTGCGTTTTGTTAAGTGATTCTGAATTAATTAAAGCGTTACAACTTTAGAAACGGACCGTCGGGTTTTTGAGGGACCAACAGAGGATGAAACAAGGTTTATGGCTCATGGAGTCGCTGTCACCATAGGCTACTGCCAGGATATCCTGACAGTTGACAAAAAAGAGAGGCTTCACATATTCATTCATCACATTGATAACAAGGTAAAAGCCTACTTTAAATCTAAAGGGTTTTCTCCTTCCATTCGGTTATGCCCGTAACCACTAATCTGTCACTATTACATAAAGTGTTTAATAGTAGAAAAGTTGAAATCACAAAACAACAAAAAAAAGTTCCTTTGCAGCGAACCTCGTTTTTCTTGTTCCAGGCCATGCAGGTTATGTTATACCCTCTGGTGGGCTCGTAAACGAATGCCCACAGACGTTCCATGGTGGGAGTTCTCTCCATGTCCTCTCCATGCTGCTCCTCTTCATCAGGCTCCACCTTGCTGTCAGAATCTTACACATTCCAGATTATCATACTTTATCCCACTGTCCCACAAAATTCTCTTCAGACATAAGTGGTTGATCCTGTATATTTCTTCGCTCTAGGCTTTTGTATTTAGACAAGAGAGACATTTAGAAGCAGAGGAGACCACAGGGACAGAGTTGCACAGCTCCTGTGGGTTGAGCTCACCTTTCAGGATGGGCAGATGTCTATAAGCAGCCAGTTTTGACTGGAAGACATTTGCCTGAATGATCCTCTCCATCAAAAACAAACTCTTTCTGAACAATTTTGAAAGGATGATTTCCTCCTGGCCTTGGTCAGTCTTTAAAGTTATCCCATTGGTTTTGAAATCCGACCCTGCATTGCCTGTTGAAATAAACATGACATACAATGTTGCCAAAATATGACAAATTAAGTTAATAGATGTTTGCAATTCATTACCTCTTACAAATGCCCTGTAGCCCTTTAATAACCCCTGCCCTATGACTTCACAATCAATGTATTTGTGCTGTAACCATCTAATCAATCAAGAGGAAGGCCAAAACATAGTAATCAAACACTAATTTAATCAGCTGCCTTATATTTATTTCAACTCTTGTTACACATAGGATTATTTTATAATACTGACTGTTTTTATGTACATTTTCTAAATGTTTAGAAGTTACATTAGCCATTTTATGGGTGAAACTGTTCTGTTTACAAGCTGAATAGGAAAACAAGCTTGTCTGCAGTTACGTTGACCTCCCTGAAGATGGCACCAGAGGGAGATCGTTTATAATTCCTTTGAAGGACAAACAGATTTGAATATTTGGGTAAATTGTTTGTGAATTGTCCTAGTTATGATATAGCTTTGTAGAAAGCATGACTAAGAAAGGAATGTTGTCAAACAGTGATTCTATTATATTTTTCATTCTATTTTGACGTCTACAGTATCAAAATATCGACTTTAAAAGCAATGACATATTTCCTAAACACCGCTGACGTTTTTTTTCAGTGTGATAAGAGTAAGGTGTCTCATCCATCTATCCATCTTTCTCAGCTGAATGGGTGCAGAAAAAAAGACTTAATGTCCTATTCATTCAGTCTGCTGTAGCTACCATATATGGTCAGCTAAAATCATACAATTAATTTGTTGACCATAGAACGCCAGACATTCAATTTCAAAACTAAATATGCCTTGATTTATGTATTAAGAACATTTTGATATATACATTTACAGCAAACACTCTTTATGCATTAACGCAACACTAATTCAGCTTCTGAGTATGAGTGTATTATGAAACCTTCAACAAAGTATGAGACATGATGTAATTATTTTCCCAGTTTTTTCATTAACTATCTATGCAATTTATTAACACTTACACATTATCACTTTATCTGAACTTTCAAAACTAAACTTTTAAAAGGTTCTGGTTCCCTTTTCTGTAAGGAGTTTTGATGTCCTTCCTGTCCATGAATGGGTCTATGGGTACTCAAGCGTCCTCCCACTGTCCAAAATGATGCATATTAGGGTAACTGAAGGCTCTAAATTTGACCTAGGAATGTGTGTGTGTGTTCGATTATTTCTATGTGGCTCTGTGGTTGACTGGTGAAATGTCCAGGGTGAACCCGACCTCTTGCTTAATGCCAGCTGGGATAGGCTCCAGCCCCGCTAAGACCCCGTTAGGAATAAGTGGTATAAAAAATGAATGGATGGCTTATTTGAGTCACCCAGAGGAATTACAACAGCAGTTTAACTTGCTGATACAGATCTTGACACCAAGTAATCTCATTTGTGTTAAACATCAAGACCTTTCTATGCACACATTTACAGTTTCTTCAGACTGTATATGCAGATTTTAAGAGCAACTGAGGCCTGATTTAATTGGGAACTGTATAAAAGCATGACCACAATAGTCTGATTAGTGAAATCATTATATATATTTTTTTTTACAGTGTAGTCTGTTTAACTTGTGAGTTCTCTGAATAAGTTGTGCATCATAATGGTGTGTAATGGCTGTTGAGTGTTGATAACGACCCTCTATGAAAAGATCCGAGTAAAAAGAGATCATGTTGTTTAGGTTTCCAAATGCTGTACAAGAAAAAACAGCCAACGTAACATTCAATGTATGTACATTTTCAGGTCATAGATTCTAGTACTCTACCTCTGTCACTGCTACCACTGCTGCTCTTCTCTCTGGTGCTCACAGTAGAATCTGCTCTGTTGTTTTCAGGAGCTTTACTTTTTCTAGTGAAAGAATCATACATGTCCCAGACTGTAGCAGTTGTGCCTGTGGGCATGACAGAAACTCAGATTAACAGAGGACTGGTAATACCTCGCAAAACAGACCGCAGGCTTTGTCCACTTATGTTAACATAACCTTTATGAATCACAGAGAGCCGAATATATCACTGATAAATATGAACTGGGGTGTCTCTTTTCCCTATATATGATCAGGTGGCAACTGCTGAAAAAATGAACCCTTACCCTTTTCAGTCACAATGTTTTTGTTGGTCTGGACGTGTTTGGTTTTAGATGATCCCCCAAATGTCAGCGCTGAATGATTGACATACTTTTCACTGCCAAATTTGCTCTCACAAAGTTGAACATACAATCGGTTGCTCTCTCTGTAAGAAAATACATTTTACATTTCCGATCTGATATCGAAAAAAAACAACAACATTTGATTGGTCAAGCCCTCACTTAATCTTTTCCGCATCCTCAGCATCGTTTGAGATAAGGGTGCTTGTCATGTCCATCAGCACAATGGTACCCGTCTCAGAAATAAATACGTCAGCCAATTCATCCTGCATCTCCACATGCTTTTCCATAGTTTCTATTTTCACAAGCTCCTCTGACAGTCAAAAGAACACACATGCATGAAATTAACATAATGACTCTGTCAAGTAATTATATTAAAACGTACATTTCAGCTTTTTTGCTGATAAGCAACATGACCCAAAAAAGATAGTAACCGCAGTGAGCAGGGAGTTTTGAGTTGATGTCAAGCGGAGGAAGAACATTCTCTGTCTCTTTAGTCACGGTTTCCCTTATGGAGAAGTTCGACAAAGTCCTGCTACCAATAATGGAGCTGCTGAGCAATCTGAAAACACACACACACACACACACATAAATGTATAAATGGATTATGCCTCCATCACTTGGTTACTAGCCAAGTTGCGCCATGACAAATGGGTTGAACACCCTCCACTCATCTATTATTGATCAGTCCCTGGCGTTCTTTTTGAGGATCAATTGATTTGTTGTACATCAGCAACTGGTACCTGAAACAGCCTGTGTTTAGGCTAAAGGAGGATTTTGAGTGCTCTGATCCCATGCTAGCAAAGATATCACGCAGAGGTGTATCTCCTGACTCTGCAAGTGTCAGGGCAAGAGGGGTGACATTCTTCCCTTCAGCATCCACCACCTGCAACGAGGAAAGACACAGTCAGAACTTCAGGCATACACTTACTTTGAAAAGCCTGTTCCTTATAGGTTTTGGGCACAATCTAATCTCAGCACATATCAGAAAGCTAACCTGTAGTTAAGCAACACTGCTAACATCATGACAAGAGGGAAAATGCCTGGTCAGTTCAAGTCAGAATACCTTCGCTGCTCTTTTGGGAGTCTGATCGTTTCTGTTGGCACCGATGTGTTGGCCGTGGCTGCCTTTTTGCTTTACGAAGAGAAACTTCTGCTTTGAACTTTGGCTACCTTTGTGGATCCCTGATCCTGAATGACTAAATGCTCCCGAGGATCTAACACAGATAAAGCAACGAACAGAGAAGAGATTGGAATGAACGGTCACTTATGTTATACTTCAGGCTAGCACATTGGATTAGCATTTATTTACGTTCGTGTGAAATGAAAATTAACTTTATTTAAAATATACACTTAAATGTTTCTCTTTTTTGTGACAATATACTTACGAATTAAGCCCCACACTTCCCCTCTTCATGTTGTCCTCTGCAGTTGCAACCTTGGCTCGTTATTTTTATCCACTACGTTTAGTTTTCTGAGCCCCTCTAACCTGTTGCACGTTAAGCTCTCGCGCCCGTCAGTTAACTAAGGATGACAGTGATTGAAGTTAGCCTCAGGCACGCACGTTTCGTTTACACCTTGGAACTGCAATGGTAAGAAAACCAACGTGGAACTTACTTTGTATCCATTTTCTAGGGAAGAAGTTATCGTACAGCTAGCATTGGTCTTAAAATATCTAATTAATTTCGTTTGTGGTTTGTTGCTTGGAGGATGGAGTTTTAGCAACTTGTTCAATAGCTCTTTTTTAAACCGTTTTTGCTACACTTCTTATAACTGGGAAACGACTTGTCGCGGAAACAATTAAAACTTTGTGAGGAGTTAAAGAAGTGGTGAAATGCCACAAAGTAGTAATACCTATCTTGAATATCTTTCAACAATTAACATAACATTGATAACTTGAAAGGGCTAGGTCTGCTTTTAAAGCACTAGTAATTATATGTATGTTCATAACGAAGATAACGAAGCATTTCACAGCCCGCCTTCGGTAGAGTGTAAAGATCCATGACAACGGGAAAAAAATAATCACGTGACTGTCGCATCATCGCTCCCCTTCCTCATCCCGGAGATAACGGCGGTGTCTGTGTGCCTTTAAGAGCCGCATATCCTGCCACCTTCTGCACTAAATCTCCATCGTTGCTCCCCGTGGGCGAGAGAAAAAACACAACAAAGCCACGGCCATGTCCGCCAGCTCTGCTTTCAACGACGAAAAGGGGGGCTCGTCCAGCGTCGGGGAGCCCGAATATGGCCACGACCCGGCCAGCGGAGGGATTTTCTCCTCCGACTACAAGAGGTACTCGAAGCCGCCCGCCACAGCTTGATGCCGCTCTCTATATCGTCGGGTTAGCGGGACAGCTTATGGAGGGGGAGGTGCAGCTCGGAGGCAGCTTCCTGGATGTAAAAATGCGCTAAAGTGGGATTTATTTTAGTCGCGAATGCTTTTAAAATCAGATTGAAGTTTGTTGGCTTTGGAGGGGGCCGTTTTGGAAAGCACCGACTGTGTCCCGCTGCTCCTGAATCCGACCGTGATTTGGCCGCTTTAGCAGCATGGCCGCCGGGTTTGACTTGCACCGTCCGTCCTTTCAGCGATCAGCATTTAAAGACCGCTGATTCTGGGTGTGTGTGTGTGTGAGGTTTGTTTTTCGGGAGGTGAGATGGAAAGGGGGGCTGAGAGAAGTGATGTAAGGCCTCCTCAGCTCCAGCGTTTTTCAGCACCACCCCTGCTGGACAGCGGCTGTAGCTCACACACTGTGACCCGAAACCCGTTTTCAGCATCCTGACCCTGCTCTGAGCAGCTGGATGTCCTCATCACTGAGTTTGCCCTTTTCATTTTCAGATACGATAACGTGCATCACAAGGATATGCTGGCTTAATTCATTATTTATTAGAACTGCAGAGTCTCAATGTTAGATTTCCACTTATTGGGGTGTTGACTCACCACTTTCTAACATAAATGATTCATTTGCTGAAATGTTCACCTTTGGTTGTTTTCTAGGTCAGGTAACAGGTTGGGCAAGTATTCACAGATTCATTTTTAAAGTCCAAACAGCAGATTCTGAATCAGCAATATGAAAAGACTAACGGGATATTTTGGAGACTAAAGTATGTCAGTGATTTTGCTGCAAAGGTGGAGGGATGTCTGAGTTTTCAGCTGATACATCCAGGGTACAAACTGTTTATTGCTACATTCTGTAGTCTCAGGAAGCATAGTTGGTGAAATACTTGATATCATCAAAGCAAACTAGATCCAGGACAAGTGCTTAATGCAGGAAACTGCGTGGCCCCTCTTAAAAGTTGATTTGTATCTCATCCTACTTCTGTTGATATATATCATGCAATGTTGCTGTTTTCCATTTCCACTGTGTTCAAATTAACTAGATTGGAGTCGAAAGAGCTTTCTGATCTCTTCTTTTGTCTTTAAATCAAACTAGGCCCTTGGTAATGGCTGAAATGTGAACAGCGGCTGTTTGTTAAACACTAAAGTTATTTCTGATGATCATTGACATCAACAACACAGCAGATAAAAGATAAAGCCAATGCAGAAAAATGATAAAACATTGTATTTATATAAATCACTCCTCCTCTATGACAATCGGATACATTATTCCAAGAGTTTTTTTAAATGATCACAGAGGCTGAGGGAGCATCAGACACCTAACTAGAAATAGCAAAAGGTGAGTTAAATAAATATTTATTTTAATTTGAGAGGAGAGTTGTGCTTATGAAAGATATCCAAATTTAGGCAAGGCTCTGTTAAGCACTATTTTACTATTTTAGCCATGTTTGCCATTCACTTTGTTAATCTAAAAAACAAACAAAAAGCAATTTTGAGCATATGATGTTTTTTTTTTATCTCCATCTAATGGTTAACATATGACAGAGTTAGTCCTTGTTTTCCCTGTTGGACCTTTTTTTTAAACATATAATCAAAATGTAGGAAATAGAAAGTTCAGTTACATACACTCATATAGTTGCAATATCAATTATTCCAAGTAGGGTTGTGGGATGACTGGAGTCTATCCCAGCAGCCGTTGGGCAAGAGGCCGGGTAAACCCTAGTCCAGGGGTCACCAACCTTTTTGAAACGGAGAGCTACTTCATGGGTACTGAGTCACACGAAGGGCTACCAGTTTGATACACTCTTCTGAAATAATACATTTTCTCAATATGCTTTTAGCTATACTTTATTAATAATCATTAATGATACTCATCTGTGACAACAGTGACAGCAAAATGGGAAACATCAATATCCACCACTTTATCTCTATTTATCTCAGCAACTGTAAAATTTTCAGATGATCACTTACTGTACATCACTACATTTACATAGGAGTTTTCAATTTCACTCATTTTCACTAGCCACTGACAAAACCTTTTAACAAATCATGAACTATGTTGCACCATGTTTCAAAACCTTATCAATTATCTAATGTTAAATGAAAATCAACTCACATATTAAAAAGAAATCTGATATCTCATGACCAAATCTTTAACAGATTGGCATTGCATGCTGTTCACCAGTGCATTGTAATCTGGTGTGTAACTTGACACTGCAACTGTGAGTGCATATTTCAGATGTGCTTTTTCTGCCCGTAGTGCGCTTCCCGGTGGGTAGTTAGCATGCTAGCTTTTGTGGCACGAAGTCACGTGCACAATACTGACCTTTGAACTAGAGAAAACTTAAACTTAATATATAATCAACATATTTTTAAGATATTGTCATTTTAAATCAAATCTATATGAATGCAAGTGTGATTAAAAAAGAATAGGAACGGAACAAAATTAAATTTTAGACGCAGCTCACTATTGAGTTGTGCTAATTTTAGAACAGGCCTGCGGGCGACTCGTGTGGTCCGTGCGGGCGACCTGGTGCCCGCGGGCACTGTGTTGGTGACCTCTGCCCTAGTCCATCACAGGGTGGTACATTGAAATGAATTCATCTGGCGTGCTCTTAGGGATTTAAACTTGGAGCCCTCCTGCTGCTAGGTGACGGGACACAACAGGACAGTGCAGCCCATAAGTTATATAGAATTCCAGCCAAAAGTTTGGAAACACTTACTTTCCTTATTCAAAGTGAAGGTTTTGCTGGGACGATTGATAACATATAATCATTTGACCTGAAACTATGCACTGATTACATTTTCCCGCAAAGTTTTAAAAAAAAAAACCATTGAATGTTGATATCTGATGGCCAAAAAACATGAGGCTCAGAATTAGTCAAATGGTTCATTAAGATCCAACCCAATGCTGTAATTGTCGTGTATTTGCTGTTCTGATTAAGTGAAATGACAATTCCTGCTTTTAGAAACATTTTGAAAAGCATGTAAATGAGTGAGTGCTAAAAATGACAATTTCAACACCACATGTGGACTTCTATTAAGTCTTCTTTTTTTTGGTTCCTACCTTTGGGGAGCACAATCATTATGACACACAGAGCCAGCAGATGGCGCTCTGGGTATGTGGCACATTTCTGTCTGTGGCCTGTGAGGCTCCTGCCTGTTAAACTTGTTTGTTTAAAGCTGCTTGTGGTGAATGGAGTCAGCCGTCGTCGCCGTGTTCAGTGTTGTTGATACAGACTTCTGTGTTTGCATACGTTGATATCTACTCGGTGAAAGCGGTCTAGCCAGTTCTCCAAACAGGATGGTTAAAATCACTGACTCGACTCTCATGGCAGTCTCCATGGAAACATGTCAGATCTGAAATGTGACTTTGGCATCAAAGGGAGTCTTTTTCTGATATTGAATTAACATCAGCATTCCTCCTCCGTAAAAGCTTATGACTGCCAGTGGCTCTGCATGAATGGGGGCTTAGAGTCCACATCACGGCAGACCCGGGTTTGATCTCTGACCTTCCGTCTTTAGCTAAATGCTGTCCCTGCCTCTTTTTCTGCACTGATCTTACTACAAAACATGTATACAAAGTTTATATAGCGCTGAAAATGACATTTTATGAATCACAGGGATGTTTGGCCATTGCCATTGGCTGGGTAAGAATGGATAATTTAGGTTTTGGTTACCATTAACATTTAAGAAAAGTTGATCTTCCAAATGCTGTGAAAGATTATGTAGCTGTTAGTAGTAGTTTGGGTAGAATTTAATACTCTGCAGGTGCTGTTGTGGTGGAACCGAATATTCCACTTGTTAAACTGATTATTGATCGCATTTCCACGTATCTGAAAAATAACGGGTTAAAAACACCATTTTGAAACATAGTCAAAATTAAGATTAGCATCTAACTGCTTTGGAAGAAATCAAAAGGGAAAAAAGAAAGCTATAAACAAATCACTTCACCTTTGTTGCACATCATAGAAAGATTCTAAGAGGTCATTTTGGCCTCTTGTTTGTTTGTCAGCAGGTGGTCATGCTTATGAAAGGAGATCTGACCCTGGGTATTTGCCGTTGTTTTTGCCAATAAAATATTAATTCACCTTACAACCTTCAATATCTGCTTTATACCATGTAAAGCTCCAGCTGCCATAAGGTGAGAGGCAGGTCACACCCCGGCCTGGGCAGTTTGCCAGTCTATCACAAACCAAAAGGGGAAGAGATCTGTGAAATATGAATGATAACAGAAGTATTTGCAAACCCAAACTCAGTGAATATTGTGTGATGCAACATGCAGCAAAGTAAAAGTGCTTGCCTTAGCAACTGACGGGCTCCGTTTGTTCCTACAAGGGCATGGAAATTGTAGAGATGATGCTTTACAGTGACTGAGCTTTAGCACAATGCATCTAAGAAACCTTTTAGGGCCATTTGTGCAGCTGAGTATGTCATGACTGCCAGGAGACCAGATCAAACAAAGGAATCACTGGGGTTAATTTACACGTCAAATATTGACCTGCTCTTCAGTCTGTGAACAACACTTTTCCTCCAGTGAAACTTATCTTCGTAATACTATCACATATTTATGATAATAAACCAGACTTGTCCATTCCAAACCCTACCAGTTTTACTTTATCATTTAATCTTCACTATTAAACATTTGAGAGTTTTTTCCTGCTTATATAATTCTTTTTCTGAACTAGGGCTTGATTGCAAAAGAAATGATAGAAGTTGAAAATGTGACGGAAAACTCCGCACCAGTCGTAAAACCACTCCCTAAGGGATATATTTTTCAATACTAGGCAGCCTCATACAAAGAGTCGTGTTTCAACAGAATTTTCTGTCATTAGTATTAATTGAAACACATAGACCTCTAGTACTGCTAATTTATACATTTCTTGGATCTAAATATTGCTCTTAAACAGATAAAGACAGATTTTTGGGGGGTAGTTTGTCACCTTTAATGGCAAACTAAAAAGCTAGTCAGTTATTGTGTCAGTTTTTTCTGCCCGTGTATTGTTTTAGCTAAACTAATTCAAACATTTGCTAGCTCTAGCATCATAGGATAGCCTTCCCATCTAACTCTGGAGCCATGGGGCACAGTTCCTAACAGTCTTGTTTTAACTATCAGCCCAACAGGGTTTGGAGATTAATTATCAAACTTCTCCACATGAAAGAGTTTATTAATTCATGAACATCTTTTTACAGTATATTCCCTCAGAGATACTCTTGTCGTCTTTCATGTGGAGGACACGATACAACTGTACCGCACCCACAATCTGCCAGTTTTGTTCCTTTTTTTTTTTAGATAATTCAAGGGACTTTTAAATCAGAGTTGGAAGCAGAATTCTAATGTCATAATGAGAAGAGACTCACAAAACTGGAGAGGATGTTCATATTTGATAGAGATTACTATAGAAAAGAGATAAAAGCCTGCAGTCTGTTCAGCCGTCATTATCAGTCTCTGTGGCAACCGTAGAGAGAAGGATGTTCCTTTTTTTTTTATTAAAAAACATTAGAAGCTCAGATTGTTAGTGTGTTGCACTTTCAGCACAGCAGCCTCAGGCTGTATCTGCCGGAAACATCACAGGATAAAATTTACATTAGCCTCTAGTGTCTGTCAACAAACCCTGGCTGAGCTGTGGCCCATTGCAGAGACCGCATACTGTATGTGAAATGTCCTTTTAGGTAGTTATTTTTGTCCGAGCTGAGCCAAAATGAGTGGAAGAGAAAGAAAGAGGCATCCTCATCACGACACTGGCGAGTAAGCTGAGTCATGGAAGAGGGGGGCGGGAGGGGGGGGGGGAGCGCCACATAGACTATTAAAGATGAATGTATTGGGACAGATTTTTTATTTTAGCGATCAAGAGCGGAGAGCAATATTTAACAGCATGTGTCACATAACAGCAAAGCCTGTTGGCAGCGTGTTCTGGTGAGGCTGTGAGACGGAGGCAGAGTCAACACGAAGGGTGGAAATGAGCTTTGTAGCCGTTTAGGTGAAGTGTCGGAGCAAATATGACAGGCATGAGGTGGAGGAGGGGGGAGAGAATGTGAGCAAACAAAGAAAAAAAAAAGAAGAAGACGAGGCAGGAGAGGCTGTGTCATTGTTCGGGAGAGCCGGGGCATAAATGCATGCATGTGTTGCAGCAACAGGAACCACATGAGCAGCGGGAGGAGCTGCCAGAGGAGAGGCGTCACGGCAAATAAAACTCCCCCCGCCCCGCCAAGCATCCATTTACTGAGCAGCTGATGTTGTGCTGCTTCACTGGATGTGCCGGGGAGTCAGCGGGAACCGAGGGGAGGGAAGCACAAAGTGCCGTGGAGCTCTGCTGAATCTGGATCAGAGCACCGAAGCATCAGAGAGTGCATCAGCCTATCCACAGCGGAGCGTTGAGGAAAAAAAGGGATCGGCGTGCCGTTCGTGCGAGAAATGTCCACGTTGGATGTACTCAACCTCAGAGGGGAGGGGCATCACTAACACGGAGGCTGACACTTCCCTTTCTGTCACATGAGAGCTGCCTGACGGACATCCAAGAGGATTTTTTTTACTGAGAAGAACCGCCCGAGAACCCCGTAGCCTTTCGGCCACTTTTGTCCGACAACAGGTCGACGTCCGAGCTGGGGGAAGATGACCACCATGCAAAAGCTGCTGCTGCAGCTGCCGGTGAACGCCGCCAACATCGTGAAGACGGTGCAGAGTCAGGTCCAAGGCCAGGAGGAAGACAAGAGCCCCGTCCTGACCCCCGACGGCGCGCAGCAGGCTTGGTACAGCGCGCTCCAGCCAGACGAGCTTCGCCACCTGCGATCCGGAGGCACAGGTGGAGGAGGTGGAGGAGGAGGAGGAGGAGGAGACCAGGAGGACCGAGGCCAGCTAGAGGAAGGTGGTGGTGGTGGTGGAGGTGGCAGTTTCCAAACTCAACCCCTGCGGTAGGATAATCCAGATGTGTTCACCCCCTTCCTCTATGCTGCAGTTCTTAACCCTCTCCGGTCCAAATATTAGAGTACAATAAGAAGACAAGTTTGGAATTTCATCAGCCAGTTACAAGTGATCTATTCAGGCTATTTCTGAGGCTTTTTTCCCAGTCTTTGTTTCCATGTCACCAAATCCTGGACTGTTCTGCCACCTGATGCCTCCAGAAAGTGTGGATGTCATGCAGAAAGAGGCTATACGCTACAAACCAGTAGCCTATATGGATAAAGTTAAAGCAGAACTAAAATAAGAACAGTACCGAGATAGAGATTGAGATTATTTGAAGAAATTAGTTACTAAATATTATGGTTTCTTATGGATGCAGAATTAATTAGCTATTTTGTGTAAAAAAAAACTTTAAATGCTCATTTCAGAGTATGTCAAATGAGAAAAGAAATACATAAAACACCCTCTGATTTGTTTTCAACTCAAGATAATGCTTTAACTCACGTTTTAAGATGACACCGGGAAGTATATCTCAGTTGTTTCTTACAGCCTAGATTCGCTTTCAAGGGTCAAAATAAGATGGGAACCAGTTAAATAAGACCTTAAAGTTACCCAGGCCAATCAGAGAAGTGAACAAACACTGATGAAAACACCACAGGAGCCACTCTTTCTTCATCAGAACCCGAACCTCAACAATGAAAAGCAACAAAGTGTCCCTCAGAGATCTTTTTAAGAGATTTGTAATTACACCGTAGGAGCTATTTAGCTCCTCACTTGTTCTTGCTTTTCAGGCTGACAGCTGCACCGTGGCACGCTGGTGGTGATGTTACTGCCAATGCTCAAAAGAGTCAGCTTATGTAAAACAGCCGCTTATGAATGCAAGCAGCAACTCACCGCCGATTCGGCAAATGAATTTTCATAGCATCTCCTTTTTAACGCTGATAGAAGCGGGCATAGGGGAGGCATCTGTGCTGGTATCCGCGAGATCTCGTCTACTTTTTGGGGGTGCTCTCCGGCAGGAGAAGCCCTGCTGATCTCTTGGCTTTGGTGGCTGGTAACCCGACCTGACCGTGCGCTCCGTCGTACCACAGCCATTTGAATAATTCAGAGCGGTTGTGAATTCAGCTGCTGTTTGGCAGGATGGGAATAAGGCAGGGAAACGCGAGAACCAGAGTCGGCGTCGGATTACCGAGGAAAACTTTGGACGTGAAGATCCTTTTTCAAGACGAGGCTTCATTTTGAGTCTTCATTCACAGAGGTGTCAGGCATGATTTGTAAAACTCAGACAAAATAAGCTTTAATGGTTCAGACCCCCCATTGTGTGTGGCGGGGACCATTCTTCCGATATGATGCCTGCTCATGATAAGTGATGATTCCTTTTTGACAGGTTGCCATGCCTGTGTACACTAAAGATAATTAAGCCTTCCTGGTTTGCTTATAATAAGATCTCCTGAAGGCTTATTTGCTGTCAAACAGTCCACACGAATGCATGTCACAGTATTAATTAGCCAGAATGTTTGAGCTGGTGGAAAACGAATTCGGAATGTTCGCATTGGGTGTCCAGTCACGTCCATGGGCAGGTTATTTAGCGAAGGAAGCTGCTGAATTGTGAAAATAGCTCATCAGCTTTGAATGTAAATCTTAATGAGGGGACTTCCCGTTATGAATTCGAAAGAAAAAAAAACGGAGGAGGGAAGGCTTGAATCCAAATTTAGATTCTGTACATTTCAGATTTCACCCTTATATCAAAAGCATCTAATTCAACTTGGGTTGGGGATTTAGGCATTTTCGGGGGGCTGGTAACAGTTTAACAAGGCTGTAACAGACAGAAAAGGGAACGCTAATCCTCTTCCTGTTGAATAAACATAATCTGTAAAGCAAAATACTTTTATAGATGATGTCCTTTGTTGTTTAAAGACGGCACCTTTTAACCTGCTAATGTGCTTTCCACTACAGCCCTTATCTTTGCTGACATTATTGTTGTTTTCGTGAGTAACTATTTTAGCTATTGGATGATTGAAAGGAATATTTGATGATATGTGCCACGTTGTCTTAGAGATGAATCATGAATCCTTCTTTTTCCCTGTGGCGGCTCCAGCGGGTTGAGTTATCAGCGACAAACATATGAGATTCCCTGTGAATTGACTTTTCCTGACTTTTTTTCAACCGAACACTGAGATCTTTCTGGTTTTGATGGATATTTAAACATCTACTCTCTCTCTCAGCCCTTTAGCCGAGCGCTGACATCAGATCAAAGTCCGCTCACAGCGCTGTTGAAGGATTTGAGTCCCTTTCCCTTGTATCTGTGCACGCTGACAGAAACACAGACAGCAGGTGTAGTGATTTATTCATACATGCAAAGATACATTTCCCATTTTCTGTTTCGGACGGGTTTTTATTTTACCTCGTTTCTTACCAGCATCACTTTCACAAACAGTTTTTTAAATCTTTTTTTTATTCGTCTGTCCGTCATTATTACAGTTTTCTCAAAGTGCCCAAAGACACCATTGAAACCCTTGATGTGTTTTTTGTATCAGCTCTTTAATCTTAAAAGACCCACTCTAATGGAGTCCCAATGATGACCAGAGGCTGCCACCAGTGAGAAGTCAAAACGAAGTACATTACTTTGGTAGTAAAGACAAAATCACACATTTAGAAAATTTAAAAAACGTGAAATCATGTGTCCCACAATTATTGGAACCCCTAACAATTATGCAGAAAAATGTAATTGATTTCATTTAAATATATTTTTCTGTAGTTGCTAAAGTTGGTCAAGGTATCTAGGAACTTTTAATTAGTAAATCATGACTTCCTGTTTCCCTGGAGTATAAATATGACGTGACGATTTCACGTTTTTTATTTTCTAAATGTGTGATTTTATTTTTACCACCAAAGTAATTTACTTAAATAAAAGGTTGGATTTTTCTCATTTTTTTTATTTGGGTTCTAATTTGTTTTAAAAAAAGAGAGACTTATTTAGTAGTCCTCAACCACATCATAAACAGGGGTGCCAATAATTGTGGAGGGCAAAATGTACTTTATGTACATTTTTATGATACAAAAACACATTTGTAGACAAAAGAACCAGCAGAAGGTCAGGGCCTTCATCCATATATAATCTTCACTTTCAGGTTTGAGTTTGATTAGCCTCTCTTGATTTGATTTATTTATTTACTTTTTGAAGTGCGCGACAAAGCGAGGCATACTATTTTCGATGGGATGCGCTTACCAACGCTTTGGCGCTCCATGGATGCAAAAGCAGCGGCTTCCCTCAGCACATGTTGAAGTCAGGGCAAAGTCGTGATGAGCTCGCTGCGTTCTGCAGCCTCCACCTCCTCACAGGCTGCCGGGCGCATCCTCATGACCTAAACAGAGTAGTAATGCGGAACACCTCGGCCGCCTCCCCGTCATCGAAAACTTCTGGCTGCAGGTGGATCGCTTGGCTTGGCATGGAGCGAATGAAACCTTTTTCCAATTCTCTGCAAATATGTTATGTAGGATTGTCATGCAAACTGCCTGGCCTTAGTGGTGTGTATAAGAGGTGATTTCACCTGCCCCAAACACAAATATTTACATATGTGTGACTGAATCCCACGTCTAACACCTGTTATGTAACAGTGGGAGTGGTATGAATCAGAGGCACACTTCTTTTTGCAAACTACACTCTTGGGGCAGGGTTCTCAGAGCAGAGACAGGCTCTGCAGGAAGGCAGAAAATCAACAGGCTTGCATCAGAAAAAGGGGAGATTTGGGGAACACAAGATTTCCCTTTTTCTCATGGACTGGCCTTGCAGTATTCAGAGCTTTTACACCATCAAATCAGAGTAAAAAATGATGTGAGTCACCCAAAAATGAATGCTGCACCGTGCAGGATAATAAAATGATCCCAAAGCAAATATGTGCCCTAATTAAAGGCAAAATACTGAATAACTACCGAAAAAAGGATTTGCGATGGATTTAAAGCGTTCATACCCCATTCAGAGGTGTCAATTCTGAGGGATCGAAGAATTCCAAACCACATTCCACCATTTCAAAGAGAACCATCTCTGGGTCACAGCATTTTCAGCGCTGGCTGCAAATCGTGAAGCAGGTGTACATGTCCTGTCTGGGTTCTCTGCCATAGTTCAGCAAAGCTGTGCTGTGAGCTGATTTTGGTTGTTTTCTCCACACAGACACGACGACTTGAAAGAGATGCTGGACAGCAACAAGGACTCCCTGAAGCTGGAGGCAATGAAACGGATCGTGGCTGTGAGTAGCAAATAATATTTACTGTGGGGTACTCCAGCTGAGGCTGAAGGACAAATGGAAGAAAAGCAGTGGAGCTAGATATTTAGACGCAAAACATAGAATAGTTTTTTTTTTTTTTTAAAGAAAAAGGAATGAACACCCAACATTTAAAGGCTCTATACTTTTAACTTGTAGATGGGCGGCATGAAAACCGTGCAGTATTCATTATCTGTGTCAGATTCCTTCTTCTGAGGCTCCACGCTCATCTTTTCATTCATCGACCCTGCGGGACAGGGACGACCAAAGAGAGGAAGGAAAGCTCGAAAAGAGACTGAAATGAAATGTGTTAAGCAGAAACATAGCCCTTTTTTCCTCATAAAGTTGAATCTTTTTCCTGATTAAAACCCCTGAAACCCTTAAAATCTCCCCCATTGCTTCATAGGTTTCTGATCACTCATCTTTCTCTCTATCTCTGTGCAGATGATCGCCCGTGGCAAGAACGCATCAGATCTCTTCCCGGCCGTGGTGAAAAACGTGGCCTGTAAAAACATCGAGGTCCGTAACCGACCTGAATTGGTGTTTGCTCGTATTCTCAGCACTTCAGAGCGACCTCAGAGGCAACAACTGAACCCAACCGTTCCTCTCACTGCCCCTCTCTCTAGGTGAAGAAGCTGGTTTATGTGTACTTGGTGCGTTACGCCGAGGAGCAGCAAGATCTGGCTCTACTCTCCATTTCCACATTTCAGCGTGGGTTGAAGGTACATGTACAGTAGTTTCCCTTTTGCCCTAATCTTAGCCTTACCTCATATTTTTATCGCCTTTTGTTTGGAGGCAGGCCACTGTCAGAAAACTCCCACTCTAGCGTTGATGTTTTTGTACCACAGTTAAACAGCTTTTACATAATTCAATCTTACCGTCTTTGATAATCATATTACTCATTGTTAAACTTTTGCGCCATTGGTTCTGCTCTTAAGATGGCTGAATTGTTAAAATTTGTATTTCTTTCCTGTCAGTTTTGAACTAATATGAGCAAATACTTCCCAAACACATGATATTCACAGTAGATCCCCCACAGTTTTAATTTGTGTTGGGTCGTTAGGTAATTGTTATGCTGTGATACTTCCTTACCGAAGTGGCCAGTATGGTTGTAGACTCCTTAGCTTCTTTTATATCTGTTACACATTGACGATCCTGTGAAATCACTTTTTTGTAATTTGCCTCGTTCGCCTGCAGGATCCGAACCAGCTGATCAGAGCCAGCGCCCTGCGAGTCCTCTCCAGCATAAGAGTTACAATCATCGTCCCTATCATGATGCTGGCCATCAAAGAAGCTGCTTCAGACATGTCTCCGTACGTTAGGAAGACAGCCGCACACGCAATCCCCAAACTGTACAGGTACAGGCATGACAGAGCCACCATTATGGAATGACTGTGATCTGTGACTGATCTGAAACTCATTAAAGCTATTCTGGAGAAATCCATCTAGTTTTGCAACTTAGAGTAAGATTTGAAAAAATGCGAACAGTTTATTTTTTTCTTACTTGTTCTCAGTTTGGACCCCGAACAAAAAGACCAGCTGATAGAAGTCATCGAGAAACTCCTCGCAGACAAAACCACGGTGGGTTCCCCTCCCTGTATTTTTCACATACTCCAGTTTGTAAGTGTTTTACTTTAGTGGGATTTTTTCTTTAGTCTTTTCGCGCATGTAAATTCACAAAACATCACAAGAAACTGCTGTACACAAAACCAGAAGGCTCCTCATGACTCAAGCTTATCATTTGTTTACCTATTCTGTTTTTTTTTTCCCACATCAGAACAGTAACTAGAGGAAAATTCAAATTCAAAAAACATTCAGAACTGTTTAACTCTTGCCTATTTTATTCATTTTCCTTCTCGCATCAATTTAAAAATGTTCTGGTGTTGAGTTTGCAGTGTGACCACTGGTTGTACGAGTTATTATATTACATCACTCATGGAAATCTTTCTGAAAGGTTGCTATCGTTAAAATGGTTTTCTATCCCGATATCCCCCCACACATTCTTAGCTGTGGACAGCTCAGACCTGCAGGCAGGTCAGTCCACAAACCAACCTCAGGCACACCTTTTTATGTGTTATCAGAGGACGAGTTTTATTTTGCTCATGAAAAGATGAGGCAAAAAAGGATGCTTTGAAACCACTGCACTCACACAAGCGTAAATGAACAATTCTATAATCACGAGCTGGGCTTTTGGAAGTCCATCTCTACAAATTTAATGGAAAGCTTTTTTTTAAAACTGTTTTTCTGAACATGATACATGGTTTTAGTGTGATTGGATACTGAGAAAATCAATGTGGCCCCCAGGGCAATGTTAACATAAAGCTTCTTATTTTGCACTGTGGAGTTTGAATTGATGTCTTTGAATGTCTGGATTTTGACAAACGTTTCCCTTGTCCCAACTGTTGATGGTCTGTTTATAGTTGTCAATGCTGGGCTTTTTCTGTGGGGTGATGAAAGCGGCTGTCGTATAGAGGCTTGATGCCTCGGCCTTTACTTATTAAATCCTCAATATTCTTTAGAGATGTTACACACGGCAGAAAGAAATAAGCATGTCCTCTCTAACCCTCCTTTGAGCAAAATACTTTGAAAATGTTGAATAATTTTTTCTTCCACATATTTCTTAAAGGCGAAATCTTCCAATCTAACTAACTTTACTAAGAATCATCAGCATTTTCAGTTCAAACCGTGTTACAGTAGGAAATATGGATGATATTCTTGGCGCAGTTGGTGGCGGGAAGCGTCGTCATGGCCTTCGAGGAAGTGTGTCCGGAGCGCATCGACCTGATCCACAAGAACTACAGGAAGTTGTGCAATCTCCTGATTGACGTGGAGGAGTGGGGACAGGTTGTCATCATCAACATGCTGACACGCTACGCCAGGACCCAGTTTCTCAATCCAAACATTAATGTGAGTAATAAACGCATGCAGGGGGTGTCAGCGAGTGAGGCAAAAGTTTCTTCAGTATGTCAGTTAGTTCATCAATCACAGAAAAATAAACAAAAAGCATTAAAAATGCTGATTTCACTCTTCCCAACTTTATAGTTGGAGCTTAAAACAAAACACCCAGCAAGGGGTGAAAAAAACAGCTTGATTTAATCATAGTCCAACAGAAAAAGCTATATTTTTTATTTTAAATCTTTAGTGTTATCACTTTATGAGGGTTAATAACATATTTTTGATTGCATGGCAACATACTAAAAACAAAAGACAGTTTGTGGCTGTGATAATTCCCTCTTCATGAGGAAATTCTAAATGAATTTCTTCTCTATGTATCTGTTTTCTATCCAATGGAAGCTTGTAGAAATGAGTTTGTCCACCAATGTCCTCACCTATCTGCTTGCTTTGCAGGAGTCCCTGCTGGAGGAGGGAGGAGGCGGGGACAAGACCTTTTACGGCTCAGATGAAGAAGAAGATGAAGATGAGGAGGAGAAGGAGAAAAAGGCCGAGGTAGCCGCCATGGCCAAGAGGAAGCCGTATGTGATGGATCCCGACCACCGGCTGCTTCTTAGGAACACCAAGCCGCTCCTACAGAGCCGCAATGCAGCTGTAAGACACACACCTGGAACACACATCACAGTGCGGCTCAGCAACCCTCCTTATGACTCTGTTTCCATGGCACAAATCATAATTGTTTATTCTCCAACATTAGGACCTTTCTTCGTGTAATGAAGCTCCTCGTCTGAGCCATTTCAAGTGTTGCCGGTGGTGTAATAATCAGAACTGATGCTTTCACTCACACATGAGGTTAAATGAAAGGGAAAGAATGAAGCATTGTGCAACATTACTGCTGCTCGGGTCTCCCTGTGAGGCTTGTTAGGTGCCATGTTAGGTATTATGAAAACGCCTCCTGTCAAACATCATTGCACCGCCATTTTCTAACTTTTTTTTGTATTGCTCGCTATTTTGGAACCAGTTAGACGACGAACACACACTGTTCCAAACATTTCAGGTGATCACTAGCTAATAATAGTTCAACTTATTTTCTTTTTTCATTTTCAGTGTCAACTGTATCTTATCGACAAGATACTACTGAGACCATGTCTGTCCACCAATGCTAGAAGAATTCCTAAAATATGCCATAACATTTTCTAATCTAGATCCTTTCACTATGAAGTGCCACCAAAACTGACAAGTTATTTTCCCAGAGCATGGAAAAAATCAGAAGACACATTTTCCCTGCAATAGTAGACAGAGCCTTTAGTTTACAGACGGCACTCCTCTGAAAGTGTCATTGATCCACAAAAGATTTACTTGTTTCTTTTGTCTTCTTCTCCTCTCATTTCAGGTTGTGATGGCTGTGGCGCAGTTGTATTTTCACCTTGCCCCTAAAGCAGAGATTGGTGTGATTGCCAAAGCCTTGGTTCGTCTCCTTAGGAGCCACAGGTGAGCTTTATGCACAATTTCAAATATGTTTTTCACTGATAGGCAAAAACAAAAACAAAAAGTAATGAAGCCAATCCCTTCAAGTTTCAGTATAAAAAAAAAAAGAAAAGCTGAATCGTCAAGAGAAATATACACAGGTAATGGAGAAAAGGTGCAGCTTCAATGACCAGAAAACTCAACAATGTGGAAAACAGTTTGACAACAGCAAAATGACAAGCAAGGGGTAATAAAATTAATCTCCAGAGCCCCAAAGCAGAAAGGGAAATTAAACAAGGAGCTCAGTGAAGCTGAAGTAAACATGAAAGCATAAACCATAAGGAGTAATGGCGGTACCTCGGTGGCCTGTAGGCTGTAAGTCCTGCAGACTGTCAGCCTTTTATTAAACTAGTGATCCAGTGGCTCTGGGTGTGCAGTAATGGAATCATCCGTCAGCAACAAGCAAACTGCACCTTCTCTCTGTGTGAGGTTTGTCAGAAAACCATTGAACTGTACGATAAGTTTCTCTTCCATCCAACTCCTTCCCATCCAGTCTATTCTATCTCATCTCATAACAAGTGGTTGTGAAATCATCACTAAAAATGTTTTTGTTGATTTAATTTGAACTAATATTAATATTTTATTAAATATTTGGCATAGTGCTAGATATGTTACCTAATTAGGGTATGTTTTTTAATGAAGGGCTTTTCTTTTGTAGTATGTCAATATTATCCTTTATAGAATTTTTAAGTAGCTTTAGTAACTTTAGCTAACAAAATAACAAATGGGCAAATTTTTGAAAGCATGTGTGTTCAATCAGGATTTTGAGTTTTTAAAGAAAAAGCTAAATCAAAAGGAACATAACAAAAAGAACTCACACAAGTGTTGCAAACTCAGGAGGGTATCATAGATAAAAATCTGTTGGAGGCTAACAGAAATGGCTAAGCCATGACCCATTTTTTCGTGATAATGGAAATAGGATGTGTTGTGAATTGTGACATACTTTGTTTTAAATTATAAGTATGTTGTTATCGGTAGCGCTAGTTAATGGTTAGAGCTGTGGGCTGTAAACAATTCTGACAGCTTATCATTCATTCCATGCTTTTTGCAATTCTGTGGACGTCCCATATGACCAGCACAGGGCTTCAGTTATAATTCAGAATGACGGGTAATGTAATGCAGCTGCACAAATCTAAATTTCTCCATATGTCTGTGTCCTTGTCCAGCGAAGTTCAGTACGTTGTCCTTCAGAACGTCGCAACAATGACAATTAAAAGACGGGTGAGCTGCCCTCATTGATTCCATCTCCACTGTTTCTGTTTGTGTGACATGCTGACATTTTTTTGTGGCCTACCCGTCTGTTTTACAGGGCATGTTTGAACCATACCTTAAGAGCTTCTACATTCGCTCCACAGACCCAACCCAAATCAAAATTCTAAAGGTATCTTTTTTTGTTTGTTTTGCTTGTTTTGAGTTTTTTTAAGTTTCTGGGAGAGCAGTGGGAAAATGATTTAATTTTTTCTTGTCTTATAGCTGGAGGTTCTCACCAATTTAGCCAATGAAACAAACATTTCCACTATTCTCAGAGAATTCCAGGTACAGTGAAAAAGATTTTTTTGGTACTTTGCTGAGCACATAGCCTGTTACTCAGTATATCTATAATATATTGATATTTGGTTACGCAAATGATTTAATGTCTCTTTTATTTAATCATATTTTCTTCCTGGCAGACATATATAAAAAGCATGGATAAAGATTTTGTGGCAGCTACAATACAAGCAATTGGTCGATGTGCTACAAACATCGGGGAAGTGAGGGATACATGTTTGAATGGTCTGGTGCAGCTGTTGTCTAATCGTGATGGTAATTTTAACCACATTATAAAACTCGGAATACTTAAGGTTTGCATGTTATGTTGGAGGAATTAACTGTAGATTAGAATAATAAGATACTGATGAATGTTTTACTTAAATTTATATGATTAAATCCCATTGGTAAATCATAAAATACACTTTTGCACAGTGAAAGTAAATCAAAGAAGGTAAAGAAGAACAGAACATGATCAAAAATGGACCCCCATGCTAAATGTGTGTCTCCATTTAATGCTGCGTAGAGCTGGTTGTTGCAGAGTCAGTGGTGGTCATCAAAAAGCTGTTGCAGATGCAGCCAGAGAAGCACAGTGACATCATCAAGCATATGGCCAAACTGACCGACAACATTCAGGTGAGAAGCTCAGCAACTTTGATCATTGCTTTGATTACTGTGATTACCTAAGTGTTCCGTATGACTGGGGTTTCACAGGTGCCGATGGCCCGGGCCAGTATCTTGTGGCTGATTGGAGAATACTGTGAGCACGTGCCTAAGATTGCCCCAGATGTTCTGAGGAAAATGGCTAAGTCGTTCACCAATGAGGAGGACATCGTCAAGCTGCAAATCATCAACTTGGCCGCCAAGCTATATCTCACCAACTCCAAACAGGTTTTGCTAGTAGTTTTCTATATCTAATGTTTAAAAGGTGAATACATGTCACAGTTAAACTGAAAGCCTCGTTATAGGAGGTATAGTGATCTGATGACAACTGGGTCACTCTAAATATAGACATAATTAATCAGGCAACACACGCAGTTACAGCTAGAACCTCCTTTGGGTCTTCTGCTTTAATATATACATTCGGTAATTTCAACTGGATAAATGTGGAACAGCCCTGTGGGCAATGAAAGTTCCCTTTTAATGGGACTAAGACCAAATGTTTGAGCTTAGCTTTGTTTAATGTAGCTAAACTTAACCTGGGGTGTCAGGGATCAGTGGGAATTTGTTGTTGTGCTTCACAAAGTGCAAGTTATCTTTGCTGGTCGTAAAGTTGTTGTTTATTATCAGTTCATGGATTGCTATTTCATTTTCTGGCTTGATATGTAGCTTGCACCTAGTGACTCTTAAACTGACCCAACTCTCAGCAAATGTGAAAAATGTGGCGAATACCTTTAATCCTTTCCACATTAGGAGCCAGATTAATAGATATGAAACCTCGGGAAACACCTTAAAAAACCAATAAAAATATGCACAGAACATACACATATATATTCTACTAGTAATCATGTTTGAGCCCTCCTCATCCTCTTTTTCATTCTTCTTGCAGACTAAACTTTTGACGCAGTACGTTCTTAACTTGGCCAAATATGACCAGAACTATGACATCCGTGATCGGGCCCGCTTCATTCGCCAGCTCATTGTGCCTACGGAGAAAAGCGGAGCCCTTAGCAAGTACGCAAAGAAGCTGTTCCTCGCCCTCAAACCCGCACCTGTCCTTGAGTCTCCATTCAAAGGTACAGAATGCCTCAGGATGTTTCCCCCCCCCCCCTCATGAACTTGGACCGTTAATGAAACTCAATTTCAGAAAATCAGAGAAAACCATCTCCAAACCCACTATTAACAGTTAATTATTAAAAACACACTTTTCACACACTATCCCACCAGCTCATTTAACATAAATAAAAAATCTTTTATTCATTTAAAAGCTGACATTATATTTGCAATGGTGCTCATAAAAGCCCCCCCCAAAAGGCACATGTCTGTGTCTCACTAGAAGCTAACATTTTAGGCTGAGTTTGTGTTTATAATTTTAGTACAGGGAGCAAGAGGTGGCCAGCAAATGAGAATGGAGGAAATTACTTTCATCTTTGGGAAAATCATGTCACGCATTGAGTTAAGCCTTTTAGAACTGGATAGTGAGTCAAATCATTTATATTCTTAAACTGATTACTTGGTTAAATTCCCTCCGTGCATAGAAAGGACCACAAGTGAATTCTGCACTCTCTATTCCCCCTGTTTTATTCACATATTCTAAATGCTAATATTGAAAAAATTACAATGGAAACATTAAGAAGCGTCCAAATACTACTATAAATAAATATATATATATATATATATATATATATACACAAACACATACATATATGTGTTCTTATTCCTTCTTGTTTTTCTAGATCGAGACCACTTCCAGTTGGGTTCTTTGTCCCACCTGCTCAATGCCAAGGCTGGGGGCTACCAGGAGTTGCCCGACTGGCCTGAAGCAGCCCCCGACCCCTCCGTGCGCAACGTGGAGGTGAAGGAGTCTGTGCGTGCAGTGGGAACAGTAACATACAGAGACACAGGGGGCCGCTTGGGTTTCCAACGGCCCAAAAAGATGGAGGGCAGCGTGGGTTGCTCCTTCCCTAGAGCAGTGCCTCAAAGGGGTTGGACAGAGTCACCAGAGCTTCACATCCAATCTGACGCTAACTCCAATATAACAGTGGTTGCTATTTCACTGACCATCATCATTCAGCTCATTAGCATGAACAGCTCATCTGTGACACGCCCCCATATACTGACAAGTGGTTGCTGCTTACCAGCAGCCCACCCCAGTCCCCGCCCCCTCCATTGGGGAGAATGAGTCACAAGGAGAAAAGAGGATTCTTTTCTTATCAATGAAAGGCTATATTTATGTGGTGAAAGCAGTCATCGGTGATGTGGTCACCTCATCCCCTCTGCTGCACTTGCTCCTGTGGGGCAGCAGCTCACCCGCCACGTCCACATCATTCCTCACAGCTGTTTGGGCCAATAGCACATGTGATGCGAAGGGGAGCAGGCTGAGATCTGCAGGCTTCCACCTACAGTAACGATAGTGCGATCAGTTAGCAGGAAGCTTTATGCAACACGTGGATCAAATTGCGATGTTTTGCCAAATCCTCCGCAACTATTTCCAGCAAACAGACAAGCGGAGCCAGTTTTTCAGAGAACACAGGGCATGTGTCCACAGAGCATCTTCACAGAGCTCCATAATCCCTCTTATTTCTCTCCATCCCACTCACTCCATGTGCCATCGGTGCAACAGTGTGTTGTAAACAAAGACCTAAAATCAAAACCTGAGTGGGTCATGAAACTTCATTGAAAACTTCATTGAAACTTGATGAGTTTCAGGGGTCACAATCAGGCTTGATTTTGTGGTCACATACTCATTTTAGTCATGTGTAGCTGTTTTAAGTTTCAGCTGAATTTTGTGTAATTTGACGTTTAAGTTGTGACTCACATTTCAAGATGAGGCCACTGGTGCTATTCATTAAAAGAAAAGGTTGGAAAGGGCACATTTTATATATATAAAATGACAGATATTATATTTTCCAAAGGATTCTATTTCATCCTTATAATTCTTCAATTTCAAGTCAGGTGCTCACCTCCCTGACAGAGATTGGAAACGTCTTTAAAATGGAAAAAAATAATGGTAAAAAGCTCCTGTTCTTTTTTAAGACATTTTTTTTAGAGTGACTTCATGTTATGTGGAAATACAGCTTGAACACATTGATTTTCTGACAACATACATCATTACTGCTGCTAGCTTTGCAGTGCCAACCCCATCTCTGCTTTTCCTCATGTGGGCGAGCAGAGATTAAATTGCATTAGCCTTCGACGTCACCTATAGGTCTTAAAGTCTTCCTGACAGCTCCCACATCAACGTGGACCTTTTTCAAACCCAGCAAAACAAAGTCGAGGCACATGTCTCTCCCTCAGAAAATTATAGCAGCTTTTTGAACAGTTCTATTAATTATTAACCGACTCAGAAAGATTTAAGATGTTTGAAAACATTTCTGAAAGTCTCTTGTCAGAGCAACTTCAGATTAACAACACATGATGTATAACAATAAGGTTTGTTTTCAGCCCGTGAAACCTTAAATTGCCCAATTATTCAGTAACTTGTGGAACCACATTTTGTTTTTCGCTGAATTTTCAAGGCAGCCATGATCATCATAGTTGACAGGTTAAATTTTGACTGAATATCCTCACATTTGACTTCAGATTACTCTGGCATACAGAGTTTGCTGTCAAATGACATGTTTGAAAAAAGATGTCATTTGACAAAATAATTTCTGAGTGTGGTTGTAGTTCTGATGGTCAGAGTTGACTTAAATATTCTTGGACAAGACACTGAACATAAGGAGAAAGTTAGTCAGTTTGTGTGCATTATTAGTGTATGTGTGTGCGTTTTAAATCATTATGATGACCAGGGGACTTTTTTAAACATGTCCTGATACGTAAAACTTAAAAAAGGAAAGATGTTTCTTCACATTTTTGCCACGTATTTGAATCATGTGGCTAAAATTCAGAGGTGGACAGTAACATAGTACATTTACTTGAGTTCTGTACTTAAGAACAGTTTTTGAGAATGTGTACTTTACTTGACTCAATTGGCAAACTTATTAGTCTAACTCCACTGCATTGGAAGGCTTTTGCCACTTGTTACTTCTGTTGGTTGGTTGTTAATGTAGCTCGCTTCTATTTTGTCGCACCAAAATGTCAAATAATGGCTCATACGGGTGATGCCACTATTTTAGTTTGGCCTCAAGTTGTTCTGGTGTAAACTGTAGGTTTAATATTTCAAGTTTCAGCTTTCCTGTGATTTCTGCAGAAAATACATTAATTTGAATCTATTTGATTTATCTAAGCCACCTCTCCCGTGTAGGCATTAGCCCTGCATCCAGAGGGTCAACGGTTTGAATCCCCACCCCACTGCATATGGTCTTTGTGCCCCTGGTCAAGATATCTAATCCACCATGCCCATGTATGACTTGGATAGTGTGATAGTGTGTGAAAGATGCTTTCACATCAAATGTGACTGAGGAGTGAATGAAGAATTTATTTAATTATAATGCGGTTATCTGCTTTATAAGGCTGATGCTTCATGATTACAGTTATATTATAATCATACATGTGGAGTTACTTTCCTGTCCAATGTATCAGGAAATGTTCCCCAATTGTTCCAGCCTGCACTCAAGATTGAAAGTATTGTACTTTGCTATTTTTGAAAGCAAATACTTTAACTCAAGTCATAATTTTGACAGAGCTACTTTTTTTTTACTGGAGGAAAGTTTGACCAGTAGGATCTGTACTTTTACTTAAGTAATGATACTGAGTTCTCTGTCTACCACTAAGATGTAGGAATTCTTTGATTGATAAAATCTAACACGACACACCTTTCCAAAGCGTTATAAAAATGAAGAAGAAATTACCATAGAGGGAGGGAAAGTGCTCTAAAGAGCAGTGTTATTATACACTTTGACAAATGGTAGGCGTTCATGTGTAATACTGGTGCCTTTATAGTGGAGGAGTTAATACATGCCAAAGCACCAGCGTGTTCCTCAAAGCAGCGTTTAGAAGCCTGAAAAGTCTTTCTGAGTCATAATGAAAGCAAGCATAGTATGACATCCATTCATGTTGAGGCTGTTGGAAATCTGGAAGGGGTCGGCGAATCCTCTGACAGCCCGTCTGCTTCTGTACAACCGCACGCCTCCGCAGACAGAGGAAGTCATAACCACCAGCGAGGGGCGGATCGGCCTGCTCGGGGACTGGAGAGAGGTGCCCCCTCCCCTCTTGTGCGGGAGTGCGGTGTTGTTTGTTTTGATGGTTGCTCTCTCTCTCTTTCATATATCTCTCTTTCCAGTCGCTGGCTTCTGTGGTATGAAAATTGGAATGCTGATATTGATAAGATGGTGATATTACCTGACCGGCCTGAAGCAGATATTGATTCACTTGAAACTTTGTCATACCAGAGCCGTTGTAGGTTTTCCTCCAACGTCAAGACTTCATTTTCATGTTTTTAACTGACATTTGGCCTCATGCAAGGGCTTCTTTTTTTGTTGTATTCTTGTCTTTATCCTCATTTTTGGTGACCTTGCAGTTTATTCATTCTAAGTTTGACACATAAAACCCATCCACTCGCTTATTAGAGTTGATCAGTAATCCGAAAATAAGCACAAAAGGTAATCTGTAGCTAAATCAAGCCCTTTTAGGGGTAATAGCGGTTTTACCAGGTATCTTTTTTCTTTGCAACCTGTGTAGATGTCATTTGTCACTGTTGTGGCATTTTACATGACAAATTCTAGTTTTGTTCCCATTGAAACAGGGCATATTAAAAGCTGCAAACATATCTAAGTCTTTCAAATATTACAGTTAGGGGATTGAACCACTCTTTGTGTTTGAGTCAGAGGATTTTACTCAGTTTCAAGGTTTTATGAAAAAAAAAAAAATCAACCGAAAAGACCTCAGAATTTGTGAGATAAACTATTCATGAGACAACCTTTTTTTTCCCGACAAAGTATTAATTTTGCATCACGTTCACAGGAGGCTCTTGCATAAGGCCTAATCTCAACTCATGCTCCATTTACTAACTTTTTCAACGAGCAAGAGGGAGTGGGCATGTCAGAAAATGACTGAACAGCTTCGCCTCTATCAGAATAGAGTGAATAAGAAGAGTCTGTTGGATGCCCCCAAAACGATGTTGGATGCAGAGTTTTTCTGGATGACAGTTACCGTCTCCTCCCCCGCACCTGACTGGCCTTTCATCAAATTTGTGACACGGCTTGCGAATGTGTCACAAATGTCGTTTGATTGTGTGTGATGTGCCTTTTTGTGTGCGTGCCACTCCCCACTGCCACCATTCAATCCATGCCAGCTCACTGTGGTCCGTTTCTGGAGAAAACCTTCACACTAAATGCATCTTTTTGTATCTTTTCTGTTTTAAAAGACACTGAATGTTATGACTTGATTGATTTCTGCAGTATTTGATTTTTTCCTCTTTAAGTTTGTATATTCTGTTAGTTATATTGGAGTGCTTGAATTTAAAGTGTTCCTTTGGTTACTTTGTACTCACATCTTAACCTGATACTGTTTGAGGGTTGTGTTTCGTCTCTGTTGTCCAAACTAATCTCACACGTTTTTTATCTTTGCACCCTTAGACCCTCCTGTGCCTGTTTCTATTGCTTTCCTGACCTTCTAAAAACGTTTCCTTCCTTTCCCCCCTCCCCCCCCCCTCATCTCCATCCCGATCTTTTTTCTTTTCCACGTCTGCCAGGTTTTTGCGCTGCTTGAAAGAGTCACAACATTAACGAGTGTGAGTCAGTTAGCGGCGAAGAGCCACACATCCTCGAGCTTCAACCCACATAGCCGCTAAGAACCCGAGTGCTTACGTTCAAACACCCTTGCCTATTGTAGTTGCTGTTCTGTGCTTAGCTGAGCCAAAGCTACTTGAAACACCGGCACCCCATTCCTCGGCCTTTGCCATTAAAGAAGTGATCCCCGGGGTCTGACGTGCATCCCCCCCCCACACGTGTCGAGATGCATTAGCAGCCTTTTTGGCTTGTAAAGGGTTGTTGGGCGATGTCCACACTCATTACCAAATGGCTGTTGCTAATGAGTCTGGTCATTCAAAGAGCAGATTGTCTCTTTTGTGTGGGAGGACAGGCAGTGCTCCTCAAAGGCATCACTTCTCTTAATGGATTTTTCCCCCCTACCCCGTATAAAAAGGAAACCATTTCTGCCACTGGTCATGAAGGCCGCGCCTGGTCCTGATGTCTGTCCGCGTGAAAATAAAGGAACCAAAACAACAGAACTCCATAGAATTATTAGAATCAGAGCTGATTTTGCTCTCGGACTGTCTAATCTGCAGCTAGGGATGTTTTGCTTCGTTTGGCTGCGTCACACCCAGGCAGAGGCGTTCATGGCCACGCTACCGTAATCTGCCCACGTCTATGCTTCCTCCTGAGAGGCTTTTTTTTCACCAAGGCCGAGCTTCTTGATCACTGCTTGAACTCCATTTCCTCTGCCAGGTGCCCGAATGGACCAAATGCAGCAGCCGCGAGAAGAGGAAGGAGAAGAAAGTGGAGAAGCCTTTCTACTCCGACTCAGAGGGCGAGTCCGGGCCCACAGAGTCTGCAGACAGTGGTAACGTTTTCGAAATGCTGACCGACTAAACCCTTCAAAACTAATGTCCACCTGAAACGCATTTGTGTGTACCAGAGCATGCATTTTTTAGAGTGCAAACATGAATTAGGTGGGGTAGGGATAGTAAAATTAGGAAACAGGTACGACTATTTAACTATTTTTAAAAATGTACACGTGTCAAAACTTTCCCACTCTTGATGGTGGAGTAAAACCAAAAATACGCAGCTAGAACTCTTATATGTTTAGATTTTTCCTCGGTAAGAAAACTTAAAAAAAAAATTATATATATATAAAACCACTCTACCTAGGAGGATCTGTATAGGCATTTGACTGTAGACGTTTTCCAACAATTTGTTGTGCAAATCAGACTTTAATAAGTTAACATTCTTTCTGTAAAACACTGTCTATTCACATCTGATCGTCACCCTATGGCAAACATCAGATGAATATTTCCTCCAAGTGAGGCACTAATCCCAGAGTTTCATGCACTTTAAACCAGTCATTGATGTTCATTTGTTTCTATTACATGACACTTCTTGTCATACGTATGCAGAAATATTCAAAATTTCTAATGATATAATGGAAATGACAGCTTTAAGGTAAAGATATGCTCTCCCAAAATGTGACTAGCGAGAAGTGCAGGAAGTTTAAAAATACAGATTATGGGGAGGAAAAAAAGTGTTGTTTTTTTTCTTTATTTCTTTTTTTTTCCATTACTTGTTTGAGCATGAGGATTTAAGAGACAAAGTCTGGGAAAGTGTATTTTAACTGATTTGGGATTTTTCTTCTGATCAAATGCATCATTAAGGCAAAGGTTTATAAATCGTGATCTCCCTCATTGGTAAAAGAAAATCTTTGGTGGTTAGAAAGAGCTTTGAGTTTGAAATGACTGATTTTCCGCCTTTACATGCACAGAGTCGGATTCCAGCAGCGGTTCTGAGAGCGGCAGTGAGGAGAGCGGGTCAGCCTCGGAGAGTGAAGAGAGCGGGTCAGGCTCAGAGTCTGAGGACGAGGATGAGGAAGACGAAGAGGAGAAGGAAATGGAGAAGAAGAAAAAGAAGAAGAGAGAATTTAGGAAGCCAGTGCAAGAGAGTGCAAGGTAGTGGAAACATCTGCATTGAATTTTATGGGTCTGCATGCTTTGATGCAACACCGCTGGTCCTGTTCCTGTCCTGTTCATTTGACCTGATGGGATTTTTTTTTTCCAGTGATCAGAGCAGCGAAGAGGATAACAGGAAGCCAGAGAGGAAGAGTAAACCGCAAAAGAGTGAATCAGAGTCGGAATCTGATGACGAGGAGAGCATGTCTGAAAGCAGCCAGTCTGAGTCAGAGGAGTCCGTATCTGAAGCCGAGGTCAAAAAGAAAAAGAAGGTACTCAGAGTCTGTCCTCTTTTTACAAATAAGGCACAGCAGAGTGTTTTTTTATAGGTACAATACTGATTGGTTATGGAGAATAATGCTGTCTTGTGATCGTGTGCTCCAGTTCCACAACAGTTTTATATGTACTCTTCACAGGCAGCTGAATCTAAACCTCCTCCCAAACCTGTAAAGAAAGAGAACAAGAAAGAGAAGAAAGAAATGTCTCTGCTCGACCTTGACGATTGTAAGGTTTTTCTTACATTTTTTCCATCTTTTCTCCCCAGAGTTCGCAGATGTAGTTATAAAGTGACTGAAAGTCTTTTTTTGTAACTTTACTGGAACTTTTTAAACATGAACTTGCATAATAAGTGCAAATAATAACTGACTTACGTCTATTACCCAGTCGAACCGTCTCCCTCTCCTCAAGTCACGCCCGTCAACAGCTTCCTGTCCAACAGCCTGGTGACCGACCTGGAGGGGCTGTCTTTGTCCGACAGTGTTCTCTCCCCAGCGGTTAGACCTTCACACATCACCATTTAACACCCTCATAGAAAAAAATACTATTGTATCAGATAAAATACAAATAAACAGCCAACTAATCCCAATTCAAAACAATCAAGTTGTTAAAATCCAAAAGTGAGTCTTGCTAGCTTTGGCTGGCTGCTAAGTGTCTTTGCAAACGGAATCCAGTACACGCCTTACTAACATAAGTTCAAAAGACATAACTTATTTGTACAAATACGACGAAATAATAAGCCATTGACAGTATGCTATTTGCCTCTTTGCAGTGTTAACGAGGCATTAAAACTGAAATCTGCACTAATAAAATATCACAATCCTGATAATTTCTTTTCCTGTTTTTTGTTTTTCCTCAGACGATCGCGCCCTCCAGCGCCCTGAAGAGCTACGAGCTCCTGCACCGCATCACCGGGGAGGGCCTGTCGGTGGAGTACTGCTTCAGCCGGCAGCCCTTCAGCCCCGACGGCAACATGGTGGCGGTGCAGATGCAGTTCACGAACAACTCCACCTCCGACACCAAGACCCTCCACATGGAGGACGTGAAGCTCCAGTCGGGGATGAGGGTCAAAGAGTTCCCAGAGATAGGTGAGTGAGGGGCTGAGGAGGGGGTGCCAGTGGTTGCTGGAATGAGTTTGCAGAGGACTGGAGCGTGATCTCAAATCTAAAAAACCTAAGAAATGCCTCAACATTTCACTCGCATCCTTACCCCCAACCGGCCGAGGCAGATGGCCGCCTACCCTGAGCAATGGTTCTGCTCGAGGTTTCTGCCTGTTAAAAGGAAGTTTTTCCTTGCCTGTGTCGCCTAGTGCTTGCTCATGGTGGGAATTGTTGGGTTTCTGTAATTAACTTCAGAGTAGGGTCTGACCTGCTCTGTTTGGAAAGCGCTGTGAGACAACTGTTGTTGTGATGTGGCGCTATATAAATAAAATTTAATCGAATTGAATTGAATTATCTTGCTGGAGCTTTTCAAGCTCTGCCTTGAAAACCGCACAGAATGTCTAAAAGTTTCATTTTCAAACACTGCAGCAACAACTGCCTGAAGGTTAAAGAAGCAAGACTCCCATCTAGGTTTTGTTTGCATATTTTTCAACGCTGTTGTTTCTCTCCCCCTCCGATAGAGTTGCTGCCAGCAGGTGAGACAGCGACAGCCGTGATGGGCATCGATTTCTGTGACTCGACGCAGGCGGCCAACTTCCAGCTGTGGTGAGACGAATATGTTTGTGTTCGAGCACCGCCTCCCTTTTTCTGACCTTTCAGGCATTTCGTTGGGTTAGGATTTTTAGCTAAACCTCTACAGATCAATTTGGCTTTACGGTTCTGCTTCAAAGCTGAGATGTGTTGTTAGACGGGTTTTCATTCATAATTTGAAAGCCGCACACAGGCAGCTCAATGAAAACGGCAATATTTGAGGAAACTTTCTGTTTTTTTATTTAGAGATGTTTTTCGTGAGTTATGGCTGTCATAAGGGGATTCAGATAATGGAATAATAAAGAAACATGACCAAAAATTACTGATAGTTTAATAATAATAAGTAATACATTTAATAATAAATATTTCTAATATAGAGGAATACCTGATAACCTCTCCAAACTTTTGAAAATATATTACCAAAGTGAGATTCTTAACGTACTGTACGTCTATCCTAAATGTCTGTTAGTGTATTACTGCCTTTTGCACTATAGTTTTACTGCCACCTGCTGAAAGAGGTGCATCAGTGACATTAAACTGGAACGTCTCATCTGTGAGAGTTAAAAGCGCTGGAGGAAAATAAGAAAAAACAAGATGCTGGAATCAGTAACAAGGTCCAAGTTGGGCAAAAAAAGCTTCAAAATGAGAGACAAGCAAATGGCAGAAATGCATGACATTATTCACACAAATTGAAGAACTGTTTAGGTTTAGAAAGGCAAAAACCTCAAAGTCTCTCAGAAGTTTTTTTTTTAATGCTTTTGTAGCACGCACACCAAGAAATTCTTCGTGTCCATCCAGCCGCCGGTCGGGGAGCTGATGAGGCCGGTCTTCCTGACGGAGAACGAGTTTAAAAAGGAGCAAGGTTGGTGATGATACACAACAATGCATAGGGAACCCAGTGTCCAGCCTCGGACCAGAGTTTGGAAACACTCCCTTAAAGCACCATTTATGTGTTAATACCAAACACATTAAAGCTTGTCTGGAAATACTAGAATGAACAGGAAGCAGATAAACATTTTTAAGCCCCCATCACACCTGACCCAGAGCATGTCTTTCTCACTTGATATGTAAACGTGCTCGGTTAGTTCTAAGCTTTGATCACAAACATCAGCACCTCAGGACACTGTTACGGTACATAAATGAATTAGATCTGCGCATCAGTAGAGTCTCAGAAGTTGTATAACTGCTTACAAAAAGGGTAACCTAAGAAGGAAATGTTTTATAGAATAAAAAAGCTCCATGAATGTGTATTTACAATCTGAGCTCTGAGAAACACGCAGTGACTCTGAAAACATGTCGTGTCCTCGGTTCCTGCCTCCTCACACTGTCCCCTATAGAGAAGCTTTTAAAGACTCTAGGTAAGTTGGCTTTGATAGATTTGTTGCTCCCAGCTATCTCTCCGTGCCCACCTGCCTTATAGCAAACCCCACACAGACTTCCAACCCCCTCCTCCTCCTCTTCCACCCATCCTCCTCCTCGTCCTCGTCCTCCTCCTCCTCTTCCTCCTCCTCCTCCTCCTCCTCCCTGCATTGGTTAGAAACCTTTAGCTGCATCTGGAGCCGCAGACAGACTCACCTGCGACTCAACCTGCCGCTCACACTTTGCTGCTCCACCACGAATGACTGGAAAATGCTCATCCACTGATTCTAATCCACTCGTCTTGCGAGCACCACGGGAACAGAAAACAGCACAACATCCGCTTCACTCCGCTGCCCCTGCTGGGAATCTGACGAGCTGTCTGTTGTGCGTCTGATTTAACGAGCACTGATTTGTTATGCAGGTCAAAAGAGGCTTTGATATCCAGGCTACCAAGAGACTGATTTAAAGAATTAGACCCTTTTTGTTTTTTTTGTCTTTTTGAATGTGGCCCCTGTAAACAACATCAAACGTTCTCTGCTCTGCATATTAATCCAGCCTCAAGACAGAACAAAAACAAAGTCCTCAGTCCGACACTCGGACTATTCCGCGTACCAGATTATGTGATGATTTTGTTAAATGCTATAAGACAACAATGCCAAGGTTTCATGCTTCTTTTTGCTGCAGTTCAAAGCATTCAAGGCAGCATGGCTTTCTGGCTTGGCTGCATGCTCAAAGGGAACTTAAGCGACATAAATATATTCTCTACATGCAGCTTGAGTAACATATTGAATGTAAAGAAAACATAAATGACTTGGGCTGGGCATGTTAAGCACATGGATCTTAAAAATGTAGAATGGCTGGTTTGATTACAAAAAGAAAGTAAGTATTTTTTTAAAACCTGAGTAGTCTGTTTTGGAGAAATGTGACAATGAGTGCAATTTGGAAAGATTTTAAAAGAATGGAAGGGGGAGTAACATGTTTGTTTGAAGGGGAAGTATTTAAAGCCGTTTTTTTCAGTTTTCCTGTTCAAACAAGCAGTTTCCTACAACCCAAAATAATGTCTTGTGTTTTTTTTGTTGTTGTTGTTGTTTTTGTGTGAACCAGAGTGAAAAAAACTCTAATAATACTGTGACAGGGGATAATATGCGAACATATCTAATTCTAATTGTTCCTGCTGCTGAAGTTCGAATTGAAGTTCTTACCTGGATGCACAGACGTCTTTTGACCAGCAAAGCAAATCAAATTGTCGTGTCCTCTCACACAAGAGAGCTGTGGTACAGAGGAAGGCTTCAGGAACACATATTTTCATTCGGACTGACAATGAAAATCTACGGGGGCATTGGTTTCACATTTGAATGCACAAATTATTAGCTTGACTTATTCCACCACTGTGCTCTGTGGGAAGCATCAGTGCATTCCATTTTATACCCTCTGAAGCTGTAGAAGATGCTTGTGGTAAAGTAGAAATCCCTGTGTTGGATTGTATATATAGTATGTGGGCTATATATATTAACGAAGCTGGCAGATACCCTTATAACAAAATAGAATTCACTGTTTTAGTCAGTGCTGATAAGAGTCTGTTCTTCTTTTTAATAAGAATTGTTTTAATTACTTTTTTTCCGATATTTAAATTAAGGTGGCATCCTGATTGGTCACTGCTCCTCTCGCAATTCTGCAGGTCAGCTGATGGGCATGAACGAGATCTCAGAGAAGCTAACTCTGGACGTCAAGTGCCGGAATGAGCACGCCATCGTGCAGAGGGTGACCACGGCCGCCCACCTCAGCAGGGTGCCCTGCGGGTCAGACAAAGAGTGCAGGTGAGAGGTCAAGAAACTGGGCATCTTTCCCCACAGATGCAGTGATTGTGTATCTTTCCCCACAGCTTCTTTCAGCTTCTCCTGAACATAAGCCATGCGTTGGAAAATGTTTATGTTTGTTTGTTTATGTTTATGCATTTAGTAGACGGTTTTATCCAAAGCAACTTACAGAGTAGACACAATATTACATTTATCATCACTATGACAATAAGCTATGCAGAGGAGAAACACTGATCAGAGTCAGTGGTGACAGCAAGAGATAGAGGTAGAGGGACTACAGAAGGAGTTGTGGGGGGGATAGAGGTAGGGGTTAGAATTAGGAAAATATTTCTTGTTGCCTGTAAAGGACGCAGGATCATGTGGGGCCTAGATGTTAGCGTTGCCACTGTGTTTGAAAATGAAACTTTTGCCACAAATATCAGAGTTTGAACATCTTTTGTGATTTTCTGTAAACTCTGCACAGGAGCTAGCAAACTCATTTAAAAGGTAGAAAAAGTACTACATCCCATCAGATTAAATCAAAGCATCTGAATTTTCTTTATAGCAGAGTTAAGCCACAGATAGGAAATATAATTCAGCAATCGAGAGATCACCACATTCAACATGAACCTTTAACACCTTAAAAAAAATCCCCTGACTGTAAATCCAAGCTTTAAACTAAATTGAGGATTTAGATTAGCCTTAGGACAAGCATAGCGAAGACTGAGCTAAACCGGTTTGACAAAAATGTAGCTTTTAAGTGGAATCTCCATTAATCTCACCGACATGTGCACTCTCTTATTCTTTGGCTTCAACTTTACTTTCGATCTTTGCTACTTTGACCTCAGTCCTCCCGTTCCTCCTCCTGCTCACCCTGTCCACAGGTTTGCCGGCAGGACGGTAACCAGCAGCAGCTTGGTGCTGGTCACTGTGGCGACCAAAGAGGAGGGCGCTGCCCAGCTGACGGTCAACTGCGAGAAAATGTTGATCGGTACGATGCTGGTGAAGGACATCTCCTTGGCTCTAACGCAGTGACTCGGCTTTGAACTACGCCCCCTCCCCGTCGCTCACCGTCCCATCGCCTCCAAAATGTCTCAGAAAGAAAGCTTCCAGAATGGTTTTGTGTTTTAAGTGCTCTAAACTCTCAGAAATAACTCCTAGACTTACTAAACAAGGAGCTAAAATATTTTATGCCACTATTTATGAATGCTTAATCTGCAACAAATCCTCCCTCTTTGAAAAACTGATTTATTTATTTATTTCTTTTAAGCCATAACGGTGATTTGTTTTCAGGGAGTTTTTATATTTCATGAACAGGTTGATGAAAAAAACTGATGGAGAAATATTCAGCTCATTATTGACCAACTTTGAAGCTGTTTTAAGAATATTTCAAATAGGTGTGACAAGTAAAATACATTAATCACAGTATCCCATTAGATGGATAGAAACAAACTAAAACAGGTTAAATGAAGAGCATATTTAATTAGAAATATGAGTCATTCAAGGTTTCTGGGCAGCTTGACAAATTGTTAGGCCCAAAATATTACTTTAGGCCATCTTATCTGCTGGATTCTCTTCTTGTACTCCGTATTTCCTTTCGTTCAAAGTGCACATTTTTATCACAGAAACTGGAACACTAAGGATGTGAAAATATTGCAACACGTGCTGTTGCACCGGAGTGGTGATAAATACATTTCTCAGTCCTTTTTTTCACTTTAGTTTAAATTTTTATATGCACACAATGATTACAGTCTAAAAGTTCCATTCAGTTTTTGTTTAGAGATAAATTCTTTCTAAAGATTGTTAAAAAACCCAGTTATTGGATGTCAGAAAACCAACTAAACCAAAACATGTTAACCTTTGGTAAATGCATTTGATTTAAACTGTTTACATAACAGGGTAATTCATTCTAACAGATATTTAGCTGAGCTTTCGACAACTAGCTTGACTCTGTCCCGAAATTACACTTTTTATTTTTATAAAGCCTTTTCATAATATCTGATGTTGCAAACATGAGCATTAGATGAGCTGAAAGACAGACTTTGTTACATGCTGAGTCAAACTAACCATTTTCCTGTGTTTTCCCTTTAGTTTTGAATTGTAAAACAAACTAGTAAAGAAAAAATATTTTCCAAAAAGGTATTTATCTGTAATGGTAATTTCACTTTACACTGATGTCAAATATCCCAGGACATACATTTAACACATTTTTACTTAAGTTAATTAATTGAAAAAATATATCCTTATTTTGGCATCTCTTCAAACTTGTGAATGGAAAATTTTTTCAATCTTTTCCTTTAAAAAAAAAAATGGATCAGTTGTATTTTTTCTGAACTTTATTTCAGATGTTTTTTTTTTTTTCACCTGATGAAAATGTAGCAGTTAGGATCATCAAAAAGCATGTGACTGTGAGACTCAAGCAGCAGCTGATAGGGTGTTGGTACGTCTGCCATTTAACCTGAAACTGTCAGTGCGGCACAATCATAGTGAGGGATGCAAAGACTAAAGAATCATTCATTAAAAAAAGAGCCCGCTTTCACAGAAACATCTGTGCAGAACACAATCCACGTGTGGTCATTCTACCTTATCTGCATCGGCTTCCCAATATCCAAAGTACAGTTTATCATGCCCTGTGTGTGGTTGTGAAATGTAATCCCGAGGTATTTCAAGTTTATTTATTGTACAAATAAAAGTATGAATAAAACCTGTTTGTATCCTCTTTTATCATTTCCTCTACAACATAAAACCACTACAGCAGTACAGACAAGATCTGTGGTTGCTCAAGTAACACTACTGATGCATAATCTATAGTAAATGTAATTAATAGACTTTACACTAAACACTTACCTGTACATTTTCTCCAGGATTCACTCATTTACACCACAAACATGTAAAAAAAAAAAAAGAGGATGCTCACTGGCACGCATTAACACTGATCAAAATAATTCTGACATATCACTAGTCAATAAAAAGCAGTTCTTTTATTTATGCTCAAGTACATTTATATTTACATTTTCTAACATCTTGGGCTTTATCTGACCATAATCAGATAAAAGCTAATTTATCCACTTTAGGGAAGGGTTACCATGGGATCAAGTTTATCAATTGACCAAATTGCCATTGAAAAACAAATCTGAACATTGAATCAAATATATTAATGTAAAATATGCATATGTAACTGTGTACGTGCATAGAATTGATTTTTTAGAATATTTGTAAAAGATTCAGTCTTTATTTTGGTCTCTTTCCAAACTATCACTTTGCACCTCTTAAGATAAAAAGTATTTTAGGTAAATATCTAAGGCTTAACTGAATACATTTGTGAACCTACAAATATAAATACTGTATATATATATATATACACACATTTTCATATATACAAATATACATACATACACACTTATATGCAATAGTAGTCCATATAACAGTTTACTTTTTGTTGTCTCACTGCATAACAGATTGTTGAATTTTATATATATTTTATATTTTAGCACTGGTTTTTAGCTATATCTCGAGATTTTGTAGTGAAACATTTTTTTTTAGCATAAGTATTATTTTGCATATTTATTATTTAAATTATGCATATTTTTTATTCGATTTATTTTTGTGGGCAAAAACAGGACCCAAAACATGGTGTATGAAATCATGAATTAAAGTGACTGAGCGGTTGTTCTATGTTGCCATGGCAACCTGTCTAGGGTGCACCCTGCCTCTCAACCCCCCACCCCCCCTCCCCACCCCCTCCACCCTCCCTCCTCCCCCACATGAATGTTGGTGATGTCATCACCCGTCATTTCAGGCTAGTGATGTCATAATATAGAACTGTGGCTTTATGATGTCACGCTCCAAAAATCTTATAAATACCCTGACGCGTAGGCACATGTGACACAGTTCTGAGTAACTCTGAGAAACATATCTAGTTGAAATCTTCCACACACAGCAGTGTATTTACAAACCTGTAGAAATCTTCTCATCCAATATACAGTCTGTATCTTATTATTGTAGATATATTTGAGATTCCAGACATTTTAGAACAAAATGGAGCTTTCAAACAACATTTCCTGTACCTGGAAAGAGCTCTTCGATGAACTCATCTTGGTCAAAAACGCCTTGAAAGAATCCCAGCTGGAGAATGAAAAGCTGAAAAATGAGGCAGAGAATCTGAAGGAACTCCTGGCTAAAAAGGAGACATCCAACCAGCCAAGGGAGACCCAAAGAGTTGTAGGTTCTCCAGACTCTGCCGAAGGGCTCTCAGCCAAAAAATCATTAGACGAAGTTCAAAAGCAGAACTTCATGCTGCATAGATATGCACAAAACTTAAAGATCCAGCTGAAACAAGCTATGGAGGAGAAGTCTACTCTGCTGAAACAGAGAGAAAACCTGGAAGCGGACAGAAAAGCACTAGAGAAGGCAAAGGAAAAAGTCATGGAATCCGTCCGGAAACTCCATGACAACAAGACCAATTTCCAGCGGGAGAAAAAAGAATTTGAGGAACAGAAAGGAAAGCAGCACATTAGACTGATGGACAAGAAAGAATTTGAAGAGGAGAAAAGGAAAATGCTTGAGAAAAAAGAAATGGCTGAAGAAAGGAAAAATTTAGAGGCCCTTGAGAGTGACTTACAAGAGGAAAGGAGACATATTGAAGAGGCCAAGCACAAGATAGATGCAGAAAAGGAAAAACTTCAAGCTGAGAAAGAAAACTTTGAGGAGGAGAAGCGAAAACTGCAAGAGGTGAGGGAGAAAGTAGACGAGGAAATGAGGAAAACTGAAGAAATGAAGAACAAAGTGAAAGAGGCAATCCAAAAAGTGGCGGAGGAAAAGATCCAGCTGAAAAACGAGAAGAAGGAAATAGAGAGCCTGGAGGGGATGAAAAAAGACGTTACACAGAAAGAAAAACAGTTAAAAGAAGCAAAGGAAATTTTTGAGAAAGAGAGGAGAGAACTCCAAGAACAAATAGACAACAAGACCCAACAATTAGAAGGTGAAAAGAAACATGTTGAAACTAAAAAGACACAACTGGAGAAATTCATTACGATGTTGGAGGAGGACCAAGAGCAAATTAGGGGGGAACTGTCAAAGCTTTACGTGGAGAAAAAAGAATTGGAGATAGAAAAGAAAGATTATCAGAGGGAGAAGAGGGAACTGGTCAGAGAAAAGCAACAACTAGAGGAACAAAAGGAAGTTTCAGAGGAGGAAAAGAAACAGCTGCAGGCTGTGAAAATGGATTTGGAGAGGGAGAAACTTCAAGTTGAGGAAGAAAGGATGAAGGCAGAAGAGGAGAAGAAGGAACAGCAGCAGGTTCTGGACACGGAGAGAAGAATCCTGCAGCTGGAGAAGCAACAACTGGAGCTGGACAGGCAGACGGCCGAAGCCGAGCTGAAGCAGAAGTGGAGGAGGGGCTTCTGGGGGTGGAAATGTGGTAAAAAAGAAAAGAGAGACAAAAACATTCAGAAGACCCAACCAGAAAAAGAAAATCAGAAAGAGGAAGGAACGCCGAGGAGGAGAAGAAGATTCTGGAATTGGTTTCGCTTTTAGGGTACACCATCCATCCATCCATGAATCTGTAAATAAATACGTTTAAACAATTAAAAAATTGTAAGAAAGTGTATCTATAACTTTGTGATTTCATTCATCCACAAGTCTGCCTATAATCTATAAATGAATCTTTCAATTCATTTATAAATCTTCTTTTCTATTGGTGACATGGTGAGAGGGTTCAAAAACAAGTTGAAAAATAAGTGAATAAATCTACTAGGTCAGTTTTCTATCTTTCTTAAACAGGATAGTTTTTTATTCATGATTGTTTTTAAGCAGATCTTTGTCACTGGGAACACAAAATAAGGCTTCAAAGTTAACAAAATATTTCAACAGATGGATTGAATTTAGCTCATGAGGACCCACAAAACACACAACTGTGATCTTATGATCTTAAGAGTTCTTATTATTGAAAGAAAAAAAAAACCTTAACAAAATCCTGATGGTAAAAAAAGGCTATTGTGTCATCACAACTTCTGATGACTGACTTCTAAAATCTATGATCTTTGGTTCCGTTTTGGAATGTGTGATCCAGTTTGTGCAGCTGACATTTAGTTTGTAAACAGAGAAACAGAACTTTCTATACAAAAAAAATAAATTAATTTAAAAAAAGCTTTTCAAAAACTGATATGAGAGGTATTTTCTAATCAGCCCATAACCTGGGAAAGGTGTCATGGAGTCATTAGATAATCAGACGTGGCACAGGATACTTCATTCATCATGTGACTAAAAAGCCACTCATTTAAAACCTATAGCACAAGTTTTAAACCCCAGAAAACAGCTTAAAGTTATTCCTGACGAGTTTTTAATCCGTCCCTGATTTCTTCATAATTTTTAAAGGGTAGATGGAGCAAAGTGTCCGGTTTTCCGCTCGTTTTTCTTGGCATTTTTAAATGAGGCTACGTATAGACGTCAGATAAAATTAGAGGCAAAGCGGTCATCCAGTCCGTTGGTCCTTTTAGCTTCTGAAAGTGAGCGATCAGGTGAGCTCCGTCTGTCGAGTCTGTGGGAGCAGAAGGGCCACCAGCCCACCGGTCAGCAGCAGGGCCGACACCAGCAGCACGGGCACGGCGCAGTTCGTGTCCACCAGCTTTCCAAAAGTGATGTTCCCCATGATGGCCGCCACTCGGCCCACCCCGGTGAAGAAACCGAGGGCAGAGGACCTGAAAGACAAACCAGGGGAAACGTCATTCTGTTTATTCTACTACGGTCATTTATTTTCAAATTTCAGTCCTCAGATGAGGTATTTAGACATGGAAAAGCAACACCAATTCATTTGGATTTCTTTAGGAGTCTTTGTGTGGTTATAGAACTGCTTACTGAATGAGCGTGTTCGGAAGATAAAGATCCATATGGGAAATAAAGAAAAAGCTCGATTCGGATGTGTTACCGTAGCTGGGTGGGGTAGAGCTCGGTTCCCAACACGTCCATAGCGTTCCAGGCGATGACGGAAACTCCGCTGAACACGCAGGAGAGTACCAGACTCTGCGCTTTGGTCTGGACCACGTAGATGAAGAAGACGCTCAGGCTGGACACGATCAGGCTGCCGGCTAGAGGACACACCAAAGAGGGAGACGTTGTTCTGCTTTAGAATTGTTAGATGTTGCCATGGCGAGGGAAGTCTGGACTTCCCTACTTCAGCTAGAAATGTAACACATTACAGAGGACTTATCTTCAGCACTTTTATGAGTTAATTTTTTGTTTATCATCAGATATACACACAGATATATACAGAGAGACATATGGAATTTTGTATTATAACCTGATCCAGCTGTGGATTATAACCAAATGTGGTAAAAAAAACACATGACCTCTGTGTCAAAGCCTTCTGACCCGGGTTTCTTTTCACCTCTCATGTTAAAGAAAGCAATACCGGGCTTTGAGGCCATGGTAACCTGGGCACAATCTCCAGTAGGGGAGGATTTCATAATATTAAATAATATGAAACACCTCGCTCTTCATAATTTTCATGCAAAGTGTAATTGTAAATATCTGTTGTTATGGTGGGTTTTTTTTAAGATAGGGTGTGTGTCTGTGTATATCTAAAGTGTCATTATTTGACCGTCCCGGGCACCAAAACCCTCTTCCACTGATTGTGTGGATAACAGTAGTGGCACATTGACTCACAGAGCAGCATCTTTCCTCCTACGTTGTCCATGATGAGAATGGTGAAAATGTTGCCTGGCAAGTTGGACGCAGCAATGGCAAAACCCTCCATGTACACTGGGAACACACACAGCAAAATGGGGTTGAGAGCGGCAAAACACAAGAATCCGTCGTTTTTATCCAACCCTAAGACTCATGTCCCACGAGCCCACCTGCCGTCTTTACTGGGTAACAGCTTTGGTTGCGAAGTGGAGACGGTAGAGACACGTTGGCACAGGGAGATCCGCCATCTTCGACTCTCTCAAATAGCTCGGGGAACCACATCCACAGCCCATAATAGCTAAACACAAACACAAATAACACATTCGAGCTTTTTAGGGATCGGGGTTTTTTTCAGCCACTGAAAACAAAAGGCCAAACTGTCCAGAAAAAATCAACCTGGAGCCTGTGGCAGATTAGTGTCCGTCAACATGGCGCCTGTTGATGAGCTGTTCTTACTCTTAAGTAAACGTATCTGGCTGCTGAAGATAAAAGCCCCCCCCCCATTATTATCTCTGGCTGCCACTGAGGGCTGCTAGGCTGCCTGCTGTTGATTTATGACTGTTGAGGGGATCACAAAGCGCATGTTTTCTGTTTCTAAGCATGTCTAAATCCATCTTGCTAGCTTGATGACCCAATGCTCAGGACAGAGGGAACAGACAGGAGGCCCTCCGATTTCTCACCCGAAGGAGATGCAATAGAAGATGATGAGCAGGACGATGCTTCTGGATTTGAGAGGACCCGTAAAAATCTGTTTGATAGGCACAAAACCCTGCAGGCGATACCAAAAAAGAGAGAGTGAAGTATAATTATAACAAAAATATTCTTATCATAAATAGTCCCTTTTTCTCAAATTTGGTCAAAGTCCCAAAAACATTTGCCAGTTTACAACAAATGTGATGATCTGCCACCTTTTTATTTTTCATTTGAAAGTAAAGAGAATTATTGTTTATTTCTATAGACCTACAAAATAATTTAGAAGACAGTAAGGCTGATATTGACAAACTGGAGCTCGGTAGCAATGAGAAGAAGGGGGTTACCTTTTTCAAAATTCGTGTAAGACCTTTTCTTTGGGAACCTCGAGCTTTGACCTCCGGTTCATCTCTCTGCTCAGACGCTGAGCATAAGCCAAACTCCTTCAAAACAGAGACGAGGATGACAGTTATTGGAGTAAAAACAACAGAACACTGCGGTGAGGAGGAAGGAAACCCTAGCAAAAGCAAAACAAACCACATAAGATACCACTTCCACTTTGATTCTGCCTCTTTCGTTTTCTTTTTCTTTTGTTTTGTCTTTGTTTTACTCATCTTTCGACAGTTGTTAGAGGGAGTTGTTTAAGTTGAAGTGAATAATATGAGGGTCTGAAAGCTGGATCTCATATCTAGAGTGAGATGTTTAAGGGGGAGCTTTGATTCTTACTCATTTCAGGAAGACTATACCTTCCTTAGTGTTTCTCATGTCTAATCTCTGCGTAAAGGTTTCACGTTCTTTAAAATGTGTGGTCCCTAATTCATTAATATTCAGAAGTGGCATTTGAAATACAGTATATTTTTTTAATTGTCCATTTCTGTAAGCTTCTTTCAGCAAGTTGCAATGGTTAACAAGTTATTTACAGTGTTTAAGCATACCGGGAAAGTCCTGTCTTTTCCTTGCGAGTTCAGCTTAAACATCACTTTGAAGACATGGATCGCCTCCTCCTCTCGGCCAGCCTGGCAAACGCAAAAATAAAAACAACAATGAAAGACGGCCCAGAGGCAAAGGCGTCATGGCAGCCAAGCCACTTCCGGCTTGTTTGATACCTCCATCAGGAACTTTGGGCTCTCAGGCATGAGCAGCTTGAACAGCAGGGCGGAGGTGATGCTAGGAACAGAGCAAAGCACCACGAACAGCCTCCAGCTCTGGAAGTCCAGGTATCCCAGAGAGACATGAGCCCAGGTTCTGGGAATCACCATCCAGGCCAGACCTACATTAAAAAACACACGTTCATTTAAAAAACAAATAGCTCTACTTATCTATCTACATTTACATTCATGTCTACCCTTTTTTGATCAGTTTTTCTCTTTATACTTTTTATTTATTTATACATTTTTTTTAATTGTCTTTTTTATTTTTTTATTTTTTTTTATTCATTTGTTTATTTATTTATTTATTTATTTTTTGGCCTGTGGGTGGGGTGGGTGGTCTGGGTGGATTGGGGGTTGACAGAACTGTGACATTGAGATTTTATTGACACTTTGAATTTGTCCCAACAATGTCTGTCTTATGTTCAAAATGTTCAATAAACAAAGTTTTTAAAACAACGAAAAAAGAAAAAAAAAACGAATAGCTCAGCTAAAAATTTTTATATGTCATCATTCTGCTAAAAAGTTAGCAAATATTCGTAAAAAACTTTCATTCAATAAGGTGGTGTAAATCTTCTGGTGGGACATCAGATCAGCAAAAGCCAAAAACAAGACATAAGAAGAATTTTAATGTCATCAGATGTCTGCTTATGTGTTCTTCTAATGGGTTTAAAATAATGAGTTGCTAAAATTGTGACTTGCTATAAAATCCACAGTCAAATGAAGCAAAAATGTGGGAAACCCGACCTGCTGCCAAGATGTTTCCCGCCATCCAGAAAGTGGCGAGGGCGCTGATCATTGCGCCTCTTTTCAAACGAGGCATGAACTCCGAGAAGTAGGAGAAGATGACCGGAATGGACCCGCCCACCCTACGCAAGACAACAACAGCGTGAATGTCCGATCTGATGTTTTATCCTCAGGAGAGCGAGTTCATTGGCGAATGACTGCATCTTTAGTGTACAAATGCGCTAAGACGGATGTCCTTCACTCACCCAATGCCGCTGATAAACCGCAGGAGCAAAAAGAGCCAAAACCAAGGAGCAAAGCTGGCAAGACCTCCGAACAGCCCGTTGACTGTCAGGGACACCACCAGCACCTTCCGGCGCCCCCTCTGGTCAGCCAGATATCCCCACATGTAGCCACCCACCATCATTCCTATCAACACAAAGAAGTTTAAGCCCTCGGTTAAAATTCAGGAAAACATACATTTGACATAGTTTTTTTTAAATCTCTTTCATTCCCTGTATCGATAGCTTGCAAGCTAACATGTAATAGCCTTCGTTCATCTTTCAGAACACGCTTCTTTTTGTAAAGAGACACAATATGAGCATATTTTGGTTTCACACAAATATTCAAGCTTCCATCAATCTTAAACATATTTTCACTGCCTAAAAATAACCCGTAAAATACATAAGAAAGTTCAGATACTCTTGTTTCATTTTTCCTTTTTGAAAATGGAAGATGGCTAAGCTGTAAACTTTTCTTTTCTTGTTCTGTCAGGGACTTAAAAAAGTAATAAATACCAACCAAAACTTGTGTTCATGTTAATACTATGTTATGTTATACTATGTTTATGATACTTTATGAGGGTAAACTCAGTGAATGTTGAGTTTCTTTGAATGTTTACTTCTACACAACTATTGACATAAAAGGTTTTCTTTTTGGTTTGGTTCGTTCAAATTGCTACAGCACTACATTTCAGTGAGCCATGATGCGTGTTTATAAAAGGACAGTCAAACAAAGAAAGACTCTCAAATAGATCTTGTGTGCTTTTGCAGCATCTATTGGGCAACACTAATAACACAAATCAATGAAAGAACCGAGAAAAAGTGCCAGTCACATCAGGAAGTTTGTGTTCTGGTTCATTCTCAGCATCAAAACACCCAAAGACTTTTAGTTCACAAAGTTATATAGTGTGGGAAAGAAAGAAGCAGAGCTTCTCATTTGTAAAGTGTGAAAAACATAGGCAATAAATAGTAATCAATTTGAAAAATGAAGAGGTGAAATTTGGTCAACAAGTGGAGGGGAAACTGTTTTTGTAAATGATTCACCGAGGAAAATGCTGGCGGTGAGCAGGCCCATGTCTGAGGAGCTCAGCAGCAGATCACAGCGCGCCGTTGGCAGCAGAAAAGACACGCAGAGAATCTCCACTGCGTCGCTGGCATTGGCCCAACCACACACCACCAGCAGAAGCCAGTGGAACAAACCGAAGCCTGAAAGCATCAGAAAAAAGAGCAAACAAAGAAAGAGAAAATTGACCCGTTAAAGACTCACTTAGTAGCTACGGAGGCCGAAAAGCAACAATCATAAAACAGCTCTACTGCTCAATATTATGTGAGAAGGTTTATATTTGGTAGTTTACCAGTCTCTCTTTTTATTGGAAGCTAATACTTGGCATTTTTACAAATAAAAATATTCTTCAAGTTTGATTAAAAAACAGAAATGAACAATCTGCACACAAAAAAATGGGATTGAAAATTTTCTTTCCATAATTGTTAGCATAAATTTTAAGGAATACCAATAAGCTTAGAGTTTGTGTTACCTGTTAACTCGACAGCCTCCTCATAGTTAAGTTTTCTCGATATGGTCTCACAAGCCTCATGTTCGCCTCCGGACGCCCTCCTGTCGAAAATCACCTCCGCTACGATTCAGGAAAACACAAAGAAACATAAGGATAACACAAGCTGGATTTTTCCCATATGGAATTCATTATCTAGTTAAAATTTGTGCAAAAAAAACTATAAAAACATATGGTTAACCCTAATATCACTCAACCTTTTACCTTTTTACTTGGTGCATTTACATGCCGACTGTATAAGCACAATCATTTTTCCCTAATCTAATCTTTTACATTGTCTACCCATCTGCAAACTCTTACAAAAGAAGGAAAATGCAAGTGAATTTGACTTAAAAACCAAAGGAACACTTCCTTATTTAAAAAGTCAAAAGTGACTGAAAACAAAAACAACCTGATAAAGAAAGCTGGTTTTGTTCTAGACTAGGAGCCCAGGGCAAAAATACAAAGTAGAAAGACAAATGTTACTAAACAAGCAGCTACACATGACTGAGAACTGCATAACAGTGATGAACAAACAGAGGGTCTTCAGCCAGAGGCTTCCTCTGCTCCACACTAAACTATTACACAAGGTAATTGTTACCTAAAAACAGCCTTACACAACGACTCTTTTTAGTGACAACTCCAGCATAATAACAAACAAGACAGAAACTACTACACTTTATATAATATATACAATATTTGTTAAGTAGCACATCTGCCCATTCTCCAGGTTGTGGTCCTTTATGAAGAAAGATGTGCAGAAACAATCGCAAAAGTAACTCCAATGGGAGAGTCTCTGAATCTGATGGAGGATGAGACGTATAAAGCAGCAACAAATGTAAACAATGTCCAGGATATACTCGTTAAACTGAGTACTTGCTGTTGATTTCCTGCAACCAGTAGAAATAAACAAACCCGTTATTCTAATTTATTTAACACGCTGGCGCAGCACTGCGTTTACAGTTGTAGCACTGGTCATCCATCAAGGTTTCAAAACTTTCCCATCAATTGCTGAGTGCAGAAAGGATGGAGGCTACCTTCGTCCGAGTCCAGAACACCTGGATCCAGGTGATCCCCGGTGAGAAGAGGCCGTCGTGCGTCCGCGTCCCCGTTGCTCGTGTGTCGGTACATGCTCCCCCCTAACAGTCTGACGTGTCTGGCCGTGGACCCTCAACTGTCGGCAGGTTAGCTAACTTCAGCTGGACCGCCGCCTCTGCCTCGGTCCCATGACTGTCAGAAAACGCTGGCTAGCTAACAGTGACGCTAAAAGCTGGCAGGAGAAGGAGGAGGACCAGGAAGTAAAAAGCAACAGCGGCGGTTTGCACGTCCCGAGCGGCGCCTCTCCTCCACTCCTCCAATTCCTCCACTCCTCCGTCTGGTTTTTAGCTCAACGACGAGGTGAACTACTAACACCGAGCCGTGGCCTCCGCGGGGCGAAACATTAGCAGCTAACTCGGGGCTCCGCGTCTGTCAGTTGTGGAGGTAACATCACCTCCCCTTGGGTTTTTTTTTTGTTTGTTTTTTTAGAAAATACTGAAGATGGCGACGAGTTCGGAGCGCAGTCCACCTCCTTTCCCCGATTCGGAGGACCAAGACGTGCTGGACTCCGAGGAGGTCGGAGACCGGGAGAGTGATGAAGACGACGGGGAGGACCTTTTCATGAGCGCGGTATGTGTCAGTGGAGTTTACGCTAATTCTATGCTAGCTTATCCCGCCTCTGATTTGGCTAACTGATAGAAACTCGCTGCACAGGGAGGAAACAACCACACGACTAATGTCTTAAAGGAGAGCTTGCGAGGCCGTTTTTCATAAAAAAGTTTTTTGTTAGGGGGTGGGGGGGTTGTTGCCTAACATTTTTATCAAGTTTAACTCCCGTCAAGAAAACATTAAGTAGCGCTCGTGCAAACCACTCCAGGCAGGTGAGACACTTTTTTAGGGGGGAGGTGAGGGGCACGTAAATCACGTTATTCAAAAGCCTTGATGCAGAAACCTAGCTTTTACTGTCACGGGACTGTTTCGGAGAACTTCCAGTGATTATGGAGCAGCGGTTTATTTCTTCCCGAGAGTTTACGCGGGGAGCCACGCTGGCCGTGATTTGGTGAACAAACTGGGTCACCGGTAGGCTCCCGTTCAGTGTGTTCTCAAAGTTGTGTCCTCAACTCTCCCAGGTGAATTTGGACGAAAAGTCATTCGTGGGTTGTGCAGACTCCGAGGCTATTCATGAATAAACAGCGGTGTAACCACAGCGTGGGTTCCTTAAGTTGTGTGTGTGTAAAACTGGTCATACGTGGTGATTCTGGCCCTTTTTTGCGTTTTTCAGTATTTTGTACAGTCAGCTTTTTTCTTTTAATGAGGAGCACCCCAGTCATGTGAGCACGATGTGGTCACATGATTAGAACCCGGATGTTATCCCAAAGTCAAAGTTCAGATTGGAAAGTTGCTGCATTTGATTTTTTTTCACCCTTTTTTTTTCCAGTTGAGGACATTAGTCAGCATGAATGTAACAGCTCACAGCTCCTGACCGAGGTGGTGTTTTTCCAGAGGCTTTCTCCTTTAAAAATGCAACTTTTCAACATTTGATTGTAAATGCAAATCAAATATGCAATGAAACTAAATCATTCATTTTGTCAAGCATCTACACCCAAAATGGAACACAACACTTCTGCATTTTTTTCAGCAATTTCTGAAAAGTCCTTGCTGAACATAGGTGTTTGTTTTCTTCTGTGTGCACAAACATATCAGCCTGAGTCCTTACAAAGACATCCAAAAATGTGATCACTGATTAACAAATTCAGTTGTGTGAAATTACAGCAGAATATTTACTTTGTAGCTATCATGTTTAAAATGCAGAAGACGTTCGGATGGAGTCAGATGAGACACAGCAGATTGGTACAAAACAAAGCATTTGACGGGTCGAGGACGTTTAAGATAAAAACTAGCGGCCTTCCAGCTTCAGCCTGACCCAGTCCATATCTCATCCTGCCTGCTACAGTTTCTGACGTCCCATTAAACCCTGCCAAACTGTCTCTGCACTCATATTGTAAAGGACAAACAAATAAATTAATCATGGAAGTAAAGTATGACTCACTGAGGGCAATAACCCTGAGCTTTCCCTGCTAAAAGCAAGCTGGCAGAGCTCTCACTGAATCTGCTCCAAAAAGAAAGGCATAGGGATGAGAGCAGACGCGCTTCTCCAGAGGTGTTCTCACTAAAAAGAGGAATAAAAATCGTTCTTTTCCAGATGATTGTCTACATAGTGTAGGACCCGTCCTCTTTGATGGGACATTTCGACTGTAAGTTCCCTGTGTAGGCCTCCAGGTGTTGGCCTGCAGGTGGCACTCGGCAGACTTTTGTCTCTCCCAACACTCAAGATTTACGGCATGAAGTGAACAGTCCTTAACAATCCCTGCTTGTTTGACCATGTTTGGTTTAAGGAACATACAACTGCATTCTGAAGATGTAGACTAGTTTTAGGTTAGTAAGCCTTTAAGGGCTGTTTGCTATTATTACGTACAGGTATTATGTGGCTGCTCTCATCTAAATGTCTCAGCATTGGAATCAATTATTGATAATAATGTTAATATTTTTTCCTGTTTTCTCCAGAGCAACACCCCTCTGCCCAAAAAGGACTCCACAGCAGCGTCTACCAGCCAATCCAGTGACACTGCGAGCGATCCTTTCAACGAGCCTCTCGGCAGCCAAACAGAAATAACAGAAAACAAGGCTGCCAGCGAGGCCGTCGAAGAGCCCGCTGAAGATTTCGAGGACCTGACAAACAACATAAATGCAGCCGTAGAGAGCCCAGCCACGGATGAAATCTCTTTAGAAGAACCCTCGGATGACTTTGTCAACATCCTGGGAGGTGAATCCGAGGTCCAGGGAAAGGAGGTGGAAGTTTCCGTGGAGGCAGCCGGCGGCGTTGCGGATCTGCCATTAGATGGAGAAACGGGGGGAGATCCCATACAGGAGGCCGCTTCCCCCGCTCCCATTATTGACCTCGGCTTCTGCGATTTTTTGGCCCCCAGCTCACAGCAGCTGCCCGTCGGCGCCCTAATCTCAGACCCCCTGGCCGACTTCCTGGGCGGTGCAGCTGAAGCCGACAAACCTGCCGGGGCCGTGGTTGACCTGTTCGAGGATGACGGGAGCGACATTTTCACAGGACTGCCGCCATCTAAATCTTCCAAGCAGCCTCAGAAGGCCCTTTTCGACGACCCCGACGAAGAACTGTTTGCGGAGCCCCTTGGAGCCAACTCCAAAAAAAGCGCCAGCAAAGAGCCGGAGGAGAAGCCCCCCACAGCCAAAGCTGCCGTTCCCGCCCGGGGACCCCTGCATGACGGGAATCCCTCAGAGCCAGCAGACATCTTCTCAGAGGAAGCTGTCACCACCGCGCCGAGCGCCAGCACCACCAGCACCGTCAACTCCAGGACCAACGGAGTCCAACCCGAGGAAGATTCCGATATATTTGCTGGTGGGCCCATTTTCTTTTCACCCCTGAATTTAAACAAAAAAAATCTTTCTTTGTTTTTATTTTCATTCAGCCTTAGGGAGATACAGCAGGACTTTCTTTCATAGAGCAGCTTTTGAGAGTTTTGACTCTGAGTTTTAAATGTACAGTCCTGTTCAAGATATTTAGGATATTAGAGGTGCTTAATGATTAGGTCTTCTAGTGATCTTGGGGGGGGAAAGAATTTAAGCGCTCATTTTTGTCAGTTTTTTTTTTCTCACTCCCTTACTTTTCCTTTTTGTAACAGAAGCCACAGTGGAGTTGTCTCTCGACAGTCCACGGAATGAGAGAAAAAAGGAAGCAACTGCCAAACCGTCTGCTTCCGCCTCCACCTCCCTCTCAGCTGCTGCCAGTCTGGCCAAGCCTCAGTCTGCTGCCCTGGAAGAGGTACACACACACACACACACACAAACACACACACTGTAAAAGGAGAGCATTTACTTCTGCTCATGATTTCTGTCCCGCAGAATTGTTCAAATATCATAAACTGGGGAAGTTTAGCAGGTTTAGCATTTTTCGGTCTTTATTTTACAAAACTCTCCTGGAAGAGCATACTGAATGAGGAGGGGGGAGAAAAAAGGAAGTTGAAGCCATTTTCATTTTTTTCATATCATTGCGTGTTTCAGTTGGAAGAGGAGGAACTGGAGGATAAATTTGACATTTTAGTCTCTGTGAAGGATCCAGAAAAAATAGGTAAGACTCATTATTGTGTTATTGCGTTCGATGGAAGTCTCTTTGATTTAATGCATTACAACGAGGCTGCAAACTAGGATGTTTGAACTATTGAACCTAAACCAGAAATGCTTTAAGTGTATATGAATGCCTGATTCCCAATATAGCTGACCCTGTTCACAGTTTTTGCTTTAGTCACATGGCTAATTAATCATTTTCTGAATAACTGTCTTCCCCCAATGACTAATTATCAGGCTTTGATTTTCCATTTTCTCTGTTTTCCAGGGGATGGAATGAATGCCTACATGGCCTATAAAGTGTCCACACAGGTAAAATAAACGGCATTATTTTACTCAAGAGCTCCTCAAAAGCAAATACTGCTTAAGTCCAACTCGTAAGAGTAGTGTCTTAACACCCTGCTTGAAATTAAAGTAAAAACCGCCCGTTTCAGACCACACTGGCCATGTTCCGCTGCGAGACGTTTACAGTCAGGCGACGTTTCAGCGACTTCCTCGGCCTCTATGAGAAGCTCTCTGAAAAGCACGGACCAAACGGACTGATCGTGCCTCCGGCTCCAGAGAAAAGCTTCCTGGGTAACGCGGAACGCCCCGGCCTCGTCTTTTTATTGATTGTGTTTTTAAATTTCAAAAAGCTTTTTTCAGCTTTGAAATTAACTCTCGTCTTCTGCAGGGATGACGAAGGTGAAGGTGGGAAAGGAAGACTCCTCCTCCACAGACTTCGTTGAGAGAAGAAGAGGTGCTTTGGAAAGGTAAGAGGACTGATAGTTGAGCGGATGGGAAGTCTGGTTCTACACATTTTAAAGTCATTGGATGAACAGGGGGAGAAAGTAGTCTTTTTATTTTCTCTTGTGTTTCCTCAGGTATCTCCAGAGGGTGGTAAATCACCCATCGCTTCTCCAGGATCCAGATGTCAGAGAGTTCTTGGAGAAAGAGGAAGTAAGCCCGATTTATTTCCTTTTTACTTTCTTTCTGACTTGGTCAAGTTGAGCTGCAACTGAAAATGGTGCACTTAGACAAAGCCTAATTTTATTTATTTTTCATAACATATCTAATGTTTGTCATTTTTTATTTTTTTCCAGCTGCCCAGAGCAGTGAGCACACAGGCTCTGAGCGGTGCCGGCTTCCTAAAGATGATCAACAAAGCGACGGACGCCGTCAGTAAAATGACCATTAAGATGAACGAGTCGGACGTGGTGAGTTCAGCTGTAAATTGACACTCATTTAAAACATTAAAGTGGAGGCTCAGGGTCCATTTTGCTTCTATAATACACATTTGAGAAGGACACATATTTTTTTGGTTTTCTCTGGAAATCTTTTGGGCTTTTTTGCATCATTTTGCAAGTTCTATTGTAAAATGAACACATTAGAACCAAGAACGTTAAACTGAAAGTGTTCTTTTAAGCCTTGGAGTTGGTATCCAGACTTCCAGTTGTTTCAGCCGGACTGGGTTTGTGTTTCTCTGCAGTGGTTTGAGGAGAAGCTGCAGGAGGTGGAGTCTGCTGACCAGCAGTTCAGGAAGCTCCACGCGCTGGTCGAATCGCTGGTCGTTCACAGAAAAGGTGACCATGATTACATTGTAGTGTCATTTTAATTCCTTTTCACATACAGATTTTTAGAATTTACTGCGGCCATTGTTGTCTAACTTTCCATTTTAGTTATGAATGGTCAAACTAATTATAATAAAAATAATTATAATAATTAAGCCAAAGTACTGGCTCAGTACTTAATGAAAAACAGCACTAAAATAAATTACAAAACACATTTCTAAATGTGTGTCATGTAGAAATGACACGCACAGAAATAAGAGTTGTGTTATATGTATTATGTAATAATATCTAACTTTACAGGTCATTTTGTGGGGACATTATTGAGACAAACATTCCGCTCTGAAAGCCTTACACACATTCTAATGGTGCGGATTTTAAAAATCATTCATTCCTGCCTCGGTAAAAAAAAGAAGCTCTCATTAACTGTTGAAAGTTGGCAGATGTTCAGTGTGTTGTGAGTCCCCAACTGCTCTATCGGTTAATGCATGTGAAGGGCTCCGAGAATCTCTGCCAGTCAGTCAGAACGATGGATAGAATGATTAGGGACGGCTGTTTCTGTAGCACTGAAGAAGCTCTGGTTCTCCTCCTCTGGTTTACGGAAACGCCTTGTGTCAAATTAAATGATAAAGTATGTTGCTTTATGTCAGCAACCAAACAAATGCAAAGGATACTTTTTTTTTCTCCAGTGTCGTTGTGAACTTTTGACATATTCAGTTAAAAGATTTTCCCCAAGTTTAATCGAGTGTTTTCTGGAATTAATCTGAACAGTTGTTTTTGAGTTTGTTACAAAAAGGTTTTGCCACTTGGTAGTTTGTATAAAAAATGGTTTCCAAGCGTTTGTTCAAGTGAAAAGCTTCTTTGCATTTGTTTTCATAGAAATGCAAAGAAGCTTCAGTAGTTTGTCGGACAAGGTTTTGTTTAGTTTCTACAAGTGTTTTATGTAGCCTGTACAGGTTTTGTCAACGTTGGCTACTTTGTATGAATGAATTACCTCAGTTTATACCAAAGAACTTGCCCTGATTTGTCGTGCGTCAACGACGGGCTTCTTCTCCCCGCAGAGTTGTCGTTGAACACGGCAAGCTTCGCCAAGAGCGCGGCCATGCTGGGCAGCGCGGAGGACAACACGGGCCTGTCCCGGGCCCTCTCCCAGCTGGCGGAGGTGGAGGACAAGATGGAGCAGCTGCACCAGGACCAGGCCGCCCACGACACCTTCAACTTCGCCGAGCTCATCGCCGACTACATCCGGCTGCTGGGAGCCGTCCGGGTAGGAGGAGTTTCTCGTTGCCGTGGGGGAGTTAGACTCGTGGGCCCGTTTTAACCGTGGAACCTTCATCAGGGGTCTTTCGACCACCGGATGAAGGCGTGGCAGCGCTGGCAGGACGCCCAGGCCATGCTGCAGAAGAAGAGGGAGACGGAGGCCAAGCTGCTGTGGGCCAACAAGCCGGACAAGCTGCAGCTGGCCAAGGAGGAGATCACCGAGGTAGGACCCAGGAAGTAGCTGGCGTCAAGTTGTAGAAGCAAGAATTTGGGTTTTGAAGGAGACCGTTATCAGTCGTAATTCAATACTGCGTCTAAGGGGATTAATATCACCCCGCTTGTGTTTTCAGTGGGAGGCCAAAGTGACTCAGTATGAGAGAGACTTTGATAGAGTTTCTGCAACCGTGCGCAAAGAAGTGGCCCGCTTCGAGGTAGCCCCCCCTTTTCCTCGCCCGGTCCCCGTCTGTGGCACGGCAACCCAAACTGACGAACCACCTTTCCATTTCTTTGTGCCCAACAGAAAGAAAAGACCAAGAATTTCAAAAGACAGATAATCAGCTACCTGGAGTCGGCGCTGCAGTCTCAGCAGCAGGTGAGCGTCCCCCCGCCCCCCCCCCATGTTTCAGAGGAGGGGAAAGTTGTCACCAGCCTCACTCGTCCTGTCTTGTCGTTTTCTCCTCAGCTGATAAAGTACTGGGAGGCTTTCTTACCAGAAGCGAAAGCGATCGCCTAATCCCCGCGCACCAGCCCTCGGGACGACAAACAGGCTGCCTTCTTCTAATACATGTTACCTCTTTTTTGCCTTTAAACCAAGGAAAATGTGTGCATTGAAAAAGGGAGATACAATCAGAATTTAAAAAAACATTTTTTTTTTACTCTCATTCACCCTTAACATATAATTCTATACTCTGTTGTATTAATAACTGTATATTTTTCATTTAACCTTCCATAGATATTTTCTTAATAGAGAAACAAGCGTTTGCATCGTCAAAGAAATGGACGAATGAATAGAGGAAAAGTGTAGCTGAACGATTCCGTTGATTCCCCTGGGAGGGGGGAAGTGGGACGCTCAGGATTTCTCCCCCCTCGTGTGATCAGGAGCTCCTTCTCCATTGGTTGTTTACAGCGGGTTCTTCTGGGGGACTCGGATGAAGGAGGTGGCCAAAATCTCAGGCTTTTCCTTCTTGTTACTGACTCAAAGGGATTTAAGAAGAGTAAAAAAAAAAAAAAATTAAAAATGTAAAAAAAGAATTTTTGAGCACTTCTGCCAGCTGGGTGAAGTACAAAGTACCATCCATGTTCTTTTCCTTTCTTTTTGTTTGTCCCCAATCCTCCTGATTACAGTAGGCTGATATTGGGGATGAGGGGTGGCGGGAGGCTTTCAGTCATCATGTGCACCTTTATGTCTGTGCCTTTTAGTCACGGTGCTGTTTTTTTTTGTTTTTTCCTCCACAAGAGTTTGGAATTAAGGTGTTCTTTCTGGTCTAAAACCGCCCTTACTGTAATCAAACTGTTCAGTTTAAAAAGAACGAACACAGACAGGGAACTGGCCTTTGTGTCTGAGCCTGTTTGCTGCGTCAAACCCACGTTGCTACGCCTTAAGCCTCGCCATTAAAGGTGGTTGGTGGGGGGGTGCAGTAAATGTTGTTTTGAGCCTTGGAAGGTTTAACCAGCTCTGTTAAGTTTCAAGTCTCTGCAAGCCGTTTGATGGTGGAGTCACGATACGAGAGCCGCCCGCTAAACGGCAATGAGATTGCAGCTACCGGTTGTTTTCTAGGCCATTACTCCCAAGATAACTATTTGGTCAGATTGCCCAAAGCAACAGATATTTACAAGTTACCTCTTTTGTTGTCATCCCGCCCCCACTCACCCAATTTGACTGGGAAAGAGAAGCGTCCTGTTGTAGTTGTTGTTTGCACACAACCCAATGTGGACCGTTTACCTCTGTGCCATTAGAGGAAGAGGGACATTGAATTTTTGTGCATACAAATCCAAACTGAGAGGTAGAATTTGAACTGGTTTATCCTACAGAATAAACTAAATTAAAGACTTTTGACGATAATTCAGTCCAGAATTGACCATTTTGAAGTGCACCTGGTCTGTATGCCAAAAAATACTGAGGATTAAAATGACTCTTTCCAGCATTTTCTCAAAAGAAATAAAGGTTTCATATATCACATAACTGTGTTAATATTCTTACCGTTTAAGAGATAATCTAGACCAGGTTCAACTCGACTACATTTCATGTCGCCAAGGTTTCAAGTTGTCTGTATGTTTTAAAAGAAAAAGTGAAACAACTTCTTTTTTTCTTTGTTAGCTTGCAGCAGTAATCATGGAAATTGTGCATCATTCCTTACAGAAGGACATTTAGAGTTACTTAATGGTCACTTTTGCTTGATTTTGCTGTCGCACATTGTTGATCAGTTGCACCTTGTAGTGGAAACACTCTGAGCTGGGAACAGCGGACAGTAAACACAGCGCACCGTCACAAATGTAGAACAGCTGCCAAATTCCTCCTAAAGTTCGCTCCCTGGATTAGGGCTGTAACCCCTCCAACAACATTTGTTGGAACCCTAAGATGAGCTTTGTTTACGTGGAAAAGCCAGACTTTTTTCTCCCCCATTTACAGCCACATAATACAGATAAGAAGCAGGAGTTGAATCAATGAATGTTTGATTTTGTTTTCTTTTTTTACTTTAACAACTGAAGGTGATGAAAAATTTGAAGCAGTTTCCTTTTAGTTGTTTCAGTGTTAAACAGGAATTTCCATAAAAGAAAATCTGTATTTTGAGCATTGGAAACCATCCAGCTCTAAAATCAAAGTCCCAAAAGAGTGAAGCTATGCAGTGTGACACCATGTGAGGTATTTCCACAAGCATCTTCTAATTGTCAGACACTTGATTATTTGGTTTTTTGGTTTACTATTTTCTTCTCTTCCAGTTGGATGTGTACTTGCTTTTAACAGAATCGATTGTGTGGCCTGGGGTGCACCACCGGGCAACGTTCACTGTGTCAGAGATTTCTTTTAAAACAAATCAATAAAGGTTGCACTGTTTACACTTTGAAACCCATTTTTCAGGTCTCATTCCTCCATGATTTATTTAAGGTTTGTTTGCACTAATAATGACACAAACAACAAAACTTGCAAAAGTCGGTTATCGTCTTATCTTTTCTTTTTTAAGTTGATTTGTTAAGCTCATAAACCAGAAAATATTCCTTAGTGAAAGGTTGAAAGTAAGACAATTTACATTGTATTAACTCATCCTAATGTTAGCGGCACATCTCAAAATTTTCATTTAATTCATGTTCACATGAATAAGAGTTGTTTTCTGGTTAATGTGTGTTTAGAGGAAACATTTAGGTGGGAGTTTAAAATATCTCAAGATGACTACCTGTAAATCTCAGGAGAATTTTCATTGATCACCTTTAACACGTTTATTCAAGTACTCTATGCTTCTGGTACCAACTGGAGCTTTTTTTTTTAAATAAAACAGACCAAAAACCTTCTAATTCCTGGAGTTATCAGATTATTGGAGTGATTGTGCCAACGCCCTAATGTGTTATGAGCCAGGAGCAGGTCTCTGATCATGAGAAATTTAGATTATGTCAAAAGCTCTGATGTATTTGAAAGAGCTGACATACTTCTTTTAGGGATGAAGAGAAGAATTTGAACCCTTAACAGGAAGAAATATGGGAGAGGTGACACATTCCAAAGGGTCTCAGTTGATTGGTCGAGACAGGAGAATGATCTCACTACGCAGCTTTGTAACTGTCGGACGTGAAAATGACGAGTCAGCACATGAGACCATTTTGTGACTAACAGTTTGAGTAATTCAAAGAAAAGCAAAAAGGTGTCAGTGGTTATTTCCAAACACAGCCGTGCTGTCCTGCGCTGTATGTGATCAGCTTCTTCATTTCACAATGTTTATACACCATGTATTTATGCTCATGGGTTTGCAATACTCTTTATTTTTCCAAAAAAACCTTTGTGAGAAGATTGAGTAGTTTTGTGATTTGCCACCAAGAAAAATAACAAAAAACTAGCATTTTAAACTGAAGCATGCTCACATAAACCCATTCTAAATATGCTGAATCTGCAGGTTTTCATAGCTTTCGCGGAGCATTAACATCTGAGGCTGTTAAAACACATTCTTCCCAACATCTTCAAGCTGGGTTCTTCTGTCGAACGGAGCCTGTCACCTTTCTTTGACGTTTACTAAAAAACATATTTACATAAGGATGCAGCCCAGCCCAGCCCAGCCCCCCCCTCTCATGATTCCTTTCATTTTGGGAGCTGGACTAAGGGGGAAAAAACTAAAACAAACAGACTGTGTTGTCTCATCATGATGCTAAACGTGGCTCATTAAAAACCCAACCTGCAAAACACAGCGCTGACAGTCAGCAGAAGATAAAAGCAGAGTTACTATTTGACGAGTAACGCGGCTCTACGATGGGGCTTGGTCACCCCCTAACGCACCGGTCAGTCATATGGCGGCGTTCTGTTAGCACCAGGAGGGGCGGTGGGTTCGGACAGCGGCCGGAGAACACTGGGAAGCTGTTGGAAGGAGGCTTTTTAATGGGAAGCAGTGAGAACATTCAGACAGCAACGAAGTGACGGCGGAGTAAAAGGAGGAGCGTCGCCTGGAACGTGGACTAACACCTGACCTGGAAATGGGAGGGAAAACTGTACTCATGCTAGAAGAGCGAGAACCAATGGCGGCCTTTTTTTTTAACGGGACGAACGAAAGACACAAAAAGACGACATCCACGTGGAGCGAGTCCAGATCTCTTTCTCTCCTTTGGACTGATCTTCCAGCTGTGGCCAGTGCTGAAACATCTGGAGCGGTAACGTTAAAAACAAAAAACAAACAAACGAAGGTCTACAACTGATGGTTTGAGAAGTCTGTGGACACTTTGAAGGAAGATGGCCGCCGCTCAGGGACACTTGGCCGGGTCGGCTCCCAGAAAAGTCCGAGCGACGTACCGCAGGAGGCCTCCGTGCCGGAAGAAAATAACATCCGTCTCCGAGTCGAAGAGCGCCTCGACGGTGAAGGAGGTCCCTTTGCTGGTCTGTGGGGGGGGACAGAGAGGCAGAGTTACTATTTGACGAGTAACTCGTCAAATAGTAACGCTATTACTCTCTATTATTATTGGAATTCATGTCCAAACATGAATTCTCATGTTTGGACTTCCAACATATTTTTTGGAAGTCCAAACACAAATGATCGTCTTTTTGTATTTACAGGTAAAAGTATTCAATTATCAGGAAGTCAGTTTTCTAATTATCAAGACTGGGTCCCTCTGGTTTTAGATAGAAAAAAATAAAAATGAATGTGTCTAAATAGCCTGGTATTTAAAAAAATATATTAATTGTAGCAATATGAAAACAGCTTAGGCATGCCCATGCCTAAGCTGCATTTTATTGGCAGCTTAGGCATGGGCATGGGGGTGGCGCTGGTCCGGTCTAGTCCGGTCCTTACCCTGACGGTCAGCTGCTGGCGGCGGCTCAGCTTCTCGGGCAGGGCGATGCTGAAGCGCTCCTTCCCGCTCAGCTCCAGCGAGTCGGCGTTCTGGCCCGGCAGGAACTGCAGCGGCATGATGCCCATCCCCAGCAGCTGGCTGCGGTGCAGCTTCTCGAAGCTCTCGGCGATGACGGCGCGGACGCCCTGCGGACGGGAAAGGGACGGGGGGGGGGGGACCCCACAGATCTGAGCCACTGTCTAGAAAAGCTGATATAAAGAGAGTCCACAGGTGCCAAATGGATGGAACTAAAAAGCTGTCGGGAGGCCTCCTCACCAGCAGGTACGGCCCCTTGGCCACCCAGTCCCGGGAGTTTCCGGAGCCGTAGTGTTTGCCGGCCAGAATGATGAGGGGAGTCCCGTCTCTCTGGTATCGCTCGGCCGCCTCAAAGACGTCCAACTGGCGGTAGTGACAGGAGGAGGGTCAAATTGGACCCACCCTGAAGCCGTTACGGCTCCTCAGAATTCTCACTTTGATTTTTTTTTTTGTTTGGGGTAAACTCACCGTCTGGCCTGACGGAATGTGCAGAGTCTTGGGGCCCGGTCGGCCGATGAAGCGATTGTTGAGCTTGATGCTGGCGAAGGTGCCTCTGGTCATCACCACGTCGTTCCCCCGCCGGGCGCCGTACGAGTTGAACTCCCGCGGCGTCAGTCTAGAGGGGGGGTGTTCACAGAGAAGAGCATCGGTGGCCTGCTCCCCGGGAACAGATCTTTGGAGGGGGAGTCCGGGATTCACTCACCGTTTGCTCAGCAGGTACTTGGCGGCGGCGCTGACCCTGGCGATGCTTCCTGCCGGTGAGATGTGGTCCGTGGTCACTTTGTCGCCGAGGAAGAGTAAGGCGTAGGCGTTGTCTATGGACTGTGGGGGCGGCACGTCTTTACTCTGAAACATGGAGGAAATAAAAAACATTTAGAGGCAAGAGATGATGGAAGTCTGATGGGGAGTTTTTTTTAAAAGGATTCCAGATAACTGTTTATGAAATTTGACAATGCTGTTTGTCAGAACATTTTGTAGCATTTTGTAGGTGGTGTTGCTCAAACAAACTCACTCAATTTTATTCAAGCTGCCATCCTAAGACAGTGAGTGAAGTAAATGAGAAAAAAAATCACTGCTTGTTTTAGTCTCTTTTACAAATAAATCTGCTCAGAAAAGTGAAATCTGAACGGCTGCGAAATCCCATTGGTACAGGGCTCTTTGATTTTTTGGGATATTTGTTTGTGGATTACAATGACAAATATCCCCAATAAAGGAGTTATTATTTCCCCTTTTCCAAGCATGAAAAACCCTGGAAAAATAACGTAAAAATGCATTCCAGATGTGGACTCACCAATTTGCTGAAGAAAGGCGGCGAGCGGATGTACGTGGACCTGTGATCCCACGGGAAAACCACAGAGTCTGGACTTTCTATGTTGTTCCAAAACGTGTTCCCTTTCTGGAAAACACAGACAGGAGTTGCGGAAAAGTGAAGTGTGAGCGTGAAACGGGCTGAGCTTCCGTCTCTCTCTCACTAACCTTCATCCTTTCCCTGAGATCCTGAAAGACGGAGGAGATGACCGTGTCCTCCTCCGTCTGCCGGACCTCCTCTCTGGATGGCCAAATGTCCCGGAGGTACACCTCTTTCCCCGACGATGCCAAACCTGTTCAAATCACATTTTCTGGGTGTTTATGTGCAAATGTAGGAGATCGCACCACAACTTATGGCCCAGAACAAAAAGGCCAGCCCGGTTTCCTGTGGCCCGGCACAGGACACCTCACACACACGCTAATCTGCCAAAATCCCCAAATCCCTCCATGATCTTTGGCGTTAGACCAACAGCTTACAGGCTCCCCTACCTAATGGCTCCTTCTCAAAGTCGATTCCCACGGTGCCTGCGATGGCGTAGGCCACCACCAGCGGGGGGGAGGCCAGATAGTTGGCGCGCACGCAGTCACACAGGCGTCCTTCAAAGTGCCTGTTCCCGGATAAAACCCCGCAGGCCACCAGGTCGCCCTGAAAAGACCAAGAGCACCCACATCTGACGGCCGCGACACAAAGCCAGCCAGATAAAGAGCTCAGTGTCGTCCTTCACGGGCCCCACCTGTTTGATGGCGTCCACCACGGCTTCGGGTAACGGGGCCGTGTTCCCCACACAGGTGGCACAGCCGTAACCGATCACCTCGAACCTGTAAGAGGCAGGACACACACTCATGAGTGAGGACCGCTTATTTCCACAAACAAAACCATCATCCCTTATGATCCACCTCTGCTAAATCAAAGCTGTCTGAGGAGCTGCAGTAAAAGGAAACTGGACTTCTACTATATCCAAAGGTCAACCGTTACCTTGACCTGGATGACTCAGAATCTACACTGACTAAAGGCTAAGGCTCACGTATAAAACTGACACAAATGACAAACTTCTCCATGGCTGTTTTCAAACAATAAGACAAAGGCGGTGGGTGTACTTGGCTGTTGACTTGGGGATTTATCCTTGTTTTGGAAACTCTAAACTGCCCGTAACTCCCCCTGTTTTTCGGCTTAGAACAGATGCGGCAGCTGAGCTGTGTGTCTCTAATGTTTTAGAGGAGAAATGTCTCTCTGGTAGTGGAGGTCTGCGCAGCAGAGCATGTTACACCTCAGTCATCTGATAAAAGATGCTCGGAACAGAGCCTTGAAAAGCACAACTCAAACTGCGTGTGTGTGTGTGTGCTTTGCCAGGGTGCACACGCTCTTACCCCAGCTGGCTGAAGTAAGGCAGGACTCCACTGGTGCTGAGGTAGTGTGTAACCATGCCACTTCCGGGGGCCAGGCTGGTCCGGATGTAAGGCTTGACCACGAGCCCGGCCTCCACGGCCTTTTTGGCCAGAAGACCTGAAAGCAGACCCACGGATGTCAAGCTAATGCACCACACTGCAGACCCAATGCTGTCTGCCTGTTGCAACTTAGGCTTGTGGCCATCCAACACACAGGAAGTCAGCATCCCCCCCCCCTCGGCTCTCTTACCTGCGGTCAGCATGACGGACGGGTTGCAGTTGTTGGTGCAGCTGATAACGGCGGCGATGACCACAGAGCCGTGCGCCAGCTGGTACTCCTGCCCGCAGTGCTGAAAGGGAACACGGGTCTCCTGCTTTTCCTTAGAGATGTGGAAGCCTTTGAAACCCACCTGAGAAGACACGACAATTATTTTCACCCCATTTTTCGTCCCAACTTTAGCCAAGCTCACAGTTTCCTCTCAGAGGGAAGACAGAGGCGTTCTCTGCTACTCACTTTCTCGTTGAGACAGCTCTGGAAATCTTCTTTCATGCTGCTGACCGCCACTCTGTCCTGAGGTCTTTTCGGCCCACTTACATAGGGCACCATGGAGCTCAGGTTGATTTCAATCACCTGGACAAAAAAACAACAAATTGGCTGTATTTCGTCCTTTAATGCAAAGTAATCCTCTGTACTTCTGATTTTCCTCTCATTTCAGAGCAGACTATGTCTATTTGATTTGTGGGCGTGGGATTACCTCTGAGTACTGGACCTCCTCGGAAGTTTCTTCATAGCTTCGGAAAAGTCTGACAGCCTTCATGTAAGACTCCAATAGTTCAAGTTTTTCTTGTGTAAAATCTGAAATAGTGAATAACAACAAGTTCTAGAGATCGTCCCAACATTCTGAACACAAAGCTGGAAACATCCCAATACGTTTATGTATTTATCATTTATCTTTTATCTAAAGCGATTTACAAAAAGAGGGTTTAACATTTAACTAAAATACTGATCTGAGAGATGTAGAGCTTCGTTAGAGAATGGATCCAAACGCTAGGCTGTGACCACACTGGGCGGTGCCCGAGTAACTCACTTGTTTTTTTAAAGTGCTTTAGTGTGACGTGGTCAACTGGAAAGAAGCTGACGGTGGCGTTGTACTCTGGGCACATGTTGGCGATGGTGGTCCTGTCGGGAGCCGAAAGCTGGGACACTCCGGCTCCGAAAAACTCGACAAACCTGCCGGCGATCCCAGCCTGACGTAAGTGCTGAAAATACATACACACACACATGCAGGTTAAGGGTCGGCTTTGGTGTTTGGGGTTCGTGCTAAAAACAGACCTGCTGGGTCACTCTGGCCGTGTGTTTATTGTTGGTTACCTTAGTTATGCCAAGGACTATGTCTATAGACGTGCTCATGGGGTTAATGGAGCCCACCAGCTTACAGCCCACCACCTGAGGGAGGGTGAGGGACACGGGCTGGCCCAACATCACAGCCTCTGACTCAATTCCCCCAACGCCTGGAGCAGTAGAAGCAGAATAAACCCCTATTAAGAACAGCTTTTGATTTCCTCTTACAATTAGCCGTTTTCTGTTCGTTTTTACCCCAGCCGAGGATGCCCAGGCCGTTGATCATGGTGGTGTGGGAGTCGGTTCCCACCACGCTGTCGGGGTAGATCAGACCGTCGCTGACCTGCACCACCCTCGACAGATACTCTAAATTCACCTGGTGGACGGCGCCCACGTCCGGAGGAACCACGTTCACGTTCTTGAATGCTTTCGAGCACCACTGTTAGGGAATCGGATGGAAGAAAGTTGACATTTCTTAATAAAACCAGAGAAGCGATGGTTCTTAAATTTCAGATCAGTTCCAGTTTTTATGAAGATAATCAAGCAGCAGAACATCTATGAGGCAAAGTTAATGTCCATAACATGTTTTTTTTCTTCAGGGCGTCTAACATGAGCACTGTAAAGAGACACAGCACAGAGTACCTTAAAGAACTGAAGCCTCTCTTTGTTTCTTATCAGTTCCATTTCCTGGTGCTTCACGGTTGTGTCAGTACTGCAGAAAAAAAAGAAAAAATATTTCCAAAGGAACAGTCATCTCCTTTGACCTGCAACTGTCCCCCTTTTTTTTCTCAGAAAACAACTAATTACCAGTGACCACACAGAAAATAAACGACCACACGGGGACATCATAAAAAGCTGCGTAATGTCTTCTCATGACTGAATCCGTTTGACCAGATGGATGCGAGAGCGGATTGAAAACTCCCTCAGCAGATATGCGACCTACTCTGAGACGGGCTTCAGGTGGAAGGGGCAGAGGAGAGGCGTGTTCTCGATCTGCTGGACAGAGGCTGAAGGACGGCCCGGAGAGGCCGAGGGCTCGCTGCAGGCTGCTTTGCTGCAGGAGCCCCGCTGACTGCCACACTGCTGGCCGCCTCTGGATGGAAGCTTGGCGGCGGCTGAACGGGACGGAGCCTGGCTCTGGCTCGGAGCCTCCCCCCCGCCTGGGTTGGGAGCATTCTGTATTGCACTGCAGGTAAAACATTACAAAAAAAGATGCATTAAAAATAAAACCCTTTTGAAAAGAAGAAAATCCTAAATACTGATTAACTGGTTCCATTTTCATATTTAAAAAGTAGTCATTTGAGCCCCATAGTTTTTTTCAGCTGACTTACAAATAAACGACAACAGAAGAATATACAAAAGCATACACACCATTTGCTGAAATCAATCTGTAATGAATGGTCAACTATGAGGTCCGTGGGACATGTAGGGTTGATCAGACTAGGGTCACCCCCATGTTTAGCAACAGCATCCCTCATGGCTGCCAGATCCACCATGGCAGGAATACCACTGTTAAAAGAAGCAAAGGGTTTGAAAAGATACACAGACATAAAGAGCAGCCCCTTAAGCCATTTTTAGTATATACAGTATGTTGATGGAAAAGCTGCTTTTTTATTTTCAAAACTTAAATATGCAATAAGCTAAGCCCACATCTGGTCGCATATTCACCCTGGCTTCTCCCCTGAAGCCTTCCAGGACAGACCTAAGTGCCTGAGAACTCACGTGAAGTCTTGCAGGAGAACCCGCGCCGGGGAGAACGGCACCTCTGCTTTGTCCTGCTGCTGCTGCCAGTCCAGGATGTTCTGCACGTCCTCCTCTTTAGTGTAAAAGCCATCACACTTGCGAACGGCCGCCTCCAGGATGACACGGATGGACAGAGGCAGTTTGTCTGTGAAAGACCAAAAAAGGCTAAATGAAAGGGGCCCCAACACTTTCCCCAGCTGCTCCGTGCTGGGGCTAAACAGCTCAGGGCAGGAAGAAAAAGTTAAGTTTGATAACAGCGTTGTTACAAAGGTTCTATCAGACTATCCGGGTGTTTCAACAGCCATCCCGGGACAGAACGGCAGGAATGCCAAACATAGAAAGCAAACCCTAAACACACAGACGTCTCGCGGAATTCTCCTGTGAGAGGGGCCTGAACTCACCATATCTGGGGTCGTTTAATTTATGTGGATTGAAGAACCTGATCCTTCCATCATCCAGTGTGTCGATCAGATGGCTGTATGGGTGCTCTGCAGAGGATGAATAAACATTCATATCAAAACACAGCTTTAATTCCAGCCTGAGCTTTGCGGCTTCAGGAAAATTCCAGCTGCTTTTATGTGCCTCAGCAGGTTGGGATCACTCCATCATTTCAAATGAGAGATGCCCTTTCATACACACACATTAAAGTGTATGATATTTCCCAGAAGTGAAATGCCACATTGTGTCATTTTACTCCGGCACAAGTAGCTAGAATTTGTTCATTTTTCCAGAAATACCTTGTTCATTGACTGCTTTTTAGTACAGGCCTTTTTCCCCAAGAATTTGTGTTTTTGGTTGTTCAGCCATTTAACACCAACCTATGAATCATACAAACTTAAAAAGGTACCTTACTTAAGGGATGAACCAGTGATGTGTCACAGATCAGACAGATAAGTAAAGAACTAACATGAAATTATATCTTAGGCACATCATTACCAGAGCCTGTTATGCTAACAAAGATTTGGTTTACTTGCATGGACAGACATTTTAAACCCAAATGGGGATTTCCACACAGCTACTACCCTGAAACCATAGCATATATCACCTTGGTCAGCAGTGTGCCTTAAAATAGGACAAAAGAAGTCAAAACAGGCCTAAAAAACTTTCAACTACACATAAGCATCTGAAAGTGATGTCCTTAAGAAATAAGAATTAGTCTTCAAAGGGCCCTGAGAGACTATATTTAGACAGTAAATGGAATAAAAAGCTGCCAGCACCTGAAGAAGAGCTTTTGGCACGTCTTTCAAGAAACTTGGCACGTTATTCCTGAAGACTACTTAAAGTAGAACAGGGTTAAAGCGGGTTCAGACTATGCTTGAGTACAAAGGTAAGCATAATGTATTGGAAAAAGTACTCTAAATACTTTAAACATAGTGCAATTTCCATGTCCTACAGATTAAAAAAAGCATTGGCATCTTGGGAATTTGGAGCAGTCCTGTAATATTGAACGAAATGCAGGTAGCTGATAAAAATCTAGTTGTGGCGGTTGAAATGTGGAATAAAAAAAGAAAAACCCGCAGCGTGAGTGCTGAATACCAACAGATCAGATCTCTGTCTCTCAACAAGACATCCAGTTGTAAGCCAAGCTCTCATGCTTCTAATCATTATGACACCAAAGCCAGAAACGAAAAGACAGAGAAGTCCTTTAATAATTCACCATAGTTAGTTTTCGTGCCTTAAAATGTTTCCTGAATGAAGAAAAATTAATAGTACTATCAGCCGGATGTGAAAGTCAAATCCACGAAATGAAGGGAAAACAAAGGTAGACACCAACAGAAAACTGGTCATGCATAATTCCTACAAGGTAGATAAAAGGCTGATAGGAGAGGGCTTGTTGTGGTTTCCTTTCTTCCTCATCTGCAGCATTTCCTCTCAACAAATCAGTCGTGGGGCAGAAGTGCAGCGAGAGCTTTATCATAGCTGCTTAGAGGATGGGAACATAAGCCAGGACCGGAGCTGGAATGTAGCCCAATTAAATCAACATGGAACCGAACGTATTTCAATGTTCTTGAATTCCTCACAGAGAGTATGTTTTCCACACAATGAATTGGTGAAAATAACCCACACCAGATGCCTGTATTATTATCCTTTTGTTCCTTAGTAAGAGAGTTGTCAAGCAGCCTGAAACAACCAGTTACTCTGTAGCCAACTTAGCATCTAATTTTCCTGTTATACTGACAAGCTTTTGTTAGGCCCAGCGGCTATGTCCATCTCTTCCAAAGAAATACTAGCAAAAAAAACACTGTTGCCATAACCGATGCAAAGCAGTCAGGATGGGACAGGAGGAGCAACATCCCACAAGCTGCGATTCCCTGTGAGGGATGCACCCTTAAAGGAATGCACCTCCTCTGATTAAACAATGGATCTTTTGAGATGGTAAGAAAAAAGTCAAAAATATATCCAAAAACAATTAGCTTCAGGTTCAAATATTTCCATGAATTCTCAGCTCGGAGCTGTACATGTTAATAGATCAAAACCAGTCCTTATATTCAACCTACCATAAAAATCACGCGTTAAAGGCAACGGTTACCAAATTAATCACTCACTATGGCACTTAGCTCTGTGATTACACTGTATTAAAGCCTTTTGATGTCTGGCCTATTTACAAGGTGAGCGAAGAGGTGTAATGCGAATAAACGTTCAAGCTAGCAAAGAACACAGGTTGTTATCGAGTGGCACAGTTGCGGTAAGTTCTTATCGTGCTACCGGCTGAATGTCTTCAGGAGATAAAGAAAACGACATCATAGTTACCATAAATAAATGTGTTTAAGAAACCCTAACATAAATTCGTGACATTACGACTGAAGACAATGCAACTACAATTTAAGGTACAGGCTTTAATGTATCGGCTATTGCTAGGCTGTGATATGAAGCTAGCCAATGCTAGCTTCATGTCAGACTGAGGCCGGTTCAGCTCCGTAAATGTTGACTTCAAAGCAAACAACACCCGTTTTGGAATCAGCAAGCCACTGCAAGGTCTATTTTTGTTAGCCAAATTAAGTAGTGAATCGAATGACAGCTATATTCTGAAGGTTCGTGGGAGGCATCTCTTTACCTTTGATTGTGGTAGTGAGCGCCATGATGACTTCTGAAATTAACACGACCCGTTCTCACTACTGCACAGGCACCACATAACTGACCAATCAGAGCACAGAGGTGTTGGGCCACGCCCGCTTATCGTTAGCAGCAAAATAAATAAAAATCTAAACATTTCCTAAACGAGACTATTAGAACAGTGGACATTTAAAATGACTGAATAAGCTCACACGATCACACAAAAACTCAGTCTGAAAACATTTTATTCATCCTGCTACCATATCCAACTTCAACGAACTTAATTTCTGTAACTTTTCCTCAGCTATCTACAGTGATTCAGTTACTGGAGTCAGTTTAATCGATATGTCTTACAACGAATATAACTGACAAGATTTTAGGGTTGAGGAAATCAAATAACTATATATCAAGTATTGACGTTCTGCTGAAAAAATAACAATGACATGAAACTGATTGATAATCACGCTTTAACCCGAAAACAGGAATAGCTGAACCCACTAACAACATACAGGGGTTGGACAATGAAACTGAAACACCTCTCATTTTAGTGTGGGAGGTTTTATGGCTAAATTGGACCAGCCTGGTGGCCAATCTTCATTAATTGCACATTGAACCAATAAGAGCAGACTCTGAAGGTCCAGTTAGCATGGTAAGAGCACAGTTTTGCTCAAAATATTGCAACGCACACAACATTATGGGTGACATACAAAATTCAAAAGAGGACCAATTGTTGGTGCACGTCTTGCTGGCGCATCTGTGACCAAGACAGCAAGTCTTTGTGATGAATCAAGAGCCACAGTATCCAGGGTAATGTCAGCACACCACCAATAAGGACGAACCACATCCAACAGGATTAACGGTGGACGCAAGAGGAAGCTGTCTGAAAGGGATGTTCGGGTGCTAACCCGGATTGTATCCAAAAAACATAAAACCACGGCTGCCCAAATCACAGTAGATTTAAATGTGCACCTCAACTCTCCTGTTTCCACCAAAACTGTCCGTCGGGAGCTCCACAGGGTCAATATACACGGCCGGGCTGCTATAGCCAAACCTTTGGTCACTCGTGCCAATGCCAAACGTCGCTTTCAATGGTGCAAGGAGCGCAAATCTTGGGATGCGGACAATGTGAAACATGTATTGTTCTCTGATGAGTCCGCCTTTACTGTTTTCCCCACATCCGGGAGAGTTACGGTGTGGAAAAGCCCCACAGAAGCGAACCATCCAGACTGTTGCGAGCCCAGAGTGAAGCATGGGGGTGGATCAGTGATGGTTTGGGCTGCCATATCATGGCATTCCCTTGGCCCCATACTTGTGCTAGATGGGCGCGTCGCTGCCAAGGACTACCGAACCATTCTGGAGGACCATGTGCATCCAATAGTTCAAACATTGTATCCTGAAGGAGGTGCCGTGTATCAGGATGACAATGCACCAATACACACAGCAAGACTGGTGAAAGATTGGTTTGGTGAACATGAAATTGAAGTTGAACATCTCCCATGGCCTGCACAGTCACCAGATCTCAATATTATTGAGCCACTTTGGGGTGTTTTGGAGGAGCGAGTCAGGAAACGTTTTCCTCCACCAGCATCACGTGGTGACCTGGCCACTATCCTGCAAGAAGAATGGCTTAAAATCCCTCTGACCACTGTGCAGGACTTGTATATGTCATTCCCAAGACGAATTGACGCTGTATTGGCCGCAAAAGGAGGCCCTACACCATACTAATAAAGTATTGTGGTCTAAAACCAGGTGTTTCAGTTTCATTGTCCGACCCCTGTATATGAACCACTGTAACTTTAAGAGTCCTGCTCCGAAAGGCTCACGTGATACCACTCTGCGTGATTGTGATGCCTTCAAGACCCATCGGAATATGCTAGTGCAACTTGACATTTCTTGGCAACTGTTAAATCACTTGATACAGAAGTGGCTTGTCTCTCAATATGATCATTGTAATTCTAACTTTAAAATATATAAATATCTAACTATATACACATATAACTTAATGTATAGATATATATACAATTTAAAACATATATGAACTCGTCAGTGGATTGGTTCAAGGGAGGTGGCACTGGTGTTTACATGTGGCCCTTTCATTTATGCTGTTGATAAACTGGATGTTACGAGCCCCTATTATCATTATATTATGATATATTCCTGAGCTCACTGATGCACACAATCAATGTATATTTTCGGTGCGGGTATTGATACAAAATCCCACCCTAGACACTGACGTGAATGCATAATCGTTGTTCAATTGAAACAAACAAACCCTTCACAAACTAAATATTCCAGTTGCTTGAAGACGGCAATTTTTTTGGCACTGCTGTATTTTTTTTTTACTTAAAAAAGACTGGAAAGGGGCAGACTAGCTGTTGTAATACTCGGCCTCTGACCTTTTACCTCTGACTATGTTTGTTCGAAGCCGTAATGGACGGGAGACATGACCCTCCTTGTATTCCGCAGGCCGTCAGAATTTGAACAAGCAGTTGTGTTTGTGCTCGGACGGCAAACGCTGAGGGTGGGCTGACACAACGTTTCGGGTACGTTTACGTCAAATTACCTCTTAAATTTCGAACACATGCGAAGAACATGTATACTTTTAACATACATGTCGTGTGTTAGCTAACGTGCTGCGCGAGTACACAGTGTGACATTGCACGTGCTTCCTCTTTGGTTCGCCAGTAATAGTAAAATAATAAATTGACAGAATATAGTTTCACGTGGCCGCCTGGGGTTGTTGCCACACGGTTATTGTGGTATCTTGTTTGGTTTTTATTTCCGGTAAGTTTATCAGAGGGCATAAACTTTCCAACTCTCCCTTTTGTTTTTCATACAACGTACAGAGCATGAAGATCTGCCGTTGGGTAATCGTCTTTGACGGTATCACGTTTAAGTCCTAATCCCCCTCAGTCCTCCTTCCTCCGGTTTCGACGAGTCTCTTTTTTAAACTGTCTGTGTGGAATGCATTAATGATAAATTCGGAATCAAGGACATTACTGAATAAATCAGCCTGCTCGTTACAAAATTGCAAATTGGGAGGCACACACAGTGACCCGGGTTATTGTAACAATTCACAAAGATTAAGGCATACCATGATATAGACAGTGTAAAGATAACTTATAAACAAAGTTACAAAACTCTCTTGGCGAGATCTCAGCAGGACAAGGGACTACTGGTAGGATAATCATCTTTACTATCTTGAATGGCATACATTAACTCAGAGCACCAAGAAGGCTTACCAGAAGTTGATGGTTGATTTACTTATTGTTAAACCCCAAACATCTCTAAAGTTATAAGCCTGAAACCTGACAGAGGGAGTACATCTGATTCTTATCCTAGTCGGTAAAGACTAGATTAGAGTGGAAATGGCTTTAGAATCTGATAACCTCTGGCAAGCATGATTGAGGACATCAGCAGGGATGCATAATCCAGAGGGAGGTCCCCAAAACTACTCTAGAATGTTTGCAGTAAAAAAAACTCTCTTGACCAACTGCCCAGTCAGGAAGTGCTGATCTTTGACCCATTAGCAAAACCCAGCAGATTGAGAAGAGTGCAGATCACATGCTCACAAAACAACACAAAACAAAATCCCTCACACTCATAGATTTAATGTCCTGCAGGTGTGATGGCGGCTGCAGAGTTGATGACAGCGGAGCTGAATCTGTAAGGGTGCGGCGCTGCCCTGACAGGCGCCATGCAGCAGAAAGGCGCCATCCAGATTATCGAATGGGAGGACTTGGACAAGAGGAAGTTCTACTCCCTTGGGGTGTTCATGACCCTGACCACCAGGGCCACGGTGTACCCATTCAGCCTCATCCGCACCCGCCTGCAGGTGCAGAAGGGGAAGAGCTTGTACTCCGGGACGTTCGACGCTTTCTGTAAGATCCTGCGGGCGGAGGGGATCAGGGGCCTGTACCGAGGCTTCCTGGTCAACACCTTCACCCTGGTGTCGGGTCAGGCGTACATCACCACCTACGAGCTGGTGCGCAAGTACGTGTCCCAGTACTCTCCCAGCAACACGGTGAAGTCGGTGGTGGCCGGCGGAGCGGCGTCGCTGGTGGCTCAGACCATCACCGTGCCCATAGACGTGGTGTCCCAGCAGCTGATGATGCAGGGACAGGGGGAGCACCTGACGCGGTTTAAGGTCAAACCCAAAATGATGCTGGCAACCACCAAGCGCAGCATGACTTTCGGGCAAACGCGGGACATCACGGTGCAGATCCTAGCAGCCGATGGGTTTCGGGGCTTTTACAGGGGCTACGTGGCATCGCTTCTCACCTACATCCCCAACAGCGCACTGTGGTGGCCTTTTTATCACTTTTATGCAGGTAGCTCAACAAACTTCTCTTCTGCCTGTAAACACCACATGCCGTTTATTGGGGGGGTAAAAAAAAAATAAAAAAAAAGAAAGTCTGGTCTCACGCTGTAAAATGTTTGTACTTCCAGAGCAGCTGTCTTTGTTGGCGCCCAGTGAGTGCCCACACCTGATGCTGCAGGCTTTGGCGGGACCAATGGCAGCAGCCACAGCCTCAACCATCACAAACCCCATGGATGTCGTCCGTGCTAGAGTACAAGTAAGCGCTATAAACAGCAGAGATATAGATGTGAGATAGGCTTGTCCCGATTGATATTTGGACCGGATCGGCCGCAAAAAACTGCGTTTCGGCCGGCATGAGAAAATGCTGATCCAGTTTTTTTTTTATTCCGATCCCACACGAACATTAGCATCTCCTAACCCACAGGTCTGTGTCCTAACCATTAAATTGTTATCAGAGTAAATCCCTGTTCAACATGAGTCTGACAACTAAGTTAGTAGCCTAAATAACTTTAAATTTTAATACATGCTCTGATAGGCCGGTATCGGATCGGAAGTGAAAAAAGCTGGATCCCTAATGTGTAATTTCAGCTTTTATTTGACATCAGGCCAGATCTTGTTTGTTTATAATGTGTTCACACTGAAAGCCTTCCCTATTGTTCACACACATACTGTATAGTATCGTAGAATGTATGTACTTTTGGCTGGCATGCAAAGTGCTCCGTACACAACAAAGACGATTGGTCCCGTCTCTTTCAGGTGGAGGGACAGTCGTCCGTCACTGCGACGTTCAAGCAGCTGCTGGCCGAGGAGGGCGTCTGGATCATGACCAAGGGGCTGTCGGCCCGCATCATCTCCTCCACACCCACGTCGGTGCTCATTGTGGTGGGATACGAGACCCTGAAGAGGCTAAGCCTGCGTGCTGAGCTGGTTGAGTCCAGACACTGGTGAAAGACAAGAGGGGGGGGGGTCTGCTCCGAAGCCTGCCCGCTCTGCTCCGTGGCTGCATCCACTTACCCTGTGTTCCAACGAAGGTTGGATATGGTCACGCTTGGGTGCTTCTTTGCAGATTTTGGTACTGTCGTTTTCTGTTAGTGTGCAATGTGTCAAAATAAGCGGAGACTTGATGGATGTCCACTTAGTTTGACCCAAAAACTTTTCCTAAGCGACGGCAGAGAGCTCCTCCAAATTCACATCACTGAGATCATTGAACAGCTCTCCCAGAATTTCTGGGATTCAATTTGTGTCCAGGATAAATATGTGTTTAATCATGATTGTATGTAGGGAGAGTTTTCAAAGTGCCACGGTCTGAATACAGAAATGCCTTATTTATGTCCTCGAAAACAGCTCAAAGTTGAAAATTGAGCTTGGTACTCTTGTGCATTCCAGGAAAAGGCAGAGGCTAAACTGAAATGAACCTCCCTCTGCTCGATTCTTAATGACAGTTAAGGTTCTAGTTTCAAACTTGTGAAAATCAGGGAGTATAAGCTGAAACAAATATGCCTGACCCATCTATCGTAACAGGTCAGTAATTTGGGTCTCAAAGCCACTAACCCTGATAATGCTTCAACGCGGTAAAAGAAAGTGGAGCAAGACGACAGAATAAGAAACGCTTATATAGCTTTTAGGGGAAGATTCTTCATATTGAGCTGATTTAAGAAGCTGTAGACAAATCAAAGGAAAAGAGCCCAGATTCAAAACAAAAAAGGTTTCCCTTTTTTTCCCCCCTTATGGGCAACTTTAGCTGTTAACGATTGAATTCGGCATTCAGATGTCCGGGGATCAAATCTGCTGCCATCTGGTTATGAGGGGACAACGTTCTGTTTGGTTTGAGCTGCATCCCACCAGCACACAAAAACAGCAGAACAGACTCACTGCCAGAAAAGACATCCCAGTGGTCACACTGTGTGTACAGTTTTTTTGTTGTTTTAAAAAAAAAAAAACAGTCAGACTGTTCAGCATCACTTAGATGATCATGAGAGGTGAACCAAACAATTTCTCCAATTTCTTAAACTAACTGTATGGAGGAACTCCAGAATTTACCGGCAATCTGTTGATAAGGGTTTTAAGTATTTTTAACACTGCATGTGGATGTTTGATTGAAAAAATAAAGAAGTCTGAATGGTTCCAGTGTTTTGTGTTGTTGAACTAAGGCTGCCACACCTGTGCTCACACACTAGATGGAGCACTTTTTCTTTATTTTATAGCCACAACTTCCTTTTTCCTAAACGTTTTTATGCATTCCACATAAAATGGCCGTATAATTTAATGAAATTCAATTGACACTGTAGCCCTGAAATAAAGGTTCCATTTGTAAGTCTTTTTGATTTGTCTTAAATTCTAAAAAAAAGTCAATTCACTCAAATAGCACCTGATGTGGCATGAGAGAGCAGAGCTTTATATTTTATTAATTTCTGAGCCACTGTAGTTATATATGGGCCACCATACCAGAGGATAGACTAAAAAGAAATTAATGACATGGAAACAAAGTAAAAAAAACAACAACAACCTTTTATTTGACCGCATTCGGTCGGTGCAAAACAACCTATGACAATTACACGTTCTCCATCACATGGGACAGTCGTAGATGTGGATGGCGCGGTCGTCCCCGGCGGAGATGATCTTGGAGCCGGTGCTGTTGTACTTCACGCTCCACACCTGAGAACGGTGACAGAGAAAAGAAAAGATGCTCAGAAAATGATATCGTCTTACAGCCTTAACAGTGAAGTAAGTCGTTTTTAATTCTGACTTGGGGAGGTTTAAAAGCACGTGTGCTTAAACTGAAACATTTTTTGGTCATGGAGCTTTTTCCAAACACCCCAATTGAGCAGCCAGCCCTTTTGTCTGCTCACATTGAGCTCTGCACACAGCGAGGACGCCAGTAAAGGATGAAAATCTGCTCAGACACCAGAACAAAGCGCAGCCGAACAGCCTACTGGCAGCAGATCCTCCCGGTGGATTTGACGGTTTTGCAATCTCATTACAAAGCTGATTGGAAATAAATAAATATATGTAGAAAAAAGCCTCTGATCTGGTCTCCAGGAAGCAGAAACCCTCCAATCTGAGGCTTTATAGCAGAACAGATCAAACTCCACACAGGCCTCTTCAGCTGGGGATCCGGTGACAGCCGAGCGTATTGTTTTATTAAAAACATCAGAGCGGTTAGAGGACAATGGGCCACTCCTGCTGTTCGGAAAAGGAAAGTCAGCGTGCTCACCTGGTCCTGATGGTCGAAGAACGTGTTGATGCAGGCTCTGGAGCTGGCGTCCCAGACCTTCACGCTCTTGTCGGATGAGCTGAGGAGAAGCAGAGGGGAGAACATTTTACGTGTTATTACTGTTGATCTTGGCCCACTCCGTTTATCTTGGCGCTGCGAGATGGAAAAGTGGGAAAACAGCTCGGGCTGACGAGGCTTAAGCACAGTGGGAGCGAGAGCCTGAGAAACGAGGCAGAGGAAAAAAACTCTGATAACCCCCAGAATGCAACAGATAAGGTGTTACAGTTCTTTTTTTTTCTGACTGAACAATATGTGCTGCTGTGTTTTGAGGCAGAGTGTGTGACTGTACCTTGAGACAAAGTGGGTGTGATCCGGGGAGAAGGCGACATTAAGGACCCAGGATCCATGACCGCTCAGTGTGCCGGCCAGAATGGCTTGTTGCCTAGAAAACAATCACAATCATAACCCACTGCAGTTTTTCAGCTGGAATATAGTTTACCACATATCCACGGACTCCTTGCCACGCGAATAGAACACCAGATCAGATTCAGTCGATTTGATCTTCGTAAAGACAGAAGAAAGAAGAAGAAACTCACACGTCATATATTTTGATATAGCCGTCATCAGAGGCCGTGACCAGTAGCTGAGAGTCTGGGGAGAAGGTCAGGGATCTGATGGGCATGGCGTGACCTGAGGAGACAGAAAAAACACTCCTTCATATGTGCTGTCATCCCCAATTCTAAACCTATTCAAAAAATGTTTTGTGGAAAAGTCAGAATGCAACGACTTCCTAATGTATGAAATATTCAGCATCAAGACAAGTCTACTATTTTGTAAAAAAACAGGCTAATCTCAAATGTGACAGCAGCCACACATTTAAAAAAACTTTTGGATGAGACGTCTATTACTCTAAGGCATCCCCGCTTCTTCTAACAACAGCTGGTAAACATCTGGAAACTACCCGGGCCAGTTTCTCCACCTCTGGGAGAGGAGAGCCATCTTGCTGATTCATGCAAAAACTTCTCTTTAAAAAGCCGTTCACCCAGAATGAATGGGGCATTTCCAAATTTGCAAGTATCTGGTGCTATGGGTATTAATGTCTGACTAATAATTCATTAATCAACCTACCTTCAAGTGTGTGGAAAAGTTTTCCTGTGGCAATGTCAAAGATTTTAATGATTCCATCGATGGCTCCACCCGCCAAATACTTCCCATCCGGGCTCTGAAGGGAAAAACGGACGGCCGGAGTGATTTAAGAGTTACAATGAGGGCGGAAAAACTGCAAAACGGTATAAAAGAGAGGTTGTTTTCTTTTACATAGGCTATACTCAGGATGAATTTTCCTCTTGTGTCCAGAGAATATTCCTTCTTGCCACTTTCCACTCCAAAGATGTTGAGTTTGCCATGATGGCTTCCTGTGGCAATGTATTTAGAGTCTGGGGAGAAAGCAACGGTCCAGGCATCGACTAGAGAGAGCAAGAGGATAAAACCCATGAAAAGCTGTGGTCCAGGTCACCTAATTAGAGTGTATTCACTGTGCATTTTTTATGAACCTTGAACACTGGCTGTTACAAGACTTGTAAAATAATTCAAATAAAACAGAGAGAAATATTACAGTCCATGACAGTCAGATGGGTTTGTGTTATTTACTAGGCTTAATCAATCGGTCCCACCTGGCCCGGCATCCATGGATTTGATCTGCTTCCCAGACTCTAGGTCCCAGAGGCGGATGTGAGCATCCAGGGAGCTGGAGGCAGCGATGGCTCCGTTGTGGCTGATGTCCACCGACACCACGCCCAGCTGGTGGCCCTCCAGAGTCCACTGTAGCTCCAGCTTCTCATCTGACCTGCACAGAGAGTGCCACAAAATTCTACAAATAATCTTTTGGGTAATGTGCAGAACTACACGGCGGGCTAAGGTTAGCGAGCAGGTTGGTGTGGTAACAACTCAGGATGTCGATTTGACTGCTGTCCTGCTAAGATGTGAAGGGAAATTAAATGTAGACATTTCGGGATATATTGTAAGGCTGACCATGCTGGCATTTAGCAAAGCATAAAAAGCTACTAGACAGAAAAAAGAAAGACAAACAAGTAATATTTGAACCCGATCTTCTTTTACTCCACTCATTGGCCTATATTTCTGTATACCGAATCATTAATTAAATTAAGTATCACAGGAAAGACAGAAGGATTGCATACATCATAAACAGGGGTTGTGTGTAAAAAGAAGCCCGTACCATTTCCACACTTTTACCATATCGTCCAGTGAACCCGTGACGATAGTTTCCGAGCCGTCCGCCTCACTCTTCCCCCACGCCGCTGTCCAGATGGCATCGTCATGTGCTAAAAGGATTAAAAATACCGGGGGAAAAAAATGTAGCAACAAATACGTCTTCAAGGAGATTTATGTTTAAATATTAAACTCAAATTATTCATTTAAAGCATTAGATAACAAACTTTGAGCGGTTCTTTTCTAATAACCAGCTCCCCAAGAGGGTAAACTACACTTGTTTACAGTCTGGACAACATGCAACAACACAGGTTACAAGAAAAGTAAAAAACAGTGGCTTAGGTTACTCACCGTGTTCTTGCTTGAATAGAATGCTGTACTGTAATTAAAGCATAGGTTTAAAGTCAGTTTTCAGTGAAACAAGCATGAGTATGAGGATTTATGAATTGAATGCTTACTTGAGTGCTCATTGTTTTGGTCTGGGAGTAGTAGAGCCTGTTCTCTCACTTCAAACTGAAATAATAAAGTGTGTGAGTTAAGGGCAGCATACTAAGAAATATGCCAGTTTTAACTGTCTTTTAGCTCTTTAAAGCTTTGAGAAATACCACCACAACACAATGACTCATTTTAAATCAAGGAGAACTTCCCTATGGGCTTAAACTTTTTTTCTTTTTTTAGCAATGGGTCTGATGTTTACCAACTGCATTCGTGTAATTTTAAATGAATAAACAAGAGTACAAAACTAAAGCTAACGTGAACTACTGTTAGCCTATAGCCGGTTAGCACTGCAACAAAATACTTCACGGTCTCAGAAAATCGCTTACTACCGGGTTGTCCCTCAGTATAACGGCCTATGTTTGTTTAAAATAAACAGAATAACTGTAATAATATGCATCTACGTACCTTGAAAATATCTACTACACAGTCAAAGCATATTATGAAGGATTGATCATTTACATGTGAAGCGCCATGACAACATTTGATGTAACTTCCGCCTTATTTCTTCTTCTTCGGCTCTGTTAATGTTGCGGAAGACACAACCACACAGGCTCACTATCACCAGTAGCGATATGGGTGTTTAGAATAATTTATGTTAGTTTAACAGTTTGAAAGATGATTCAAGTTCTGATTCAAGCGCTGTGAGATAACTGTTGTTAAAATTTGACGCTATATAAATAAATAAAATTGAATTGAATAGTATTAATATGGACACCCAGTCTGTAACGCAAATCGTCAGTGAGAAAAAAAAGAGTGGTTAAATAATAATAGTAATTGTTGGTGTTTGGTAAAAGGTTACCAAATACAACCAGACCTGTGTACCAACGTTTAAAACTAAAGGAAGAATATATTTATTATATCATCAATATTTTCCACCTGTATTACATTAATCAATGAAATCTGCATTATTGTTCTCCTTCAGCTTGTGTCAACTTTAGAATTAAGATACTACTGTTTTGTCATGTAAAATGCTAGATAACCAAAAGAGCAAGAAACTAAAAGGATATTTTTTTAGAAGGCTCTGTGCCCATCATAATACTACTCTAAAGTAAAACCTTTATACAGCCAAAGAAAAGGAAATAAAAATTCTATCTGGAAACTATCAAACTTTTCCTACACGCTCACTGTTAGTCTGTGTCAGGAGTATTTGAATAATTATTCATTATTAAACATTATTAAACATCGAGATATAAAGATCATTGTTATGTGTCTTGTTGTTTTGGATACTCCACACAGTGAACGGTGGGAATACATCTGCTCAACATCAATACTACATACAATCATAAACAGTATGGTATTCACAATTATTTTATTTCAAATTTCTGGTCACACCCTCCTTTTTATTGTATTCCCGTTTGGGCACCCTCCATTGCAGAGTTCCTGGGGGGATCACGTTGCCAAGGGAGAATGGGGTACCAGAGCCATTTGAAGGAGCTATCCAATCCCTGTATAACCAAAATAAAAACCGTGTCTGTGTTTTTGGCACAGGGTCAAACTTGTTTACAAGTCTACAACCCGTTTTAGTGTGTTGGGCAGCTCTTTCTGTTCTGGATTTCATGGACAGAGTGTGAAGGTATAGTCGTGCAAAGGGTTTCTGGTCAAGCTTGCGTCTCTCTTTTGTGCAGATGATGGTGTTCTGTTGGCTTTTTCCATCCAAGACCCTAGTGAGCACTGAAGGGGTTCACAGCTGAGTGTGAAGCAACTGGGGTGGGAATAAGATCTTTTAAATCTGAATCCATTGTTCTGTGCTGGGAAAAAAAACATACATTTCTGTCTCCAGGTTGGGAATGGGGCTCTGCCACTTGTGAAGGTTACTTGTCTAAGTATCTCAGGGTCTTGTTTGATTGGAGCCAGAGATGGACAGATGGGTTAGGACCTCCTAAACTGTAACGATGCCATTGATATGGTCCGTTGTGGTGAAGAGGGAGCTGAGCTGGAAGGTAAAGTTTTCCATTTACTTGTTCATTTTGTTCCAACCCTCACCCGTGGTCACCATGATCTGGGGAGCAAGATCAGATCCTTCTGTCCTGGGAACACCTTGAAATCCCCAAGGAGGATCTGGAGAGTGTCACTGGGAGGAGGAATGTCTGGGTTTCTCCATTGAATCTGTTCCTTCTGCAACTCCACCTGAAAAACTCAAAAATTCATTGAACGAAAATGGATAAATTGGGCACGCATTGGTGGATGCTTTGATATGAATAAATAACTCCCATGTCTCACATATCACAACTTTTACAAATGCTTACATTTACTAGTCATTATGGGGCAATAATGCATCATGTCCTACATTTGTCAGGCGCATTTCTCTATTTCTGTCTTGAGGCTGAGCATAAACTCTGTTTGTCATTGTTCAGATGTAAAGAGGTAACTCAAGCCTATAAGAAACCTAGGAGAGAGAAGATTTTGGGAGCTTTGCTCCGCTGTTCAAGCACTGCTGGACTACATCTTGGAAAACAACTGCAGAAAATGCTTGTCAGCTCCTAGCAACATTGATATTTTCCTACTTTTAAGTTTTGTAAAAGATCATTCAAGCAGGCTGATGGGTTTGTGGTCTGGCACATAGTCAGTGGAAATAAAAATGACTCTTCTCACAGATTTTAAAGCTGAAGTGTCTTTTTATTAGAGGTGAATTTCTGTTCAAATCTCTCCTTTTCGGTATAACTCTGATCCATCAACCAACTTTATAGGGCAGAATTTTGATGACTGGTATAGAGCTTACATACAAATATAATGCAGGTTCCAAAAATATGCGAGTAATGCAGTGATTTTAGTGGCACTAAACATGCACTTTTTTCTTTTGTTATGTTCTCTGTAATGTTCTCTACCCTGTATATAAACCTGACCCTGATCAGATTACAAAAAAGTATGATTTTATTATTTGTTAGCACATATTTATCACAGAAATATGGTTTGTTCAGTTCTTAGGACCAACAAAGTCTTTAATACTTAAAAAAAATGCTGCAGCACAATGCATAATAAAGACATTGTGTTCCCTCAAGCCGTGCAGGACCCAAAGGGAAAACATGCTGATGAATCGTGACCGGTATGCTTTACCATCTCTTTGATCTATGTTTTTAGTTCACCCTTGGTTTCGGGCAAGTTTCACCATTTCTCATTGCGCTAATTTAATCATCACTGCAGATAAAAACAAAGTAAACAGAATCCACATAAGAGCGTGAAACACAGTGAGTCAGTTGAAAGTGGAAAGCACAATTTTAAAAACTTACCAAACTTTCGGTCATTCACTGGTCAATTCTGACCTGAGCATCTTAAAAAGATGTAATGATTATGATATTCAGGCTTTGATAGTTAGGCTATTTACATTGGAGTTGCTCACAAAGAGACACAGTAACTAATCCATTTAGTCTTTCTCGTCTCTTGGGAGAGCAGACATGTCATTTTGGCTCTACTGTAATAATGGGACGGAGTATTCAAGAAGGAGGGACCTCCTCCTGTCTCCCATTAAAAGACAGCAAGCTATAAAGGACTCCGAGGGGCGAAAAACTGCAGCCGGTGCATCCAGAAGCAGACAGTGCGAGTGTGCGTCTGTGTGTGCGTGCGCTGAAACGACCCACTTGGGTGCTAACGTGTGAAACGGCGGGCTGTGCCCAGAGCTGAGGAGACAGGAGCACAGTGAAGGAGGAGGAGGAGGAGGAGGGCGAGAAAAAGAGTCAGACAGAGACATCAGAGCGTGGAACAGGTTCCCTCTGCAGCCCCCTCGCACTCAGAGCCTCAGCAGACATGCCCAACTTTGCCGGCCACTGGAAGATGAAGAGGAGCGAGAATTTTGATGAACTTCTGAAAGCCCTGGGTAAGTTCTCTTTTTGCTCTTTTGTTGAGGTTGCCCGTGCATCATGTGCCTCACAGAAGAAGGCTTTTTTCTTGTGCTTTTTGGGGAAAGGCATGCAATGTCTCTCCTGCAACCTCAGATTGAGATGGGAGGCTCCCTGGGAACAGGAGGCAGAGATGCTGCTGAGGGGGGAAATCCCTCGGCTTCTCAGAAGATCAGAACGAGGGGATGCTAAATTCCTGCCTAAACAGACGTGGTATTGTTAAATGAAGAAGGGAAGGAGGGGGGGGGGGGCACAACTTTATTCATGTTAAGCATTTAATTAGGGCATGCATTAATGCAAGGGTAGATCTGTGTGAAGCCCAGTGTTGTTCCCGGCCGTGCCCCCCCTCTCTCTTAATTTCATCCTTTATATTTGGCTTTGGTCGTGATGGTTTGGATTTAGACAAGTCTAACTGGGTCACTCAATTGTGTTGCGGCGTTTCGTCACGCCGGGACTGCTGAACCAGACAAGGACGACGCAAAGGGCTCCCTATATTCAGAATAATCCAGAAATCTACAGAGAGATGTCCCTCTGTGAAGCTCTCCAGGAGCCGTTGAAACCAAACTGGACAGTGATCTGACATTTCAGACAGGATCAGCTCCAAATTTTTAATTTTAAAGTAAAGCCGGAACCTGAAAGGCCTAGACAGATCATCTTAAGGCAGAATTCATCATAGCATTCCTGAGCTAGAATCATAGAAAATTTTATTTCAGAAGTAGTTAAGACCCAGCTTTGTTTTAAACCTTAAAATGCTTCTTTAAAGCAGAGAGATTTCGATCCAACGAATACTCGACCTCTCTCCCTCCTTCCTCTGTTTGGTTTCTATAGTTCACAAGGCAACAGTTCCTCTGATCTGATCCCCGGTCCGAGGGGGGGAAAAACCCGCTGAGTTTAGCACCTCGGGCCAACGCATTAACCGCATCTACCCGAGCAGGTCCTCTGTCAGAGCTCACATAAGCGCCCGGTCAAAGAGAGACGTAAGAGAAAAAACGAATCCGGATACCACGGCTGCATGGCCGCCACTTTCCATCAACGTCTTTCTAATTATCGGTTGATTACCAGACAGGGGGGAACTGTTACTTTCAGAGAACAGAAGGGTCGGGGACAGAGCTTTATGGACAGTTTGCAAAGTCTCTGGGTGGACTGAGGCACAGCTCATGGACTTTAAGGCCAAGCCTGTGTCACACTGAACTCTGATTTCCAAAATTGTGATCCAAATTGGTTTAAATTTGAGCGGAACTTTATTGGAACATCATTGTCCCCCCCCAAAATTTCAATGTTTATCAAATGTTTTGACAAGCTGTCAGTCAAACATTTAGTAAAGTGGGAGAAGTTGATGAAGTGATGCTGTGACATTTCACACACATCATTTCAAAATGTGATTTATTTATTTATTTATTTATTTTTTTACCTTGTCCTGTTCAGCCTTATGGTAGCAGAACTGAAATCTGAGTACCGTGCTATGCTGAACAAAATTGCTTTGCCAAGGGAGGCTTTGTTAGTGAGAAGCCCCCCTTGATTACCCCAAAACTTCTTTATTTATTCATTTTTGTTACCAAACTTCCATATGTCCAACAATGCCGAACCTGACCTGAAAATGTGATTTTTCAAATTAACTACCGACTGCTTGGCCAAGTGGAGACCATGCATATTTGATGGTGCTAAAACAGGGCGGCTCAGATCATGGGGTGGGTCGAGTAAGCTGTCACATCGACTTGTTTTCAGGCTTGGGCGTTAACCTTGCGAGACCACGGTGGTTTTAGGGAAGGATGATCTCTCGAAATGAATAATCACTGACATTTTAAGACATTTTAAAAGCATAAGACCATCAAATGTTTTTTGGTGAACTTATTGGCTTTATGCAAATGAACCTATTTGGCCTGTTAGGAGGGGAGGCAAGTGGAAAAATCAAAGATGCAGGACCTTGGCAGGACATAAAGCCAGATGGCCATGCAGCGTCAAACCAGGCATACCAGACACTTGTTTCAAGCCCGGGTGGTGCACCGTGCAGGCTCACCACTCTTGTGACCAAACAAAAGGAGAGAGCCAACGCTAACCTGCCCTGACATCCTCGATTTCCTCATTTGGAGCTTTTCCTTTTCGGACAAGGCTGAACGATCCCTCGCACCGAGCCGCGTGCCAAAAATTCCGCACATTTCTCCCAGATAGAGCCACAGCAGAGGTCTCTGTCAGAACCACAGAGCAATTATTGTGTTTTTCCCCTCTGAAATAAACACATTTCTGTCATTCTTGTCAAAAATTCAAGGGGTCGCTTCGGCACGCACAAACCGATGCGAGCAGACAAGGGGGGCGAAGGAACCTCTCTGC